CTAATTCTTATAATAAGGATAATACTAATAAAACTCTAGCCTTTTAGGATAACTTCTAGCAAATTCTATAAGCTTCTATAGTCTCTTAATTTAAAGAGCTATGCTTAGCGCTCTTTACTAACTATCTAGAGATAGTTTCTTACCTTACGTATAAGTAGTAGCCTTATACTAGAAGGCTTATCGACTACTATATTAATTAGTATAGATATTTTAGTAAGGTAAGTTAGTAAAAGACTTTATATATTTATATTCTAATTTATACATTTTAATTCTCTAAAGATACGCCGGAGAATTTTTTACTTATCTTCCTAGGTATAGCTAACCTTCTTTTCCTTCCTCTAGATTACTACCTTATATAATAAAGGTAGCTACGCTAGCCTTAAGAGCTAGATTATTAGCGCTAAAGGTAACATCTATACCTTCTTCTAGTTATATCTTCTCTAGTAGAAGCGGCTATACGCTAATTATTATAAGTAGTATAGTAAGGAAGTACTTATAGCGCTAATAAAGATAGTTAGTCGATTTTAGAGCTTAGTTATACGCTATATTATAAGATATGCCCTTTTACTAACTTATAACTATATCGTTAATACTTAGAAGGTACTTACTAATAGCTATACCTTTCTAGAGTGCTCCTATAGCTACTTCTTAAAAGATAGTATAGTTAAGTGCCCTAGTAAATATAATAAGTTTTAGCGAACTATCTATAGCTTACCTTATAAGTATAAGTTAATAAAGATCTTAAGTATAAGTAAGGTCCTCCTTCCTACTTACTTTAATAAGCACTACTAGCTAGTAAGGCTAAAGTGTAATACTAACTACTAGCTACCTCTTAAAGAGTTCTTAATTTATATAGAGTCTTAAAAGATTAACTAAACTAAGCCTCTTAAAGGCTCGAAGTTAAAGAAGGTGTCTAAAAACTTAACTTAGCGCTTACTACTATATACTAAAGTAGTGCTTAGTAGTTATACTTATAAAAACTAGCTTACTTAAGCCTCTTAATCTAGTACTCTAACCTCTTAATTTAGTACTCTAGCTACTTAAACCCCTCCTCCTTCTAGTGCTCTAGCTATTTAAGCTTAATTTGCTAACCCTTATATTAATCTATATATTAACTCTTAAGTAGCTATACTATATAATCTAGACGCTTTCTAAGCCTATTTAGATCGCCTTAAGTAAGAGCGACTTACTAGCGAGTATTAGAGCTTTATTACTTAGCACTAATTTAAGCTTAAATAGTATACTATGTATATAGCTAAGTACTAATACTACTATCTCTAAGCTACGCTAGCCCCTTTATATGCTTTTCTACCTTAGCCTTACTACTTTACGCTAGCTCTAGAGATATACTAGCTAGTATATAACTACTCGTTAGCCTTTATACTAGGCCGCTTATATATATACGCTAGTTAAAGGCTACTTTAAAGAGAAGGAATTTTAATAATTTTATAGATAGGCTACGTAAAGCCTAGCTATTTAGAGAGGAAAGGGTTACCCTTATAGTAGTAGAGGCCTTTAGCGCTCTACGTACTAAGCTAATTGCTTTAAATCTGTAATAAAAAAAACTTTTTACTAACTATTAATGTGTTTGCCTTGTTTGCTCGTTAAACTAGTGACCCTGTCGGGAAGGCTTTAGAAGGCTTCGGGACTGCGCCGATTGCGGCCTCGCTCTCTCTTTCTATTTTACTAGAGGGTACCACCAAAAGTTAGAAAGGATCAGTGCGCAAGCCGCTAATCCACCCGCTCCACCTCATGTGCTCCCTACCTCATGTGCTCCCTACCTCATGTGCTCCGTAGCTCTGGCGTTGGTCGTCGTGTCCTGCTTGCCTGACGAAACTGATTCTCCATGCCACCACATTAGCCAACCAGACAATCACCAATATATGGCGCGGAGACTGGGCCACGACAGCCGACAAGCGCCATCTGCCCCAGAGCTCTGGGTGAAGCCTCGTGAAGCCAGCGACTCGTCGACAACGACAAGAACAAAATGTCTCTCCCTTACTCCTAGCGAAGCACCATCGTCATCATCATCAGCAGCAGCAGATGTGCGCTCGCAGCTGTGGTTACACGTCAGACAATATTGGCGGCAGTGCGAGAGTTTTTCACAAATCCCAACGCTGCTCGGCCTATTGAACAGGTACAGCAAGCAAGTAGGTCCGCGATTGCTCTTTTCGTTGCATTGAGTGAAGATCCCCATCTTTTGTCGATTCAGTCGTCTGCTTTCCCGCGTCGTGCCTCTTCTCGTTTAAAGCCGTGCTGAGCGGCTGCGCCGTCGATAACCACGGGATCTCAGCACTCGTTTGCGATGTTGAGTCGACCGTGGCTTTTGCGACAGCGGGACAGTCATTTGAAAGTTGCCTCCACAAAAAGTGAGAAGAACGCCATGAGGGGTGACGGGATATTATTTCATGAACGCCTTCGACAAACTACAGGGTCTGAATCCTTCTCGCCAGGTCTATGGCGCTCCTGTGTTTGGCCGGCCAGCCTGACTTACGCCCGTAGGTCGACTGAGCTTGCAGAGAAGAGCTCGAGATCGATGTTTGTAGAAGAGCTGAAGTGGAGGCTCAAAGCCGTTCAACCCATGCAGAGCCGTTATCGAAGCTTGTGCTGAGTACAAATAACCCATGCGAACCCGTTTCTGTTGGTAATCGTAGAAGGACCGTTTTATGCAGTATTTGAACATCTACCGAACAGCGAGATCTTGCTGCTCAACATCATGCAGCAGTCAAGACAATACCAGAGAAGCTCCAATGTATCTTGCACAACGATGCGAAGATTTGGTGAGAGAGCAAATTACACGACTATCTGTACGATCAGCTTTCGATCTTCAGGCACGCTCGGCTTGGGATCTTCAGGCACGTCAGAAGTGCCCAAAGTCACACTACCACCAATAAACCTGTAGCACTAAGCTCGAGTCTCTACCCTGTGCTTCCCATTCATCTCCAGATGCCGGACTGCTGGATCGCATTATTCCGCTTGTGAACCGTGTCACTTTGAGCATCTCCGTACCTGCATACTCTTGATACACACCCATGTCAGCACTTTGTCTAACTTCCACGCCAATTGTCGGAAAGCCTCCGTTTCGTTCGCTCGAGTCCCAATCTCTTTGCCTTGCAACTTATCGCTACAAGACGGAAGATCTCATGATTCGCACGACCAGATAAGACACATTGTTGACAGGCACGCCGTCTCTGGCCCGAGGCAGCGGCGCCAGGGAACAGACCGGCGCTCGGGTGACAAGAGACGAACCGGTTCCGTGATCCATCCATAAGCGCGCGTATCGCGATGTCCGCCCTGACATCGTCGAGACCATCAAGAACGAGGCACGTGTGTTGCAAAGTCCAACTATCCGAACTTCTCTATTTTGCTTTCCTCAAACCACTGAGACTCTGGGGAAGCTAGATAGAGTGCAGAGCTGGCTATCCTCACGTCCGATGACACTTTGTGGTGTATCTTCAGGCCTCCCTCTCCACCCAAAGACCCTCTTCTCTCCATGGTCAAGCCAATATATTAAATGTTGGGGACAGCAAAGATCTTCCCTTTCCAGTCTGGGTGCACCATAGGGCCTTTTTTTTTTTTTTTGCTGTTTGCGGGATTTCTGACTCTTTGCTTGCGTATGCATGCAATGCGGTGCGAGTACGGGGGCACCGGAATGTGGGTTGTTTGTTGGTTATTATATAATTTATATTGCGTTGTTTGGGCGTCGATCTTTTACGCTTGGTGCACTGGCTGGCCTCTTTTTCTGTCTGTTTCTCGGCTTTCGAGGCGTGACGGTGCGTGCCCTAGGGATATGGAGTGATGCGATTGATAAGTTAGCAACATGTGATAAGCAACTGTGCAAAGAACTTATGATGGATGCGTATCACGAGCACGTGTGGTGGGTTTTGACACAGCTCTTTTCTGACTCTGCTGTGATAGTGAAATAACCCACGTGGACTCATGACACAACTTGATCTGTTTCGTGCTTTCTTCTTGACGTCTGCATGCTCTAGCATGACTGATGACACTTCCTCTAAGCACTGTAGCGTCCAAGCAAGAAAAAATCCTTTCGCATCCTGCAGGAAGCAACGAAATCCATGCAAGGCACAAGCATCACCATATTATCGGAACGCCAACTCCAATGACTAGAAACGCAAGGCCATGCTATAACAAAAATGCTGTTAAAGTTTTGTCTGGACGTCTGAGGTTTTTGTGCCTTCTCCACTCGAAACAAGCGAAAAAAAAAGACTCCACAAACTGTTCGCGCGCGTGTGGACTCCACTTCAGTGTACCAAACTTTGGGATGGAGCTTGAAAAGAGGCACGACAGCTGTTTCGGAGTTTTGACCTAAGTTTTGCAGGCCAGGCCACAATCATCCCACCAAAACCACAGCCGAGGATATGGATATTTTGTATGCAAGTACAGCAGAGCTCTTATGTAGCAAAACTTAGGGTTTAAAAGTCTGTACACAATAATGGTTCATAAGGTTGTGTGATAACATACTCAAAGGTTCGTTCGAAGGGAACTGCGGTTCATTCATGTACAGCCGGGCTTCTTCTATTGCCGGTCCGCTGTGCTTTGCAGCTGAGGGGCCATACATCGTTGACGAAGCATTGCCCAGATCAAGGAAGTGCAAGATGGCAATTAGATGAATGGCTTGCAGCACACGCAATGGTTGAGGATATGCAACATGCAAATGCAAGGGCAATCTCTCATGATCCATTAGTTCCTGCTACAATATTGATGCAAGAGAAAACCAACGAACCAAAAACGAGGAAACGAGAAAAGCCATTTTCTGCATCATTGTTTTGGAGGATTATTATGCTTCTGTTACTCCACTATATGAGAGTGCTAGCTACTCGTGTATTAAGCTAGATAGATTTGTGCAAGATAGGCGATAGAGTAGACACACTTCGATGCATCGACGATTGAAACCAGAAATCACCACAACAAGACGACAAGTTGACCAAAAGAAGACGAGTATCTCTCAACAACCTTTATCGATCATCACTCAATCATGCCTATTTCAACAAGGCCTGTTGTGCATTCAAAGCCATCGTCCTCGCATTTGTAATCTCCCACTCAAATTCTTTGAGCGCACGTAATTCGCTCCCTACAAATAATCCTCCCATCAAGCCGTCGATGACGCCGGCTGAGAGTCCCAATGTACTCAGCAGCATGAGTAAGAAGGCTACAAAGTTGCGTGGTGACCACCAGACGGCGATCAGACAGCCGATGGCGATGAGCAGCTCGGCGCCAAAGTGGTATAAGCGGTACCTGCGTTGCTTGCGTTCGCGAAGCTCGTATTTGTGAATCATGGCGAGGATTTGGTCGTAGGTTTCAAGAGGTAGGAAAGTGGTTGATTGTGGTAGTGTGTTTGTTGGGTGAGGTGAGCGTGTAAGTGTTGTTTCTACGGAAAAGTGGTCGGAGAGGGAGCAGAGCAGCTCTGGGTGTCGTTCGGTAGCTCCTACGTTGACGCTGTCGATGCTCCATTGTGATGCTGGGCCCTCCGCGTCGCCGCCGAAGAAGATATAATCCAGACGTTTGGCTTTCGGATCTGGTTGTGAGCCATCAATATGGGTGTCTTCTCTCTTCTCTAGCAGCTTCTTCTTGTCACCCTTGTTCCAGCGCCAGGTGTTATACCTATTGTCGCAGGTGGTTCCATGCTCTTTCAGACACTCATCGGATGAAGGAACTGGCATTCCTCTTGCCTTCTCGGCCTCATGTGTGGCAGCACCAATGGCAGAGTCTGGATGTAAGACTCTCCAAACATCCTTGACAGGGGAATGAGCCTCGATCAAGCGGTGAGCCAGCGATAGTGGGATCATGTTGAAGTCGCCCAGACCGAGGACCATATGGCCACGTTCGGCAGCACCACGCATGAGCTTTGCAATCTCCCATGCTTGAGCAGTACGATGGCAGATGTAGGAATCGTTCGGCTCGGCTTCGTACGGAGCGTGCAGGTGTGTGGTGAAGACCTCGACAACATCTTTCTTGCCCGGACCCAGGCGGATACGGGCGCAGGCCACGCCTTTGCCAACATACCAGTCGCCGCGGTAGAAGGCAGCAGGTCGGCCATTGAGCGGATACCTGACCATGGTGCTCTCCTCAATGGGCCATTTGGATAGGATGGCCAGACCGCCGCCAAAGATGCCACTCCAGTAGAACTTTCCATAGGGCAGGATATGTTTTGTTCGTTCGCGAATAGCGTTGAAGTCTTGTTGAGTCCAGCATTCTTGCAGGCCGACAATCTCAGGAGCAGGCGATACTCTGGCGAGGTGGTTGCCGATCTCTACGAGACGTTCATGGCGGTATTTTGAGATGAACTTGAGGCCCCAGCAGTTCAGCGAGATGACGCGTATCGAGCTCGGTAGCTCCAGTGTCTGTCTTGTGTCTTGCATGTTCGATTTTGTAGTTTTGCAAGAAAGGAAATTAGCAGGAGTAGATTGCGAGAGAGGGAAAGATTATTGATGTCATCCGAGACGCAATTCTGGAGAAAGCACAAACATTCGCATGTGAAAGCCAAAGCCCATCAACATTCTTGTCGCAACCTGTCGCATGCCGATTCCCATCTTCTACAATAGGCGACCATCTTTCCGCGGTACGACATGAGCATCGCCGACCAGGTACAAGGTCTGATGGACGATGTCCTTAGGCCAGAACCCTCTCCGAAGCGTCGCCGACTTGATTCCAACTCACCACCATCTTCATACGAGAACGACCAGAAGCCCGACCTTGACACGCCTACAGATGCAGAGAATGGATACGCTTTTGAGGAAGAGTCGGATAATGGAGACCAACCTACCGCCAGCAACTCGCAGACACCACGCGAACGAGACCAACAAACAGACGACTCTCGACCATTGGGCGTACATTACAAGTCATACATGACTCTGAGGANNGGTCACAAGAGAGGCGTTGCTGCCGTGAGATTTTCACCAAATGGCAAATGGGTTGCTAGCTGCTGTAAGCCACGCGACATTCCTTGACATTACGGTGAGTGACTGACAGCTATCTCAGCCGCCGATTGCACCATCAAAGTGTGGAACGCTCAGACAGGAACGTTGGTTCACACTCTTGAAGGTCACCTCGCCGGTGTCTCGACCATATCCTGGGCTCCCGACTCCATCGTCCTCGCCTCGGGCTCCGACGACAAGTCTATCAGACTATGGGATGTCAGGACGGTACGCAATAGGACATCTGCTCTCGCAGAGCACGGCTGATCATAAGAGCAGGGAAAATGTATGCCGACCGCCTTGACTGGCCACCACAACTACATATACAGCATTGCCTTCTCACCAAAGGGTAACATGCTCGTGAGCGGATCATACGACGAAGCAGTCTTTCTATGGGACGTGCGAACAGCCCGAGTAATGAGGTCGTTACCTGNNCTCACTCGGACCCGGTATCAGGGGTCGACTTTGTACGAGATGGAACGCTTGTGGCATCCTGCTCGAGCGACGGCCTTATGTGAGTTGTGCATCTGAGAATACATGATGGGAACACGACTGACATCAGTGTTAAGCCGACTATGGGATTCAAATACAGGACAGTGTCTGAAGACATTAGTGCACGAAGACAATGCGCCAGTCACATCGGTACGCTTCTCACCCAACGGTAAATTCGTGCTTGCGGCGACACTCGACTCGAGCGTACGGTTGTGGAAGTACGTCGAAGGTCGATGTATCAAGACATACCAAGGACACAAAAATCAGAAGTTCAGCATCAATGCATGTTTCGGAACATATTATAACGAACAGGAGGATGGAGAAGAGTCGGCATTCGCCATGTGCGGCGACGAGGAGGGCAAAGCAGTGATATGGGATGTCAACACCAAAGCAGTACTGCAGGTTCTGGACGGACACGAGGACGTAGTGCTTGGGGTGGATAGCAGTCCCGACAGCAGTATGGTAGCGACGTGTAGCCTGGACGGGACCATCAGGATATGGAAGAACAGCCCTGACAAGTAACGAAGATAGTCATCTAAAGTAAACAAATTAGTGAAAGAGAGTGGATGGCATAAGTGAGGATAAAAAGGCACAAAAGGAAGCTCGGACGCGTTTGACGGTCATCGTCATCGGAATCGCATGTGCTTCAGTTCATCCGTAAACTCCACCAGCTGCTCTAAACAACAAAGCATTCAACACAACATGGTCGATCTCGTGAGCTACTTGCTGTCGGAACCGCTGGTTGATGACAATGGTGCCCCTCTGGACGACAAGAAGTGTGATGCAAGTCTGCGCAGACTGGTCGATTACATGCGAAAGCTCAAGGCTCAGGATGTGCCGCAGCAGGTCCAGGGCAAGCCCTTGGTAGATGTGAGTCGTTGTTCAGTTGTCCTGTTGATACACAACTGACTTGGCTTGATAGNNCTACTGGATCCTACTCGAAACACAATCGGCTACTTGACCGTCCTCCTCGCATACGCCCAACAGGCAGTCCTGGCGCAACAGGTGGCGCTGGTCGCCAACTTCCTCACACACTTCGATCCTGTCCAGGCACGCTATGTCGGCCCCGAGATCCAACAGCTACTGGTCTGGCTGGCAAACTACTACGAACATTCAAGAGATGTACGACTTTGGCAAAATACCTCCCTTCCGTGTTTGACTGACATCTGTATTAGGNCATCCGTCATTCCCTACGTTGCGACTGCCATCCTTCGCCTAGACCCAGAGTCCAGCACCCTCACATCGAACCATCTTCTTTTCGTGCGACTATGTCTGTCAGCCCGTCTGCCACGCCAGGCCCTGCCTATCCTTGACAAGGACATCTACAACCTCCCCACCGATTCACAAAGGNGCGTCGATGACCGTCTGCCATGCGCCGACCACGAACTCAGTGCCACCTTTATCACAAAGTCGTCCCACATCTCAGCAACCCTGACTGCCTCAGACGTCCATGAATACTACTTGTTGGGCGCACACGTCTACATCGGCCTGCATCGCTATACCCGCGCTCGTCTCTTCCTCGAGCTTGTCCTTGGTTCGCCCTCCCAAAATGTTGCAACTCCTCTGATGGTTGAGGCCTACAAANAGTCCATCCTCGTCAGCTTGCTATCTACCGGTTCTCTTACATTCACCAAAGGTTTGATCAACACTCAGATGATCAAGACCTACTCCAGTTTGTCCAAGCCGTATGAAGTTCTTGCAGATATCTTCAAGAAGCGTGATGTCCTACGTCTCGATGCTGAGATTGCCGCTGCAACTGCTATTTGGGACGAGGTAGGATTGTCAGATAACTGCTCCATGAGACTACATGGCTAACTTCTGTAGGACGGCAACACAGCCATCGTCAACCAGGTTGCCGACTCATTGCGCCGATACCGTGTCATCGATCTGCAAAAGACTTACGCAGCCCTTCCCATCGAGACAATCGCGGTTCACCTCAACCTTACTCCACCAGCCACCACCACTCTCCTCAGCACCATGATTCGTGACGGTCACCTGAACGCCATGCTTCCTCCGCCTATTGCGGGTGCTGACAACAAGCCCGTTCTTCGCTTCCTCTCGCTCAATCCCAATCAGCCAGCTGTCGACCAAGACGCTCTCTTGAAGGAGAAATCCACCCACATTGAGCAGCTTGCCAAACACGTTCGTGAAGCCGATCGTAGACTTGCCATCCAGAAAGAGTTTGTCGAATTTACTCGCAGAAGCAAGCGTGCCGAGACTGCTGGTGCTCAAGGCTACGAAGATCCGATGGACGTGTGGGATATACCCGAGAACGGTGACCAGGATGAAGACATGATGGCCGACCTTTGATCGCTGCATCATTATGGAAAAGAGAAGCGAATCGGTACTTTTACGACATGACTGCATATGAGACGGCGTTAGCTTTTGAGGCGGAGGAGCCTCAGTTTACTTTTTTCTTTTTGTTGCATGCAGCCTAGACGGGATGAGGCTTGAGTGCATTGCAGATGATGCATCAGACTAGCTCAACACAAGCGGTTTTTATAGATCCGGTTTAAAACGCAGCTCTGATAACCATAGTTATATCGACAAAGCCGCTTCCTGATACATACAGTAGTAAACGTGATATGTAGTGACGAATACCCCTATCAGTTACAGTGGGTAATGTTCATCACAGGAGATGTCCAGGTATGTCTTGCAAGGCGAAGGAAGGAAAGAGTGAGAGTGTCATTTATATACAAAAACCCAAACCAGAACAACCTGCCAAACACCAAAGTCATCAAAAAAAAAAAAACTCCAAGTCCACATCTCGACAACAAGAACCAGAATAAGACGACGAAACCTACCTTTTCCTCGCCTTGACAGCCTCTTCCATCTTCNNCCTAACCATGGTCTTGAGTCCAACGCCCTTATCGCAATTGCCCACCAACCACACCTCCATCTTTTCTCTCAAGCCTTTGAGTCCTTTACACAAAGGCATTTTCCCTCCCTCTTCTTGCTGCACAAACATCTGCGGATTCAAGAGCATCTCAAACGCCTGTCCCCAAATCTCTTGCTGCCAATAGCGTTTCAAGCCTTCTTTGATCTTGTAGTGTTTGGTCGCGCCTGCACCTATACCACCTCCTTTTTCCGCAATGGTGGACATGTATTTGCCAAACAAAAGACTGTGGAGAAGGCCAGCAAGGCCGTGGTAATCCACTTGATAGGTCCAAGGACGCAGTTCACGCATCTCTGCACAATCCGCCGAGGAAGTCTCCCAATCGGCTACGAATTGGACGTCGGGNGAGAAAACGCGCATGTCAATGCCACGACCAAAGTCTATCAACGATACACCCTTGGCTTTCCAGCCGTTGCTGCCTGAGGGATCGTAGGTTGAGGACCAGTGTGACGATTCGTCAAGACGCACTAACACATTATCGCCTTTGAGGTCTCCGTGGATAAGGCCTTTGGTGTGTAAAGCCTCCACCGTACGAATCAACTCCACAGCAAAAAACATGGCTAGGGCTTCATCTAGTGTGCCTCCTGCTTCTGCCCTAGCCACATTGATGAGATCGAGTAATGTGCCCTGGCCTCTGAATTCTTCAATCAAGAAGCCTTCGTCCCGGAAAATGTGCATTTCGTAAGCGTGGATTACGGATTCGGTGGCGCGGGAGACGCCTAGGCGACGGTGGACTTGTCTTAACATGTAGAATTCCCACGCAGAAGGTGGATCTTCCATTTTTAGTGCTTCGTGGGTGTGGCGCTGGATGGCTGAGAAAGCGCCTTGACCCATCACCACAGCTGCATTTTCGTCATTCTCGTTGTTGGGGNNGTTGAGGGATGAAGGAGAAGGGTTGTGGTTTTCGATCAGGTAGACGGGAGCGAAAGCACCAGCACCGAGTTCGCGTTTTAGTGTGTATTTGCTGGAAGAGTGTGCAAAGGCGAGAATAGGAGCTGGAGGCAAAGATGCACTGCTCTTTTCTGTTGCGGTCTTGCCTTTTCCAACCGCCTTTGAGTATTTGCGGATCTCGGGTGTGCGGGCGTGTTGGATGGTTTTATGCTCATAGTATCCTTCATACGAGCTCAACGGCGGATGGATCTGTGACAAGATGGTTTGACGGATCTCTGGGTCTACAGGATTGATTTGCGGATCTTTGATGATGGGTCCTTTGTTGATGGGCTCTGCAGTTGTTGCTGGACGAAGAGCAAGAGGCTTTGGTTTAGCAGTAACATCTTCGCTTAGGGATACTATCCCCTTTGTAGTTTTTGTGCGGATGGGTTGGAGGATTTTGCGTTTGTTCTCGAGCTCTGCACCGCTGAGGACTTGGAAGGGACTGCTCATGAGACTGTCTTCGTCTTCATCTTCTTCCTCGTCTTCCTCTTCAATGTCTGCGTTGCCGTGGTTCTGTCTTGATGGGGTTTTGGCTGCGAAACCCTTTTCTAGCTCCGCACGGATGGTTGCAGCACCGATAGAAGACTCGGTGTGTTCGACGATGGGAGTCATGAAGGGCAAACGGTTCTGAGCAACGATGACAGGATCCCGATATTGTGACCTTACAGGCTCATAACCCTCTGGTGGTATCGGGACGTACTTCATCTTNTGCTCACCGTTCTCTCCATGCAGCGGTCCAGGCATTTCGTCTATCGGTGTCGACAACTCATCTTCGTCCTTGGAATGTGCAGAGGTTGCAGCAGTTTCGGTGACTGGCTTACTTTCGTCGTAGTCAGACCAAGCACTGACATTGGTTTTGTCTTCATCATCGTCTTCTTGATCTTCGGTGTCTTGTGTCGTGTCTTCCTTGGATGATTGTTGCGATGCGAGAATTTCTCGTCGTGTTTCGTCACCGTAATCGCTTCCTGCACCCGAGACATGGCCAGTGGTGGTATCTTCTTCATCGCTGCTGTAGTCGTCATCACTATCATCATCGCTATCTTCCTCGCTCTCTGATTCTTCCGGTTCCTCTTCAGCAGTAGTTTGCACAGGCTGACTGAAAATGCCGTAAATTTCGTCCATAGCTTCTTTTGTGTTGATAGTCATTGTAGGTTCAGCAACCTTCTTNTTCCGTAATTTCTTGCCTGAGGGCGAATCCATGTTCAGTTTGATGGTTTGAGTCTCCTTCTGCACATGCTCAACGTTCATGACCTTGATCTTGCGTGTTCGGTTAGCACGCTCTTCGCGACGCATTCTCTTTGCAAGTTCAACATCGGCCTTGGAGGGAGGTCTGTTCTCGTCGTTTTCATCCTTGATAGGTACAACCTTGAGGGAAGTGTCGATTGTAAGAGGTGAAGATTGTGTGGGTGCTGGCTTGTTCTCGGAGTCGTCTTGGAAGATCTGGAAGCCCCGTTGACTTGTTGGTCGTTCCTGTTCTGGTTGCTTTTCGGCAGAAGATGAGTCGCTGAAAATGGCGAATCCACGCTTCGGCTCCTTCGTTTGTTGATTGAGTGGCGCGGTTCTCTGTGCTTGATCAGTAGATTGAACCTGCCTTCGTTCAGCAGCCCAGTCACGATCTAGCCAGCCACGATGCCTAGCTCTCAATTCTTCGAAGCAAAACTCGATGGAAGGGTCGCTAGGGTCAGGATAGACGGCTTCAAGATTCACAAAGACACATTCAGGTCTACCCGTCTTGAGATTGATGACTCGTTGAGAAGCATGTTTACTTGATTCGTATGCATGTCGTACAGTAGAAGATGACTGGAATACACAACAACGTCGCCAGCCCGTTAGTCCTGCATTCGTGAATATTTGGAACGTAAAAAGAGGATTGGGGATTGGATCGCTTACCCTGAAAATAGCCATCTTCTGAACACCATTGTTTGTCTTGCCTGTCTTCAATGTCTCTCCAGCCATTGGTTTGGGAGCAACGGTGTTCTCCTTCTTCCTGTTCTGAATCGACTCGATACTGTCCCATCCGTTCTTCTCGCCAGGGGTTCCGAAAGCGCTCTGATCTTGTGGTGCTTCGTCTGTGAAGATGGCCATCTTTCCAGCCTTGGGCTTCTTTGATGCAGCAGGTTTGGCTGCTTGTTGTGGTGTAGTTGCGCCAATTGCAGCAGCAAANGGATCAACCTTTGCGCCAAGGACAGCGCGAGCCACAGGGAGAGCGGGACTCGTTGGCTCAGGCACATCTTGAGGACGAGCAGCATTGCGTTGCTGAAACTCGTTGAACTTCCTCGTCAGACGAGCGACAGGAGTGGCGCCCTTCTCGATACCCATGTTGTAGACTTCTTCTGCTTGTGTCCATCTGCCGGCTTGCTCTAGCCAAGCAGCGAATTCTTCATAGTAAAGTGCGAGCGACTCTGCGATTCCGTGACGGTTGAGGAAGACGAATGTTTCGCGGGGAGCATCCGAGAAGAAGCGGATGTAGTGTAGCCATAGTTTCAAGTAGCGCGGATCGTTCTTGTATTGTGGTGAGGAAAGGAAAGCTCTGGTGGCACGTTCGAGGAGAGGCAGCAGTTGTGATTGTGGTGTTGATTGTGCCGAGGGGTATGTGTCGAGGGTCCATTTGACGTAGCGATCGTAGATGTCAAGCGGGTCATCTGCTTCGTCAATCAAGGCGAGTTCGTCCTCGTAGTCCTTGCGCTCTTCGTCGTGGGCATCGTTAGAGAGGGAAGTTCGTGCTCCGCTGGTCAATGGCGGCGAGTAAAGGGCTGCCAAAGCTCTTGCCGATCGTCCACTCGGTAGTGCTTGAATGTTCTCCTTGTGTCCCTCGATAACCTCGAAGTCGATCAGATCCGAGGGTGCCATTGTTACTGTATGTGATTAGTCGAGTTGTGTTTATCTCTCCATGCGATGCGCTGCTGGCACATTTATTTACTCCGGGTTTTGTTGACTTGCGGCTTGGCGTAAACAATATGACTCGCCAATCACATGCTGATTTGTTGCCAACACCTCATTCGCTTCATCTTGACTCTCACAGGCACTGCCAACTCTCCGAGCTCACAAAATGTGTTGCGAAATTGTAGTCATTTCCCTTTCGTCGATTCTGATTCCTCTTTGTTCGGCCTACTTAATTTTCTGCATGACCTTTGCTTTACATCGGGTTTCATTCTTTCCAGGTGAAAAGAGATAATTCACTTTCTCGACACCAACACGATGCCGTATCATACTTATATGCCTTCTGCGTGGACACAGATGCTTGTTCCACATACCAAATCTCACACGCCAGCTCGCCACTTCAGGCATCATTCAAAATGGACGACCAGCAGCGCCAAGCTCTGAAGGACGAGCTGTCCAAAAGAGACGACCCTCATGTAATGATCGTCAGATATGATGACAAGCTTGAGAGAATCGGAACCTCGGCTGAGAACGTTACCTTCCACTCGAATCCGATCCAAGCCGTTAAGGCACTCTACCTCCTTCTACTCACAGGACCTGCAAGACGATCACACCACTATACCTTCTTGAAGAATGGTCAGTATCTCATCAAATGGCTCAACGCGCACTCAAACTCTCAGGCACCTCCAACTCCAAACGACTTGGTCGATGAGATCATGTCAGATCTGACTGAGAATCTTACGGTCTATCACAAGATCACGTACCTCACTATCATTCCCTATCTCGAGTATCATACCAGAGATCACGGCACACTTGCCTGGAGGATTGAGGCGATCACCGATTTACCTCTAGAGCACGCCTACGACCTCGACAATGAGCAATCGTGCATCAACACAGGTCCTGATTCACAGCTGCTGGAGGGAGAGATGCCCAGTACTGGCCCTCTGATCGATATCGACGCCGTGGTCATGTTTGACCATGATGCCCCACCTGTCTGGGTCCCACCTGATGAGTTCTCCTTCCTCGACGACGAAGTCCAAGCTCAGCTCTTGCCATTTGAGACTGAGCCCTACACCCCTCTCTTCTCCGAACCAACTCCAGGCCCTGTAACACTTCCACAAGCTAACAATGCACCTCCACGTGAAGTCCGCCATCGTGGCTTGAGTCTTGATGCTCGTAGAGTCTTTGCTTGTACCTTCCCTGAATGTTCTTCGCGCTTCACCAGGCCTTCTGACCTCCGTCGTCACTGGATTAACGTGCACCGTGGTCATACCCAACAGTAATTACTCCTTAGTAGCAGATGGTTATGGTAAGTTTCTTTGTTATCAGTAGGTATTTTCTACACCCAGTTACCACACTCAATACAAGGTTCTTTTCTTTTAACATAATATCTCTTTCAAACTTCCTAGTGGAAATCATGCTTCTCTCTCGGCAAATAATGGAATCTAAGCTTGAGGCATGCAGGTCTCATCTGAATCCAACATCGTCGCATCATTTACCGTTCAGCTCCTTGTTACTTCGAATGCTAGACAATAGAACCAAACCTTGCAATCCCATTGTGAGCGGAGGTGCAACACGCTTGCTTCAGAGTTATTACCAACTCGTTCCAGCTCTCACATACTTTCAAGTGTCTATTGTTTTCATTGTCTGCAAACCTCTCTCGCACTTCTTCTTCTGCTCTACAACACATTTCTTTGTCTTACCATTCACACAGGGAGCTCGATACTTCGAGCTACCAGACATACAAATGCTCGCGAATGTTTTGTCACATTGCCTCAATTTCAACTCTACTCACAAGACAAAATGAATACCAACCCGACTCTGAAGCAGCTTTGGGCTAACCTACACCCCGTTTCCCTAGGCCAACTACTTGAGTACAAACAGCTATGGGACTCGATGCTCGCTCTCTGTGTTACATCTTGCCGGGTTTCCCGGTTCAAGATCGGTACTGACGAACATCTCATGACCAAGATCTTCGAGAACGAGTTTATGCTAGTTGCAACCTATCTCGTGGAAGGCAGCTGCCACTCTAGTGTTCATTCTGGCTTGATGCAAAACATCTTTGAGGGCTGGTTGAAGCGTGGAGTTCCCGATCTGTCTGCTCTCAGTGAGGCTGATAAGTATCTGGCCTTCCTACAGACGTATGTCTGTGTTGACCCGGTCATTACTAGCGGCCAACTATGTGTTGCAGAGCTTGCAAATGCTCCTGAGCTCCCTTTCGATCAACACGACCAGGAGCTATTTGCCCACGAGTCTGACACTCCCTCCCAGTACAACGTGCAGATGTTCCTCGATGAAGAGCTAAGATCTCCTAGCACTGGTTCCGACACACCCAAGCTCTGGGCCAAGCCCACATCACTCCCTGGTCCAGAATACACTGACAACAGCAGTGAGTTCTTTCCAGTTGACACTTCTGTCTGTCCTTCGTTCTTCTTCACCGAATACCAGGAAAAGTGGGCTGGTATGGCTAGAGCATCTGCACGTCTTCCCTACCTCATGCACCTGCATTGTCCAGAGACCGGTGCTCGCCTCGCCACACTCAAGTTCACGTCTGCTTTGGCTCTAATGACTGCTTATCTCGAGTCGTTTTCTAGCCATCCTGATTGCTGGTGGTACTTTGACGAGTTCATGCGTCATTACCTGGATTTGGGTGATGTTGACCCTCAGCCAACCTTGGACTACATGAGAAACACTATCTCTCCCGACAAGCCGGTCGTCATCGCTGTTCCGATCCCTGAGTAGGTGTTGTCTAGAGTACGTAAGTATCCTATGCTTTTGTTTATACCTCCATTAGTGATGGGGTAAATACGTACTTCCATCTTTGTTGCTCTCAAAGCCTTTCCTCTACTGTTTCATGATATAGTAAATGCAATCTAAATAATTCTATCCCCTACACCTTATTCCCATAATTACGGTTGTGTTTCTAGTGAGCTTACGATCTCAGGCCACTTGGCAATACTGGCTACGAGCATTGTTCTAAAACATCACAACAGTGAGTGGTGTATGACATGCCAAATAAATAAAACACATCTGCATAACAAGACTTTGACAAACAGAAACCCTCCTAGTCGCCGTGCTAGGAGGGGGAAGAGAAAGCTTTTCAGCTTTCGTCGTTGCTTTTGTCGGGATCGAGGGTCAACAAACCCTCTCATGGCTTTTGGTGATGAGGAGGATCGAACCGGTGGACTCTGGTCAACTTCACGGGAGACACGAGCTACTACCGCTGCGCCATTCCACCAGTTTGATGGTAACAATGCTGACTCGAATGACTATCAGACTGAATTTGGATTTGGAGAAGTGAATTGAAGCTTTGCTTGATGTTCAGGGGCGAAGCGATTATGACAAAGACTTTCGGTCAAACCATTCTTTCCACCTGCATGGTGCACATGCAGCCGGATCGTGCCAGATGGTACCAGGCTCGTGGGAAGGCACGCTACGAACGTTGGGATACCTCTGAGCCTCGCAGCTTCCTTTGTTAACACAGACAATCTTCTTTGAACAAGTCAACAATGCATTGTCTCCCTCTCGATCATCATCCATTGTACTATCAACAAAGTCGTTGTTCATCTCTTTGTCAGCTTACGCCCACAAAGGACCTTTCTTGGAGTTCGATGTGCATTTCGTTATTTGCACAACAGACCAACACAACTTCCTTTGATGCCATATGCGCAGCTATTCATCCTGTGTTGGCATTACAGATGGTATATAACCCAAGTCTTGTGCGGTTTATGGTGCCTCACAACACGCTCGGATCATCATCACTTGAACACATCCTCAAAACACTCACAACAAACTACCTCGAAAAGATGAACGCTCACGACGAAATTCAAAACCTCAACATCAATCAACAAAACATTGATCGCTTGAATCGAAGAATCCAATTCAATCTTCTTACTGAATTCAAGGCTTATCAATGGCTGGACGAATGGATGCCTGCCTCTGTTCCCGAGATGCCAACTCCTGACGACAAAGATCTTCAAACTCAAATGGGTGAGTGTCTCTTCGGCTACCCTTATGCTCTCATCCTCACCTCCAGAGCTACGAACAAGAGAGTCTGGTTCTCTGTTTATGACAACGGTCAATACCTTGTTCAAAAAGTTCTTTCGTTTGCCAGCACGACTAACCCTGAGTTCTGGGGTGCTGTGATGGATGCTTATCTTGACTGGATCAGAAACGGCGAAGCTGATCTCTGGAACCCTAACATTTTCTTGGAGAAGATCAGTCAGTACACTTACTTTGAGTGGTCTGCTACGCCTTGCTTTGATTTGAGAAATGAGAACGCCTGGCCACCAGCTGCTCGTGAATGGGCTGATTTGTACTTGCAGGAGATTCTTCAACCTTCTGATGAGGTCTGCTTTAGTGGCTATCCTGAATTTTCTTTTTCTCCTGAGGCTGCCAGAACGTTCTCTCAGACAAACATCACTTTCATGAGTCTTGAATACATTGAAATCAGACCTTTCATGAGAGAGATGCGCAAAGGTCGCTTCCTCACTCTAGGTCTCCCCGCTGTCTCTCTTGCACAGGCTGCGACTGAACAGATGATCCCAGCCCTTCATCGATCCGATGGACTACCTATACCCGATGAAATGGTTCTCTGGACCCAAGACCTCGATGAAAGGGTCTGCAATGAGGTAAGTCACGGTATCCGCCCCTCTCCTGAATCTCTCGCTGCCTCTCTCGCCCTTCGTAGACTGGGTCACAACATCATTTGGCCTGACCAGTTCAACGAGGGTCTTCGTCTCGGACTTGTTCCTCCGCCTGATGCCTTTCCACCTGCTCTTGAGCCTGTTGTCTACCCACCTGGTGTCCTTCAAGCTGCTCACGACCGCCTTGTTGCTTTCTTCACTCTTATTGCTTCTCGCAACGCTAATTGGGAGGCTTTTCACCACAACAGATCCATCGCTGCACAGGCTGAAGCTATGAAATCCAATGCTAACTCTTCTTGATCTGTTATAGCCTATGGATGGTTGCTTCTTCCTATTGATTCAGGTTGTTGGTTTTTGGTGTTACACAGATAATAAATCAAAACTGTATGCTTTTCTCCCTAAAAATGACTTTTTCCTTTTTTTTTCTTTTTTCTTTTTCTTTGTGATTGTCTTTGGTATTTCACAGATAGTTATATAAACTGTATGCTTTTCCCCCTACGAATGATTTTTTCTCTCTTCTCTTTTCTTTTTCGTGATTGTCTATTAATGTTCGCCTTCTCTATGGATGTGACTAGTTTTAGGGCCTGAGGAATCTCCGTACAAAACAAAGGTGTTACCAGTGCTTTCGCATGGCTACATTGAAGGCGGCACATGCATTTGCCTTTGTTAGTATCATCGCTGTTATTGTTGTCCTCATCATTTTGTCGCTTCCCTTGACTCGTAGCCTCTATCACATCATTTATCAACGAAGAGGAAGATCTGACATGCATGAATATCTTTGATACAAGAGAAACGAACAATAGACACTCTACACCATAACAATTACGAAAGATCCAACCACTGGACCAAGCAAGCGCCGTCTACCCAACTCCAGAACAACCCAATCGTAACACATTTCGTACACTCAATCTTAGATCTCCATGCGTTCAGCACGAGCCATCATCTCAGCAACCCTCTTCTTCTTAGCATTCATCTCTTCCTTGAACACAATATCAACAAGCACATCTGCCACCCACGAAGCCTCTATCAAACCTCCTTTGATACCGTTAAAGACTACTTCATCGCCATATCTGCCTTTGGAGTCGCGGCCACGATGTCTAAGCGCTTCGGCATCACCCCAAGAACCGGTGTCGTATTGTAGGCGATCGCGCTCTTCTTGTGGTAAAAGAAGCGACATGAAGGAGTCAACGACATGCAGGTGTGTTTGTGTCCACACGAACCGCTGGTCTAGTTCGTTGGTTTTGGATTTGCCGAGTAGACGTGATAGACCATGGCCCAGAGGCCCACTGCGAGGTACGATACTGCTGCCAGATCGAGAGCGTGTGGAGTTGAGCATACGATGTAGTGTACGAATGTGTGCATATATGAACGGGTGTGTATCAGGCAANAGACCGTATTTGCGGCGCAAACGCAAGACGTGATCAGGCACAGTAGCAACAGGTGCTGACTCCAGCATGACAGACGGCTTGCGCTCTGGTGACGCATAGACCGGAGGCTTGGTCACAGCCTCCCAGAAGGATTCTGTAAGTTTCAGGAGTGGTGACCTGGGCTGCGAGTCTTCAGGTGACTCGTTGATAGGTTTCCTTAGTGTTGGGACATTGTCAAACAGAGGAGGATACTGTCGTTTGGCCTCCAAGAGAGTGGAGTTTACATTTTCATCATTGAAGTTGACCTTCACACGCATTGGTGAATCCAGATTCAGCTCCTCCTGGTAGCTCCTCGATCTCGAAGACATGGTCGAGACATCTTGTTCAGAAGAATCGGTAATAGTGAGGTCAATGGTGTTTGCACTTGGCGCTCTCCTCGATCCTCTTACTTGGCTTCCAGAGGTGAGACTTGAGATAGTGCTTGCAGCTCTACTTGATTTCCCTCTCATCTCTCTTTGTATCTGTTGGGCATCAGAAGCTAGACTAGAGTCTGTCTGCGAAGTGTCGACTTGAATCTCTTGACGTCGTGCTTGAGCGTTGTTCAGATTGATAGACTCGACCAGACTTCGGCGAAGAGGTGAAGGACCAGCGGAGAGGTTTGTATTGGAGCTGCTTTGAGAATTCTGGACGTGCTTTGCAGGACTGAAATCCAGAAATGTGTTTCTGAGTGGGCTGCTCGGCGCGAAACTGCTCTTCGCTGAGTCCGCGACATGCTTGCTTGTCTTTTCGTGGTATACCGATGGAATATTTGACTGGAAGAACGTTCCCGTGTCATCGCCAGACTCAGACTGGCTGAGATCTTCATCTGCTTCAACCTTCGCTGAAGGCTCAACTTGTCCGCTCGATCTCTCAACAATGACAACACTACCATCGTCGGATGATGGCGGTGTCATAACGCCACTACTCTTCCTGGATCCCATGGTGGAAGCGCTGACCTTGCGGTTCTGGCGCCCCTGTGCTTCGGGAGAATTGCTGTACGCAGAACTTGCCCCTGATACGCGACGTAAAGTACCAGGAAGCTTACTCCTGCGAGGCTTTACGACGAGATCATCTAGGAACAGATCAGTCTGTTCTGGAGAGCCTTCTTCATCGACCAAGGAACGGCTCGCTTCCTCTTGCCAAATGTCCTTATCATCGTCTCCATCTTCTTCTTCTGCTTCTGGCTCGATTATGTTGTCTTCAGATTGCTCAATCGCATCATGCTTGGATGCTGGTGAAGAGCGAGGCGGACTTTGCATGCGGCTCGCTGATGCATTTTGAACGTCGACATAACTCATCTCGGGCTCCTCACGTGCTTGGCTGGTATTTCTGGACGCTCGGGCGAGTTCAGGATATTCCACATCGACTTGAGATTGATTGGCCTCTGCGGATTGCGAGCGGTCATCTGTCTGAGGAGTGAGAAGACGGGCAGGGAGCGAGTCGAAAGTATCCTGTTGTCGCACCGGACTATGGAAGGGAGATAGGTGGTTGGACAACGCGCTGGCGGTAGGTGCTAACGTAGGTACGTTTTGCATAGCTGACGGCGAAGCTAAGCTCTGTCCAGTATGTAAACTTTGGCGCAGCTGGCGTCTTGTACCAGAGCTGAAGCCGTTAAAGATGGATTCGCGGGCGGAAGGTAGCTCTCTTGATACAGATTCGCGGAATGGACCATTTAGTGCATCCTGTAACGCTCTTCCAGACTTGCGTGCACCTTCTCTCAGAGGTGTTGAGATATCGACATCGTGACCTTGAGATGGTTGTGGAGCCTTTGGGTTCTCGGGGGTCGAATCTTCAGGCACAGGAGTTGTTCTGTCGGCAACGAAGGCTGGAGGGGACGAAGGCATATATGAGCGATTGACAGAAGCATCGCCTTCAGTAGCTTGAAGTGCGTGTGAAGGCGAGGAATGGCCAGCAACTCGACTTGGCAAGGAGTCAACAGATATCATACTGAACTCTTCGCTCTCGAGCATTGTTGCATCGCCAGGAGCACAAGCGCCGAGCACAGCATCTGCCTCTTCGTCTTGGTCAAATCGTGGTCCATCGATTGGTTCAGGTTCTGCGCGTTGTGATGCAGATCTGACACTGCTACCAAAGTGTTTCCTGGAAGAACCAATACGTGCACTCACGGGGGTTCTGCGGGACACGAGAGGTTGCGCTGGCTCGGGCGACAAGGAGTTAACGATTACTGGGCGACGAGTTGACTGTGGACGCTCTTCGGGCTCGGGAAAGTCGATCTCTGACAAGGAGTAATCCGTCGAGGCGTGGTCACCAAGCTGAGAGACAGGACAAAGATCGGGGACCTGATTGTTCTCCTCATCGTGTAGTGGGATCAATTGTGTCCTTGTGATGGATTTGGCTGATGTAGGCATTTTCTCAGCTTGGACAGTAACTCTGAATTGCCAGTTGTTTCCTTGGGGGTCTTTCGGATCCAAAAGCATAGATTTGACAGCAGGCGAGGTGTGGTAGTTAGTAGATTTGGGAGCCAAGGGTCCTCTGATATGTTGGGTGTAACCTGATTGCAAAGGTGAAGTCGCACTTGTCGTCGCAGAATCCAGAGGGAAACGGCTTCTCATGTTCGCTGGTCGACTGCAAAGCACACGTCGAAAAGTACCTATGTTCTGATGCAGATGTGTACGGAGCCAAACAAAAATCGAGGGTCCTTGCGTCGCGAGTAAACAATCAATTCGCGCCCAGTCAAATAAAGTGACGCGACGTAACTCCACCCCAGAGATATGGATGAGGTACAGTAGAGTAAACGTGACTAGATCTTGTTGATGTATAGATGCGATAAATAAGCACTCAGATGTCGCAGAAATGGCCAACCTTCCAAACGTGCAATGCAACAAGTCAAGAGCAAGGTTACAGGTACGGCGTAAAAGATCATGTGACAGCGCGGGGCGGGCCGCAGCTGCCATGGCAACGCATCGAGGCAGACGCTGCTTTGGGCAATCAAGTTTGCGACAAGAAACACTCGACCACGAGCTTTGTGACAACGAGTGGCTATGGATGTGGAAAAGAAAGTCATATCAGTTGCGCTCAAAGTCGGCTGAGCAATAAGTATGGGTATTCATGGGTGAGTCCCAGGCCACCTCTAACAACCAAATGCTTCTACTCACACCATCTGCAGCATTTATAAAGAAATCGGCCCCGGTCAACGTATCGCTGTAAGCAAACTCGCCGCCGAGCACTACATCCAACACTCTCGCCCTTTTCGTCTTGCGATCGACATCAGCATCTGGCTATTCCAGATCCAATCCGGCAAAGGTGGCACCAATCCAGCTCTAAGAACTTTCTACTATCGCCTCTTGCGCCTACTATCTCTCAACATCCACCCTCTATTTGTCTTCGATGGCCCTAACAAGCCCACTTGGAAACGGAACAAGAAGGTTGGAGGTCCCAACGTAAGAGTGTCTAGCGTGCCCGAGTTCTTGGCCAAACAACTTCTCAAACACTTCGGCTTTCCACTCCATTATGCTCCTGGCGAAGCCGAGGCAGAGTGTGCTCTTCTCCAGCGAGAGGGCATAGTCGATGCTGTTCTCAGTGAAGATGTCGATACCCTGATGTTCGGAAGTGGAATGACTTTGCGAAGCTGGACCCCGGAACAAAAGAGTAGCAAAACACCCACACACGTGAACGTATACCGAGCCGACGCGACCAAGGAGACCAGTGGTCTGGATCGTAATGGCATGATTCTTGTTGCCATGATGAGCGGAGGTGACTATATCACCGAAGGTATCCCTGGATGCGGTCCCAAATTAGCCTGTGAGGCAGCAAGAGCCGGATTTGGAGACGAGTTGTGCAGTCTCGACAGAAAGGATACCGATGGCCTCAACGCCTGGAGGGACAAGCTGCGCCATGAGATACGCACCAATGAGAGCAAGCACTTTCGGCAGAAACGCCCTGGTCTGACCATCCCAGACACATTCCCTGATCAGAAGGTCCTCAGCTATTACACCCATCCATGCATCTCAACACCCGATAAGATCGCCAAACTCAAGGATACCCTCAAGTGGGACATGCCATTAGACTATCCAAGTCTTCGAGATTTTGCAGGAGATGCCTTCGACTGGCGTTGTATTGGTGGCGCCAAANAGTTCATCCGCAATCTTGCCCCTGCTGTGCTCGTTCGAGAACTGAGAATGCGAGGAGAGGCTGCAGATGGTAACGAGCTTGGTCTGTCAGCACAGAAGGCCAGAGAAGCAACTCTGATCAATGCCATCCATGGCAAGCGCTTACACCCAACCACCGACAACATCCCCGAACTGAGAATCAGCTTCAAGCCAATCGAGCTGATTGACATTGATCTCAGCATTGAAGATCCTGACGAAGAGATTCCAGAAGATGAGAATGATTCTGACTCGGAACCATTGCCAACCGAGGATGGCGAGTGTCCTGGGTCACCTAAANAGAAGCGAGGTCCGTCCACATACGACCCGACTGTTCATGATAAAGTCTGGCTTCTTGACACATTTGTACGCCTCGGTGCACCCCTCAAAGTTCAAGATTGGGAGGCTGGTGCAGGCGCACCTAAATCGAGACCTGCTCCACGACCTCGCAAAGCCGCCAATGAAACAACAGTAGCTCGTAAACCCGCAGCGACAAAGAAAACTGGTGGTATGCAAAGAGGTGCCTTGGATCAATTCACCAAGACCACCAAACCTGGTGTTGATCGTACAGCACAATCTAAATCCAGATCTCCACAATGTGATGAGTTGGATCTGGCCAGCATTAACGCCCTTGCAAAAGAGAATGAGAAGGAGCCTAATGCGAAAGTTACATCCAAGAACAGCTCATTCAGAGCTAGAGCTTCTTTCGCTGAACTCGATCTGAGTGGTCGCACGGAGAGCAGGACACCTTCAATACCTGAGATGGACCTCAGTCTCGAAACAATAGTTCCGCAGAAAAGGTCTTCGAAGCGGCCTTCGCCTGAGCCACAATCTCCTCCTAGAAGAGCTAGGCCCAGGATGGCCTCGCCAGTCCGGAAAACATCTGGGCCTCCTGAAATTATCGACCTTCTTTCGTCATCGCCTGCAAAACCACCTTCGCCTAAAGCAGCGCCGACGCAATCCTTTGGAAGACAGGATCGTTTTGAACAATACAGCCGGCCTGCTGTGGCCTCTCCTCAAGTCGACAGTGATATTGTCGCACCTTTGCCCGATACAGTAACGAGAAGACGAAGAAGATCACCGTTGAAACGTTGTCAGACCGCACCAACCGCAGGCGTTGACGACATCGGGTCGCCCCTGTTACGACCTTCCACTCCTCGAGGTCTTGAGATTGAGGCTATCGACTTGGCTTCTCCAGAATCATTACCAAGTCTTCCTCGATTCGGCGCAGTTCAGCGCGTGTCTGATCAAACGCGTGATGCAGTCTTACTTTCGACCATGCCCACGCCAAGTGCCAGATCATCTGTACAATCAAGCGTGTCCTTAGACACTGCCGATCCAGATGTGGTCAAAGATAGGATTGAAGTGTTGGAGCTGCCGTCCTCAATGCCTACTCCACCTCGGGAATCGGAATTGCCAAAGGATGCATCAGCTATTGAGCGGCCAGTGATCTCGGCGTCTGCTTTACTGCCAGCTAACAAGCGCCTACGTGACAGAAAAGTCGAAGCTACAGCCACGAAGGTTGCAGCAACCACGACAACTTCATCGGTTTCTGAGACAAACGTAACAAGAAAGGTTCGTGCCAATGATACCAGGACAACGCAATCAACCTCTGTTGGAGAGAACCAGCAGCCCCTCGAAACACCAGCGAAAAAAGTAAAGAAACGCTTCGTTCAACCTCGAGACAGTCTGCCCGGTAACTGGAAAGAAGTAATTCTAGAAGTCGACCTGACTGCACCGACACCCAAAGACCGACGAATGTATCGAAAGAGTGGTGTTGAGGAATTGGACTTGACAGGAGATTGAGTTCATTGGGAAACAGTATATTTTAGCATATGGCATTGGTGGCGTTAAAGATATGGATATACCCTTTGTTTCTTTTCCTTTTCTTAGCATTAAGAGACTAGCATGGACGGGCCTGTGCATGAGAATAAAGTATATCATCACTTCCATCTTGTGGATACAACAGGGCATGTTTGCAACAGTTCGCGTGAGGTGATTCTTGCTCATGGAATGTTTTTGGCTTGTGTCTCTTCCCATCTGGGCAAGAATCTAATAACACTAACGATGTACTGACTAGTTTGAGAGCAGTGTAGACGCTGAAGATCTTGCAAGAACAAGTGTGGTTGTGAGAAAACGAGAAAAGAGCGATGAGAAAGAACCGCATGAAAACACAGCAGAAGCCGCCAGACGAGCGAAAAGAGAAACCACACCGATGTTCTGCGAATGCAAAAATGCCGAATCGACACAGAGCAAACCAACCGAACCAGGAATGCAACCACCGCATCGCCAAAGCACACCTATCCCTTGCCCTTCTTACACCCAACAAGGAAGCTGATTACCACCCACCGTAACTTCCAAAGCCGCAACTCCCATCCCAAACCCTCTGATCCACTTATCCGCAAAACTAACATCCCTTCCCACACCAAAAGCCAAAGGCATTCTGCCTCTTCTCGTAAACCTGAGGATTGTAGTGATGGTTTGGGGCTTGTTCGCTGCATCTGCAGGCGACTGAGGGGGACTGTTCGCCACAAAAGAGGTTTCGGAGATTGCTTGGGTGGGGATGGCGAGCAGGAGGTATGCTTGTCTGGGTGGTTTGGATGCAGAACGCAGGACCCTTGTGCTTGTGGAGGGGGGTTGGGGAGGTGTGATGTCGCTGCAGCAGAGGAGTAACCAATCTGTGTATGGCACGCCTTCATTGTTGATTGCGTCGCTGTTGACCAAGGGAGGAAGTATCATTCGTATCATTCTGACTTCGGTGCCGCTGTCTGGTCCTTCGGTCTTGTAGTGCAGCTGTTTGGATGCTCTGGAGGCTTGTTTTCTGTTTCCTGTCGATGCGAGAATTGGTTTTGGGGCTGGGAGGTGGAAAGTCAGACTTTGAATTGGTGTTTCTTCGATCAAGGTTGTTGGGTTGGCGAGATGGTAAGACAGAAGCATGGGAAGTGAAGGCTTCCAGTATTGTGTTTCTTCGCTATCGTCAAGTTGGAAAGGAGTCATATTCAGCAAAAAAACAGGTGTTGGAGAGAGGATTTTGTGTCTGAGAGGGAGATCGGTCCATGGGTCGTAGGCATGCGAACGAGGGATAGCGGCTTGATGCGGACGAATCAGGTTGATGTTTTTGNNGAAACCATGAGCGAGAACTGCTTCGATGGGAGGCATGGAGCGGCGACGAGGAGGAGATGGCGATTCACACTTCTCCTGATATGTCTCTGAATGCTCATACTTCTTTTGCATAGCAGCCTTATCACTGTCACTGGCAGTGGGCTTGGAGATCCGGAGTTTGTGCTGGAAAGCTGGCTGGATGGAAAGATTGGGTACGGCGCCGCTTAGATGATCGTCTTTGGGAGCCGAAGGAAGCTTGATCTTGGATAGCTTACGCTTGAGCATGTTGTCCATCACACTGTTGGCGATCGAGGGCCTTGTACCAGAGAATTGTAGAGGCAGATTCACGTCTCTGGAATGAAGAGGAACAGGAACTCCTGTCTCATGTGATGAGAGATGCTGGGCGAGATTCTTGTTGTGTAGAGAACGCTCGAGTTGGTTGGATGGAGCAGTTCTTCTCTTGTTGTGTTGGAGCAGTGCCGGAGGGCCAGCATCCCTGTACGGCATCATGCCCGTCTGATGAGAACCGATGACAGCGTTAGGCCCTGCACTGAGCTGGCTCGGATCCAGAAGTTGAAACTGACGGTGAAGTTCTCCAGGCAAAGGCATATGCCAAGGTAACACGATGAGTTGTCCGTAGGCATCGAAAGCTTGTGATTCAATGCCCATTGCTATGTGGAGTCGTTCTGCTGCCGCGAGGGTACCAGGCAAGGCACCTTGGTACGCAGCTCTCAGCCGATATGCCTCTCTGTCGCTCGTCTTCATCTTGGCAATTTCGTGTGAGTTTCAGCTTATCATCGAGGTAATAGAGACCAATATATCGGCTTTTGAGACCGAGTATGAGGTCTTGTGTGCTAACCGAGACGATCTCTCTTGAAGATGAGGGCTACAGTGCCACGATCTGTGCTCTCTGCAGAGCCTTTCGACAGCGGATGATTATGCTCTGCTGGAAGGATCTAGCTCTTCTAAAAGAAATTGTTGTGATATGCGATGTCTGGATGGCGCTAGAAAGTATGCGCGCCAGAAAGTAGTTGTCGAAGAATGCAAAAGAGAGTGCGTACCGAAGTGTGTAAGTTGGCGATGGAAAGTTATGGGTAGGCAAAGAGTGCGCAGCGCTCAATGTAGCGGGTAGATCGGCCTGGCAGATGATATCTGTGAAAATCATATTGACCAACTCGGTCGTCGCTGTCACTTACACTTCGAGTCATGCATACAGATATGACGCCCAATCAACGGAGGTCTCGGATAAGCTGTCACCAACTTTCTTCACAGTCTCACTGCAATGAGAACGTCTAACATGTTTCAACAAGTGTTCATTAGTTATTCCCTTAGTCATTACATCGATCATTCCCATCTCTCTAGTAGCTGGATGTGCCGTTGGAAGTAGATGCCACCTCTTTGTTCACCGAGAAGTTGTATGTGGCCTGAAGAACATATGGGTCGCTACCAGGTCCAAAGATGTTTCTCTTCTCTCTTTGCCACTCAGGTTGGTTGATGGCATCAATCCAGTCCTCAACCTCCATAACCATGCAGCCGTACTTCTGGACAACACGGGGTTGGTCGGTCTGGTTGAAGAAACCCTGAGTCTCCTTGATGGTAGTGGTTCCTNNGTTCATCATGATTAGAAGTGATAAAGAGTGTAGTACAATATAAGACTCACCATTTTGAGAAGCGCATGTGTAGATCTGGAAGGCCTGCTGATCGGTGAAAATGTCAATCTGGATGCCAGAGAAAGGACTGGACACAGTAGCGACAGGTCCAGATTCGCGCCAATCGTAGGGTCCATTCTGATCTCTGTTGACAAGCCAGCAAGTGTCGTAACCGATGCATCCACTGCCACAACCACCAACGAGGTCGGGTGAAGTCAGATTGGCACCAATCTTCTTGGGCGATGACCAGAAATCGAACACATCACCTTGCTTGTTAGGCAAGATAGTACCATTAGGGATTAGAATGCCATCAACGCCAACACGCTGGCCAGAGTAGGGCAAGTGTACGGTGTAATTGTTGATAGTAGGGTCGTTGGGATTCTGGAAGCCGTCAAGATTCCAGTAAACCNNTGGACTTGGTCAGCATGCATGTCAGGTTCTCGGGGTAAATGGTCTTACGTGAGAGCTCAGCATGATAGGTGTCTTNTTGGTGGTTGCTACTGCGACCATCTTCAAGTGCCATTGGCTATAGGCTGTTAGCGTGGCTCTAGAAAGTCTCACATGCTGTCTTACTAANGGAGTCAGAGTATATGTGACGTAGCTGACAACCTCGCCAGGGAAGCCGTTGGCACCATCGGGGTCGACAAGGGAGAAGGTGATAGAGTCGGTGGTGTGAGCAGTCACGGTCCAGTTGCGCCAATCNCCTGAAAGGTATGTAAATATTGGTTTGAAGCCGGTGAGGAGTAATATCACGAACCAGCCATCGGGCCCACCGTGGAGAGTGTCGAGACCTCCATTCTCATTCGGGGTTACATGGTAGGTAGTGCCATCAATCTCGAAGGAAGAGTTCTTGATGCGATTGGCGTAACGTCCAGGGACACCACTAGCGATCTGTTAGCCATTGATCTGAATATATGAGCATGATCCTCACCCGAAATGCGGGTGCAGCTTGTCCTCGGTGTAGTAAGTAGCATTGTCCCAACCAAGAACGATATCACGCTCGATGCCGTGAGCATCTCGGATGAAGAGGTTGGAGATGGCTGCGCCGTAAGGAACGAAGTTGGCGCGAATACCTTCGGATGAGATCTCGTATTTGCCATTGGACATTACTGAAGAGCCATTGCCTGCAATGCTGGCAGCGAAAGCTGCCGCAGGGAGGAGGGCTGCCAAAGCAGCGAGCTTGCCTGAGAACATGGCTTGACTTGTTTGAGTGTCGATCTGACTCAACAAGAGATTGAAGTGAGCGATGAACAAGATGAACAACAACACAGACCTGCAGGAAGGCTAGGCGAGGGTATTATAATGTCTGATCTCTGCCGAACCCCGCTCTGGGAAAATTGACTGGGAGGAAGGATCGTCAGGTCCTGGGAAGGCACATGCACGGGCATGGTATCGGATGACGTTGCGGGGATCCTAAGTGGCAGGTGCATTTGTAGGTTCCTTCCTTTGCATGCAATGTAATTACATGGCTTGCGTGGCACGACCAGAGGTGTCAAGCAGCTACGTTCCTGATGCTTACCTATTGCTGCCGAAGGATAGATTGAGACTCTCAATATCTATCAAAGATGTGATATCGAGTTGTTGACGTTGAAGAGCAGGAGATTGAGATGAGATAGAGCTCCTCAGGAATGGGGTCCCCGCGTGGAGAAAGAGCTTGCCGTTTTGCCAAGTTTTCTGGAGGAGCGTGGGCAAGGGACATCTTCATCAGCCGACAGACCGAGCGATCGACATGCTACAACTTCGTTATTAACCGACTGGTCTGGTCACCAGACTACTTGAGTACGGCACGACTGCTGGTGGCTGACACTTTTGTATATGAAGGGGCAGGACCAGGATTGTCCAACATCGTAGCCCAGCCGGGCCTGGTACGAATGGCGTCGACGCCGCTCCCTTTCAGCCATCTCCAGGCTTCACTTCCGTCTATTCAACCATGACAATAGACCGACCACCGTCGGAGGAGGATCATGCTCAACTTTGCGTGGACAGCGACAGCATCACAAGTGGACACGACATCTCCATGTGCTAGGGACAGTCACAGCGTAGCTGCTGAAATGCACAATGTTTTCGCGAGAACTATGGTTTCCACTGAGAGAATGTTGATCAAGGCTATCTCGATGGTCAATATCGGTTTCCGGTCGGAATCGTGCATTTCGGCAGCTACACTGTGACTGTCTTTAGCACATGGGGAGGGAACGTTTCGAAAGAGAAGAGTGAGGAAACAACGGAAACGACGAACCCGCGACGTCGACCGATTTTGTTTGCTTCAGCTAAAGCTATGGTGCATCATCACATTCGGACTCTCGGTAGAACATCCACCCCTTTTCGCGACTGCTTGCTCCAGGCAACTTTCTGTGTCGATGAGTACTCAACTCTGATTCGGGTCCAGCAATATGTGTGTTGTTTGTCGTGGACGAACACTATCAATGTTTGATGTCAGTACAAGGCAAGCTGTCACGGTGTGCCAAAATTGCAAAACATACCTTTGGAGGTTGTTTGATCCGTCTTCAGTTCTGACGGCAGCTTCTGTTCTTCGGACGGACCTGGTTGTGTTCAGTCGAATTCGGTACACGACAACAAACATCACTTACAGTCTTGTTGGTTCAGGCCTTAGCGGGACCCCAAACATCGTCGACAGCCCAGCGGAAGTCATCGATGTTTAGCTGAATGACAAATCCTTGGACCTTCAACTCTTCGAACATGCACTCATCCCATCTGGCGCATCTGGGACTCTCTGGCTTGCGGACGTAGCCTGACTTGAGAAGCTTTCTTAGCTCTCCGAGAGTCTTGATCGGGTTGTAGGCGCAAGGCTGAGCGAGGTGCTCGTTGGTGGTAAGCAGGCGGTTGATACCAGCCTCGTGTCTCTCGGCTTCGGTCATGTGCTCGCCAGCCTTGATGATACGGCCGACGTCCTCGGGCATCTTGAGTTCGATGATGGTGTGGTCAGGGAGCTTGAGTTCGTCGCAGTAACGAATGGTGAGGGACAAGTGGAGGCGAGGATTCTTGTGCTCTACGATCTTGTAGAGAGCCTTGAGCTTCTTTACCAACATCTTCTTGTGGACTTCCATGGCTGATGATGTCTCGGCGTGATGTCGTTCGATGCGTGAATGATGTCGTCGCCGAGAAACAAAAAGATGGACGCGTCGGAACGTCGAGCGACGACCAGACGCGCTTCCACCAGCTTGACGATTTCACATGGTAAGACTCACTTTTCTTTCAAGACGCTTCACTTTTCCTTCAAGCAAACACGAGCCAGCCCCACACTGGATCTTGCTGCCAACCCGAGCAGAGAGTAAAACAAACGCTATAAAATGCCCAATACTATCAGGAAACAGGACAGTGTCCACTGAGAAGCGATCTCTCATCGGCTCTCTTTGGCCATCTCCTTATTTCTGGATAGAATTGTGCATTTCTATAGCCACACGCGCTACATACTTTCGCATAGGGAGGTGAGTGGCTCACATTTCTTTGGACCCCGTTGCTGTAACTCTCAGCACGGTTCCACGGTTCCACGTAACACAAGTCGTTGATGTGGCATTTCTGGCAATTGGCATGATCACAACACTGCAATATCTAAACAGCCGGAAGACTGCCTGCTCAGCCGTGAGACTATGACAAATCTTCCAGGTGTGTTACTTGAAGTGGCTATGATTTCTCTTAGCCTGACGCTGAGGTCAACAAGCTCCCATTATATTAACAGCATGAAGATCCCATAGGCTTGCTTGGAAGCATGACATATCGAGTTTTGTGCCCCGGGGTCTGCAAACTTGGCAACCACGATTTTTAGGGAACGATGCCTACGAATGTGCGTTGCGAAGCTGACACCAGCAGCTAACATCCTTGGAAGCACAACAACTTGACCGCCGTCACTATTCGTGTGATCTGATATCACACGATCCGTTTCGAGGTCTGATTTGAGACGAAAGGCCAGCTCAAATGACATGGCAGAGAAGGAAGACACAACCACAGCTCACCAAGCCTCGATCTCTGTCCATAAAGAACTGCACTGTCTTGAACCATCGTCTCGCGAATGACTCTACTCGAACATAGCTATCATGGATAGACTGTCCGGATGCAAGACCTAATCCGGCATCTGTGCAGCAGTCTCGAGTTCAAACTTGCTTAAAGGAACTCGACAATAATTCTTGACTGCAAAGTCTGGCGGTAGGTCACACATCTTGTCACCGCCTCAATTCCTGGAGCGCTGTTAGATTTAAAGCGATATTGTTTTTGCATACAAATTCCGAGTCCATTGAGATTGGTGCAGAGATTCTCCAGATCTCGCGGCTATATCTGGATAATCGTCGAGGTACAGCATAACTGACCACGTGAAAAGACACGATAAAGCAATTTCACCACCAATAAATTGGCCGGTCAAACTGTTTCCAGGCTTCCGGACAACGATCCATGCATAGGCGAGCACTGCAAGTGGACAAGGACGATCATGCCAACTCCGAACCCCTCCACCACGCCACTCCAACGAACGCGGGGTTGTTGATCTGGGGCAAGATGGCTGATTGGTGGAATTGACTACCATTCGATGATCCTCCACTATTCATCGTATCCTGAGCAAATCATTTCTCTGTATGCACCGGATAATCTGCAGCATCCTTCGAGACTGCACGCTAGTAGTCCTTTGCCTTGTCATGCGTCCCCCGTTTTGACATAACAGTGAATCCTGCTCAGGATTATGCTCCACGGTAACATGTATTGCGTCTGTACATTCCGAAGGTACCATGGCGATAATGTATGTCGGTGCCCTATGGCACCTCTGGAGGAATACTTCTCAACTTCATTCTTCTTCTCTCATTGAGTTCACCTGGATAAGGTGATTGTGGTCGCAGCATGGCATCTCACACAGCAGACGAGTCGCTCAAGCATGGAGCCCAGCAGATCGAAGAGGTGTTTGGCGCCCATGCCATCGTCGATGCTAAGCATGCTTCCGATGCTGAGCACAATACACCGCTCATGCAAGTCATCAAGAAGAACTGGAAGGCAATTGCCTGGTCAATGGTCATGTCAATGACTGTCGTCATGGAAGGCTACGATACTATTCTGATGTCAAGTTTCTTCGCCTATCCATCTTTCGCCAAGAAGTTCGGTGCATATAATGCGGCGACCAGCGATTACCAACTTTCTGGTGCCTGGCAAACTGCTCTCAAGTAAGTCAATTCGGGTGGTGTGGACGAAGAGCAGATGCTTACTCCTAAGCNNAGCAACGCTAGTAATGTCGGTATTGTCCCTGGTATCTTCTTGAACGGATGGCTTGCTGCAAAGTATGGCTACCGTAAAGTCATCATTGTTGCTCTTTTTTTCCTGAACGCCTTCATCTTCATTACATTCTTCGCACCCAACAAGCCAGTCCTTGTCGTTGGTCAGATTCTGTGTGGTTTCAGTTGGGGTGTTTTTGCGACAATCGGGCCAGCTTATGCTTCTGAGATTGTACCTCTGCAACTTAGAGGTTATTTGACATCATATGTCAACTTGTGCTGTGAGTAGTCTGCTCCTTTCTCATATAAAACTGCTGACATATCTTAGNGGGCCATTGGACAATTCATCGCTGCTGGTGTTCTCAAAGGTCTTGTCGCCAGAACAGATCAATGGTCTTACCGCATTCCATTCGCCGTCCAATGGGCATGGCCCGTACCCCTCATGATTGCCTGTTTCTATGCGCCAGAGTCGCCTTGGTATATGGTTCGCAACAACCGACTCGACGAGGCCCAGCATATCCTCAAGCGTATCTCGACCAACACCAGCGAAGACGAAATCAAAGGAACACTAGCAATGATGGTCCACACCACTGAAATCGAAACTCAACTCGACAACGAAGCATCACAAACTTCTTACTTCCAATGTTTCAAAGGTACTGATCGTCGCCGAACTGAGATTTGCTGTATGACATTTATGGGCCAGCTGTTTTCTGGCTCTTGCTTTGCATATACACCAACCTACTTTNTCCAACAAGCGGGTATCCAAGATACTGTTTCCTACAGCATTGGTCTCGGCGGCACAGCAGTCGCCTTCTGCGGCACCATCGCCTCCTGGTTTATTCTCGCACACGTGGGCAGAAGAAAGATCTACACCACCGGAATGGGTGTTTTGTGCACTCTCCTCTTGATCATCGGTATAGTTTCCACAGCAAGCAAATCCGACGATGTGAAATGGGTCGCCGGTGCTTTGACTGTAGTGTGGCTATTCACATACTCGCTTTCCGTGGGTCCTGTGGCCTACACCATCGTCAGTGAAACCTCTGCCATCCGCGTTCGCGCAAAAACAGTCTGTCTAGCCCGAAACGCCTACGCTTTGATGAATATCGTGTGTTCAACTGTACGTTCACCTCCCCTTGTGCCTCCTTCATCCCCCAACTAACAACCCCCACAGCTCGAATCCTACTTCATGAACCCCACCGAATGGAATCTCAAAGGCCAAACCGCATTCTTTTGGTTCGCAACTTCTTTCCTCACTTTCGTGTGGGCGTATTTCCGTCTTCCTGAAGCCAAAGACCGCACCTACGAGGAAATGGATTTGTTGTTCACGAAAGGAGTTTCTGCGAGACAATTCTCAAAGTACAAGATTGATGCGTATGCGGGTGCTGCTGTGGATAGTAAGGCGGAGATTCTTTATGAGGAAAAGGTTGTGGGCGATATTAAGTAATGGATGGGTTTGATGGTCAAGTAGTTCAGATACATTAGCTATCATTCAGTACTGGTATCAGGTTTGAATTGTTCTTAGGACCTGGAAGCGTAAAAATCTCTGTGAACTTATTGAAGGCATTCGAGATGGTGGCGTGATGATCATATGGATGAGAGAGGTCATGAATGTATCAAGCCTTGGCCAGCGTATTGTTTATTTAGCAACCAACGAAAGACCAAAGACTTTCATGAGCAAGGTAGGGGACATAGGGAGTAGGGATAATAAAAAAACAAATGATGATTGATTGATGATATAGACACCCAAACGCCGTTTACAATTTGAGGTAAGAGAGACTATGATGTGAGGATATATCTAGCGAGGTAGGCTGACCTTTACATGCCGTCCATGCCGACAGCAACGCTGTCCTTGTACATGCCCAAGGCAACAACCTGGGCACCAATGGCGATGGTAGCAGAGACGGAGAAGAAGAGCTCGATGGCGGCTTCCTTGACGAAGAACTTGACCAAGCGAATTCTGCTGGCCATGTCGAATGAGCGCCAAGCCTCAATGAAGAGACTCTTGCGACCAGCACGGCTGTCCAGANNGAGCATGTTGACGGCACCGTTGAAGGTGCGGTCGAAAGGAACGATAGTCTTGCTGTCCTCGTGAAGGAAGCTGGCCTCAATACGGGTACGGGTCACGGTAGCAGGGAGCAGGATGAGGACATTGAGCAAGGCAAAGGCGGCAAGTGATGTAGCAGCTCTGAGGACCAACTGCTCGGTCTCTCTGTCGGCGCTGATCTCAGGACCGACGAAGAGGAACATGGCAACAGGCAGGCCATAGGTGGCGAGCTCGGCAATAGAGTGAACCAGGGTAGGCAGAGCCAAAGCACGGAACATGGTTCTGTCGGTCTGAGCAAGACGCTGAGACCAGGTCAAGGATGAGGGCTCAGAGATGACAGTGTGAGTCCAAACCATGTGGATGCGGGCCAGCAGGATATTGGCAAGGATATTGGCCAAGACACGGCCAACAACGGGCAGGCCTGTGAAGGCGGCAACAAACATGGCAATGAAGCTAACAGTCAAAGAGTGAACGAGATTGTAGATAAGGGCAGCGCCAAGTCCTCTCCAGCGAGCTCTGAAGCCTCCGACAGAAGTCAGGTGGGCGATGGTCTTGCGGATACTGGAAGTCAGAGGAGTCTGGTTGATAACCATGACTTCTTCATCAATCAGGCGGGCTTTGTCCAGAGGAGCATCGGGATCCTCCTTTTCGTCGACAGCAAGAGTGCGAGTTTCAACAACGGTGGTCTGGCGGTCCTCGATCATGGCCAAGCTGGCGACAACACCTCCCAGGGTGTATCTGATCTATTGTCATGTTAGCAACAAATCGACCATGTTTGGATCCCATCGTCGTACCGAAGCCAGAAGAAAGGCGAAGAGCGCGCCAGTGAGGATGAGAGGAAGCATCTCGACAGGGCTGACATCAGCTGTAATTGTTTGGCGAGACTCGGTGGTGCTCATGGCTTCGTAGCCACGGCGGGCGAGATGGTGGAGCACTTCTCGGTGCATGGTGGCGATAGTAAAAGGGACTTCTCGATGACTTATGTATGCGGTATGTCGGTGATTGATGCAAGTGTTCAAGGTGATGTCGAGGGACGAGAAGCGGAGTAGGTTGAAGGAGCGACGAGGATGGGCGAGGGTAACGGAAATAAGACGTTCGAATGCTGGCGTCAGTTGGTTCAGGCAACCGCGTTGCTGCCATCATGAGTGGCGCAGGCTGCCGCTGTTCCGGCGCAACTTCTCTATTCTTATCACAATCCTTGGCGCTCTGCCTCCTTTCTCCACAGCCTCTTTGTTGCCAACTATTCACTTCCACATCTCATCAACACCTCGTTTCGAATGACCGTAAGCTCAAAGAACTAGACATGCTACAAGACTGACTCCAAGACAAACAATGTGCACTCGAATATGACACACGATGCTTCGGGGTTGCTGGACATGGAACATGTATTACAAGATCTGCTCTTGCGTTGAGTCTTGTTACGCTATCTACTGACCGAGGTGTAACTTTCATCGCCTGCTCGTGGGATGTTGCTGATTGGAAACAAATCTGTATTCGAGACGTTCTAACAGCGTTTGAATCATCCCCAATCCCTGTTTCACGCGGTCTCACCATTTGGACCAACAGAAGACACAGGCACATTGGGATAGGCAGACTTTTTAGGTCTCTTTTTCCACCCTTCGACAACCCTCCGGCAAGCTTCTCAGATCTCTTTTATTCACCATCCGATGACCCTCCGGCAAGCTTTACGAACAACCGTGTCACTCCCATGACCAATGATGAGAGCCACTCCGCAAGGACGATAAGAGCCGAACAGAGACCAAGAGCCATGAATACGGCTGCAAATATTGCGGCATCTGAGTTGTATCGTATTGTCATCGTGAGCATCATTTGTACAATCACTTGATACATCGTCTGGACGAAATAGTCGAAACCTGGTGAGACGCTTTGTAAGTCCTTGAAGAGCTGCTAAATATGTTCGGCCCCATAGTCGACTATTTCGCCTCTGTTGTGACGCGAGATTGGCGAAATAGCTTGGTAGATGGAGTTGAGGATCAAAATGGCGAAGTAGGTAGTGAGGAAGCGGGATGCGACGCCGAAGAATGTGTTCGCCATGTTGCCTTTGACTCTCGGCTGAAAGGTATGTACGAGGATTGATTTGCTGAACAGACAGCAACCTTGTGCAATTTGTCGAATTTTAACGCCCGACGTTCCTCCCCCTTCAAGCCGGATCCGGCCACAATGATTGTCAGCTTCTTTGTGTCGTTGACATCGCAGCGCTGCTTGCTGCCTGTATCGTCATCGGAGCACCATTCCTTTGTCTCGAGGCATATATAACATCCAGAGAGCTATCTGACAGCTTTGCAGTTTACATCGAAGCAACGAAACTCTCAAGTCATGGCAGAATTATCCGACCACTCCGATGAACCGCTTGGTATCCCCTACTACTCAGATTCAACATCCGGAGGCACTCTATCGCTCACCAGCATCACGGAAGGAAGTCCAGCTAAACTCATTCCACGCAACGATGACAACGTCGAACGCATCAAGGAGTGGGTGGCTTGGGTTGATGGAACGGGAGATTTTCCTCCAGCAGCCGATGAACCCAGAAATCCTGTCTACGAAAGCTTTCTAGAGCACACGGCCATCGAACACAAAGGAATACCTCCCGAATTGGTGAATACAGACAGAAAAATAAACTTCCTGCCCCTCACTCCGAGGTGCCTTCCAGTTGAGGCCAAGCAACGTGCTTTTGCCCGTTGGCTGCAGTCCAGAGGACCTTGGGATGTCTTGCGCCATCAGAGTCCTCCAGCATGCCTTGAGGGACATATCCTCGAGTCGACCTGGTGGGAGAATGCCGATTTGCACTTTCCGCTCTATGGTGCTGGAGAAGTCGACCGCAGTCAGTTTGTGACAAAGATCTTGAAGCGCAGTGCCATCTCCCCTATTCACAACATCACTGTGATCATCGCTGTCGAGACGAACGTCAATGGTCTTGGTGTTCACGAGATCCCACTGGGAAAACTGTTCCGCCTCTATTTCAACCTGCATCGCCGTTGCGATCTCTTCCAGATGAGAGTTGTCATGAAGGTCAGAGCAGCATGCAAGAATCCTGTCGATGGAGAGAGAACATTATGCAAGCCCGCGGATCCTCGACTCAGCGAGCCCCTTCTGCTCCTCCCTCGACCACGTCTTCGAAGACATGAAAACAAAGAATTCAAAGATGCCCAAACCATCAAGGACACCCTTGACTTCTTGGGACTTGGCTTTCCACCTTACTATGGGCCTCCAAAAGCAGAACGCAGACAGGACGGTCAAAAAATCCTGGATGCACCTGAGGATAAGCGGCAGGAAGTCACAAACGAAATTCTTGCAAAGTATGCCGCCGAATACGTGGAGCGAGAGTGTTTGTACAGAAAGAACCCTGATATGAGCGGAAACTGGGTCAGGAGTCTGTTCAAACACTCTTTTCCCGGTGTGGACATTAGTCCGTGGGGCTCAACCTCGCGGAGAGAGAAATACTATGGCCAATACGAAGTCGACATGAGCGAGTGGATCTGCATGTTGGAAGGACACGTACACGATGGCCCTCCTGAGGAAACTATCAGCCAGCGTATCGACATGAGATCTTGGACTGAAGAGCAAATAGCCGAGCATGACCTCAAAGAAGCTGCAAAGCATGGTTGGACTGCAGAGGATCTTGCCAACTGGAGGGCGAATCTGAAAGTGGTGGATGGTCATCAGGTTGATGCCGATGACGAGATGGGCGATGACACGGATTCCGACGACGAGGACGACGAGGATGATCAGACAGCCACCAATTATCGTCTTACGCCGACAGTTCTCAAGGCTATACAAAAGTCACTTCCTCCACACCTGGTCGAAGCTCTCAAGAACGGATCCAACCATGCATCTGAAGGTGGTCAGGTCACGGTGGTCACCAAGCACATATCGTTGTGAGTTGGGTGCAGCACCTGTTGTCGTTATCCTCATCTATGTCATAAATAAAAAGAAAAAAAGAGAACGATGTATGCTATGCTATGCCTTTCTATACTCAACTCTCAGCTTGAACAGCAACAATTTTATGAATCTGTCCATTCCTCACTTGCTCGCCAATCACAATCCCCTTCCCATCAGGAGTCTTTTCCACTTTGGAAAGCTCAACACCATCAGGCACCGCATGTTCCCAACCTCTATATCCATCTTCGAATATCTCTTTGCCAAAGGGTGCACATAGGTCTGCAGCATCGAGCCATTCATTGTCGACTGTCCAGACACCGCCACGGCCGCCACGGGCATCGTACCAACGCTCTCCACCCACCGCAGCTTCAGAGGCAATCTCCTTGCTGGTGGATTTGGAAAGGTATTGTTTGAGCAGGGGTCGTGCGTAGGGGTAGAACCACATGGACTCCCAGAGTTCGCGCATGTTGGTATCTGGGGCGGTGAGTAGACCTGATGCTGTGTCTGCTTGGGCGTTGGCTTTGGGAGGTAGCATGGAGATTAGTGAGGGCACTTGTTGAGATACTGGGTTGGTGAAGAGGGGGATGTCTGTCCAGTGTGATGTGTGAGGTAGCTTGTCTTGATGTTGAACAAGGATTGCGCTGGTGGAATTGAGGTGTGGTGTCGAAGAGTGAAGGGTAAAAGGATCCCGTAGCTTCTTGAGAGACTTAGGAACTGGAAAGCTAGGGTGTTCGGACAGTGAAATAACGCTGTCGGCAACATGTTGTGCTGTGGCTGGAATAGTCTGGAAGAGAGTAGCCTTGTAGTCAAGACCAATTCCCAGGTCTTGTTTGGCTGCTGCATAGTCCTCGGCCAACTTCTTCTTGAGCTTGTTGTTGGACGGTAGCACATTGCGAGACAGCCATGCTTTGAACTCGCGCTGCTCTTTGGCTTGTGATGCACGAAGTAGCCCTTGTTGTGCGAACATGGTATTGAAGGTATCACGATCAGTGCGCTCAATACGAGAGTTCTGCTCTAACGCTGTTTCGAACAGATGACGAAGTCCTGAGCCAGATCCAATTGCAAGGTTGTCATTGAGATGTGTCGAAAGTCTCTGTTCAGGTAGTCTGAATCTGCTCAGGAAGCCATTGTGGGGCTTTTGCACGAATTCGTATTCTGCTGCAAAGAATACTGATTGGTTGAAGCGTTGCAATTTTTGCTTGTTCGCTGTCCTGACTGGTATATCACGATATTTGCTATCCAGCTCTGCATTGGCGTGTTTCGTCTGCGCGTTGTATTCGGTCAATAGAGCTTCTGGAGGTAGCTGGAATATGGTGCTCTCGCCATCAACGATGGCAATAAAATCATCGTCCGAGATACGATTTTGCTCTGTCAAATATTCGGTGGTGTCTGCAAGACCATAGTCGAGCCAGAAATCTCCTTCTACAGTCTCATTGGGCGGGAATGGCCTATAGCCTATCAAGGTCGGCGTCGGATAGTCCAAAAGGAAAGACGACAACAAGCTTCGACAAACATTGCTCGTGATCTTTGGCGCATGGATCAGAAGATGAAATTGAGGATTCTCCTTCTTGAGTCCGCTAGGTGCAGTCGAACTCTTTCCCTCTTCGAGATCTATCGTGAATTCGGATGGCTCAAGCACAGATGGCGGCTTCCACATAAAATCCTGATGTGACGGTCGGCCTGAGATTTTATTGTAGAGCTGTGAACCAGGCGCGTTCGGGTCCGAGTTGGCTTGCCATATCCACAGAACAAGCAAGAACGAAACAGTGCCGATGATGAGTCCTCTCCATCGAGGAGCCTGGGCCAGATTCAAGAGGGCCTGTTTGTATGCAACGAGTCCATCGCGTCCTGCAGCTGGCGTGGCTTGCCCCATGTTTTTGCGTTGTCCGGTGAAACTTCTCACCAGAAATTCGTCATGAGAAAAAACACAGTCCAGGAAACGAGCGGCAAAATCAGCGAGATCGATTCCGCGCAAGAGGTAACAACGATTGAGTCTTAGAGAGAATAAGTGACGATGTGAGAATTGATGCGGCAATGATGGAAGAGAAGGCGAGTTGCCAATGTCACAGGTTGTGTGGCACGTCTTGCAAGTTGCGCGTCCCCAGCGGGCTGGCGGCTCCGTAGACTGTAGTTCAACAAACCTGAAACGCCATTCGAAGATCGCTAGAATTTCTGGGAGAAAGCTTGAGCGACGCACGAACGCCTCTGGTGTAGATCACTGCAGTAGACAACCGTCAGGGGACTGTTTTACGAGGTCACCTTATCAAACATATTGATCCCTGCCCGAAACTGTTGCGTCCGTCTCTAACACAGTCGTAAAAAACTCCTCGTTGCACAAGCCCAAGCGATTATAATCTCGCCTCGTTCTCCAAACGTATATCACGCAATCGGCTGTTTGATTTATGTTTCCAGCCGCGACGTTATCATGCAAGATGACGGAGCGCTCGTGCGGACACGATGATGCTGACAGCTTGGAATACTGCCATAAAGATCGGCGACTTGCCGACCGTGCTTCATGAGATGGAGGCAGGACAAGCGAAATCAAAAATGATTGATTATCATCCATCGTGTGAATAATGGGACGAGCAGAGGCAGTCATGATCTAAATTGAGAGCTACTTGTGCTCGGTGAATCAGGAGGATTGATTTCATGATCCTAACGACAAAAACTGCAGCAATCTGACCAGTCAGGCCCCATGAGCTTCTCGAACAAGGCCCTGTTATACCAGGTGATAGTTTGTACTCTCGTACTTATCGAATACTATAAAAAGCGCACCCGTATTCTTCGTGACCGAATATCTCTTGAGCTAATGTTCCACGTGCCTTGTTCACACACCATACTTCTATAAAAATGTTGCCGTGCACCCAACCCTGTCATACAAGCCTTGTGTCTGCGAGATTTTATCATGACATGAACCGTTCGTACCTACCTTGTGGTGGAGGAGTGTGATCAAGGGTGTTTGTGTTGTCGTGTCCTCTACGTCTCAGCAATGCATCCCTCTCAGCTTCCATGCCATTGGTACTCGGATCAATTACATTCTCATCAGGAAATGCTCGAGCTGTTCGTCGTCGTTCGACCGCAGTGATAGCCGCGGCAGTCCTCAGATCGAGATTAGGCGAGTAGGGACTGGATGGTTGCGAATTAGATGTAGGTGGTTCTGGAACTGCCTGCTGAAAGGAAGGGTATGTATTGCGGTGAGCATTGCGAGTTGGTATCGGGGGTGATCGTTCCACAAGCTGGTCTCTTGCGAGCGGACGCGCAACTTGACAAACCACAGGATTGGCAGGTATGGTAGGCATCGGTGTTCGGAAATGATGATAAAGGTCCGCTGGTGTTTGCGGCTGCATGCTAGCTGGTTGGCCATCATCGTAAACTCTCACCTTCGGAGTTGCTTGTGGCCGAAGATTTGAATAGGATGTGGACGGAGTTTTCGAGGATCGTGCTTGTGGTCGACCTGGTGTGACGGGAGGAAGGCCAGGTAAATCTCCAGGCGGCGAGCTGTTGACTATGGAAGCGTCGATTCCAGGAGTTGAGCTTACAGATTGGCTCGAGAGAGACACTGAGAGTGGCCTGACTGTTACACTCTGGCAGTCCATTTCTACATCCACTATTCGCGCTGTTATGCCGAAATCATGCTGAGGCTGACGGGACAACTCGTCCTGCCTGTTCATACTGCGTCCGTCGACATGCGATGAATCGCGACGACTGGGACGTTCACAAATCCCGATACTCCTTTCTTCTGCCTCATCATCATCGTTGTCTGAGTAGAAGACACTGCCGCTCAACAGATGCCCATCTGTAGATGTCACACGCGAGGATTGTCCTAATGACGACCGCGATCTTGCTGACAAACCTGTCGACAGACGCTGCAACTCTTGGGTTAACCGGTCTAAGGGTGAATGCGTTGGAGGAAGCCCACCATTACGGCAGGATGAATCACGTCCGTGGAGCAGTGAAGTCAAGCTTCCGGCATGGGAGGAACGTACACTGCCTAGGCGAGGGACCTGTCGCTCATCCTGGGTTCTAGAACCTATAGAGCCATGTCTCGAGGAATCATCGAGAGTGGGAATCATGTTTGCAGTCGAAAGACTGTTACTTGAGGCTCGAGACCGCTCCGAGGTGTAAGACTCTGTAGCTGAAGAAAAACGGGACTGAGGGTGCGGCATACGGGTGACAACGAGACTCGTGGGCGGACTGACTATCCCTCTTCTCTGAGGTATGCTTTCAGAATGGGGAAAGAACATATAATCAGATCTTGAATGGTCGGACTGGGACGACATCGAGGGGAAGATGGGGTAACGATCCATGACAGTGTCTATTGACGATGCAGCTGGCGGCCTGAGGTGCGCACCAGTACGACGAGCGCCCCTGATCATAGAGCCTCTAGAACGTGGCATAGGCCTAGACCTGATTTGGTGGTTCGTATCACCACGGCTGGGATCAGAGATTCGGGAAGAAGATCGTCTTGTTCTAAGCGTTCCTCCACGTCGGTTGACAGAGGCAAAGTTGGAGCTGTGATGGGGAGAAAGTTCCTGAAGAGCCGAGCCGAATCGTACACGAGGCGAGAATGAGACAGCGTTAGGATTGTGACCTCTTTGAGAAAGAAGTGCCGTACTCCAGTCACTATTGCCTTGATAGGAATGGTTGATATCCTGGCGAAAAGGCTGATGGTGCGAATGGCCTGGACGAGCACCTGGGCCGGTCCCGGAACGGCCACTATAGCGATATCTAGTAGGTATAGGAGAAGTATTCGGCTCCTGATGATGGCCGCTGATGACACCAGGATAATTTCTGTCATGTACTGGTGGTCTTTCCAGAGGAAGGTTCACAAAAGCAGGCGGGTCGTAGCTAGGAACTTGAGTGATAGTAGGGCTGACCTCTGCTATATGAACAAGACGAGCGACGGATTCAATTGTTGCAGAGGCAGAATCATCAGAATCACTGTCTTCGATAGAGTCAGTTGAATCGTGGACAGCAGACTGCGGAACATGGCGGTTTGGATCAAGCTGAACAAGGCTTGCATCTCTCGATCTGTGAGGACCCTCACGCAGGTTGTAGTGGGGCTGTGGCGGATGGCTGATGTTCGATTGTTGGTGATGGACATAAGCCCGGTCAGTCTGTGCAACAAGCGGATGCGAGGTCTGCTTGAGCCATAGGCGTTGGTCCATCTGTTTGACATCAGCCATACCAAGAGGAACTCTGGATGGGCGGTTGCGAAGCATAATGTATTTTACAAAGGCATAAAATCAGGCATGAGATGGATGATGAATCTGCAACAAGCAGTGTTGAGACTGGCAAGTGTAGAAGCCTCGAAGACAGTGTTGAACTGCCTGAGATTTTGCATGGCAAAGACATGGGAAGCAGAGCACCTGAGGCAGGTGCGACCAACTATGCGTCCGCGTGAGGAGGGAGTGATTCAGTTTTCCGTACAACAAGAGCACAGCTGCATCCTCCGGTCTTAAGAAAAGAGCGAGACACTCGAATGATTTGAGGCGGAGTGAGGCGCGTGTCATTGAAAGCCAACATCAGCGTCTTTCATTGTACGCACGTTCGAGAGACGTGGGGGACGCAAGACCAGACATGCAAGGAGGAAAAACAGCAGCGAACATGTCGTGGTTCAACAACTCGAAGGCTTGCCTGCCCAACAAAGACCAGCGCTGAGTCAAACAGCGGCAATGGGTTCATTTCGATGTTGAGCTCAGGAGAGATTCAGATGACAAAAACCAAAGAGACTTGATGCGTGCTTGGCCCAAGCTGGGTCGTAATAGGCCCGTGCACGCATACGGTGGGCGTGCGAGTTGCAGAGGATCTCAAGTCGTCGACTTGGGACTAAAGCTGGCTCCCTCCAGTCTCGTTGTTGCCGGTCTTGTACCTGCCTGTATGCACATACGAAGCCTCCTGTCAAGCCGGTTGTCGTCTCTCGTGTCTTGCGTAGCACACGACCAGTCGACCATCTCGTCGGATACACCGCATATCTCGTAGCCAGACAGACTCGCGCCTGGTCGTGTCTGGCCTTGGCTTGGCCCAGTCACTCGTCCTCGGAACAAGCATCGTTATAGACAAGCTATGAACGGCGACTTGAGCCTGTCGCGTTCGCTTGGTGGTCTGCGCATAGCCAATCCCGACAGCGACGACGATCAAGAAACTCCCACGACACAGCAGCCCCAGACGCTCCCGTATCAGACGCAGACGCAAACGCAATTGCATACACCGCCGCCTACCGCTTCGCCTGCCGACTCTCCCAGCAACAACAACACCGCTGCGAGCCCCAACCAGCAACCTCGCTCTACCCCTTCAACACCAGACGACCGACCTACCATCTCCTCGCACTCGTCGGGCAGCACCATCACGAACCTTAATCACTCGCGTGGCTTGTCACAACTATCCTCTATACACCCACCCGACCACGACTCGCATTCCCAATATGCTGCCTCGTTCCACTCCAACGCTCCCTCACATTCCGACTATGCCTCCAGTCACCTAGCCTCCGCCGACCCCTATACTTCTACTAGACCGTACCGAGCTGCTTCGAGCGACTCTGATCAAGTCTACCGCCAACGTGCCGGCTCGTACGAGGCCCAGTTACCTCAATACCCTCAAAACACCAGCATCTCTTCCGCACGCATGTCCAACATGTACACACATCAGAACATTTCGAGCACTTCTGCCCTCTCCCAGGCTTCGTCATACAGATACCGTGATGATGTTTCTTCTCAGTCTGGCCTGGCTAGGAGTGCTTCACGAGCTGCAGCCGCTGCCATGGCTGGGCACCCTCCAGTCAGATCCGCCAGCCGGAGTTACCGCGGTCCCGATGGCCAGAATGTCATGCCACCCAGAAGAAGCTCTAAGCGTGTTGTCTCTGGATACGGTCCTGGTCCATCTGGCTCTGTATATAGCATCGAAGGTGGCCCGCTGCCCAGCAGTGAAGAATGGAAAGAGCGTGGCGCTGCAGTCGCTACTAGACAAGAAGTCGACCAAAACGGAAGACCTGTTTCGAAAATCGTCAAANAGGGCGTGAACGACTTTCATTTCGGTCGCACTCTGGGAGAGGGTTCATACAGTACAGTCCTTGCAGCGACTGATCGTCAACTCCATCGTGAGTATGCTGTCAAGGTCCTCGACAAGCGCCACATAATCAAGGAGAAGAAGGTCAAATACGTCAATATCGAGAAGGATGCTTTGAACCGACTGACGGAACACCCTGGCATTGTCCGTCTATATTATACATTTCAGGATGAGCGCTCACTGTATTTTGTCCTTGACCTTGCCAACGGCGGTGAGCTACTTGGTCACTTGAAGAAGATGGGCACTTTCGACGAAGAATGCACGCGTTTTTATGGCGCCCAGATTCTCGACTCAATAGCGTATATGCACTCGAAGGGAATCATCCATCGAGACCTTAAACCGGAGAATGTTCTACTTGACGAGCAAATGCACACCAAGATCACCGACTTTGGAACCGCCAAGATCCTTGACATAAAGTCCGCTGGCGGCACTAACGACGGTTCTGGCGCTGGTGATCCCTTGGACGGCGTTGAACAAGAGAGAGCGGTATCCTTTGTTGGCACTGCAGAGTACGTCAGTCCAGAGCTCCTGACTGACAAGAATGCCTGCAAAGCAAGTGACCTCTGGGCCTTCGGCTGCATTCTGTATCAGCTGCTCGCTGGTCGCCCACCTTTCAAGGCTGGTAACGAATATCAGACGTTCCAAAAGATTGTCGCTCTGGACTATCATTTCCCAGACGGATTTCCTGGTGTGGCGCGGGACCTTATAGAAAGACTGCTGGTTCTCGATCCCTCCAAGCGTTTGCCCATCGAACACATCAAATCACACCCTTTCTTCGAAGGTATTCAGTGGGGTAAAAATTTGTGGAAGCAANAAGCACCACGCCTTCGAAGTTACATGCCTGGACCCTCTCAATCTCAACCCATCAGACTCAACGGCGGAGACCCTATGAGCTCAGCCCCAGCTCCCACCATCCCAGGTATTCCGACGGCCCCGAGCTCGCACGCAGCTTCACCGCCAACAGCTCCATCAGTACAGCAGATGCCCCGGCCACAACTAAGAGCCATAACTGAGCTGGCCCCTCCTAGTCAGCTTGACATCGACTGGTCACCCGTGCTAACCCGTAACAACGAACGTATCATCAAGTTGGGCAATCTGAATGTGATTTCTTCTCCAGCTCCGCATAGTCCCACATCGAAAGGCAGCGAGGAAGCGTCAAGAAAATTCTCAAGATTTTTCGGTGGAGCAACCACTAAGAAACGCCAGAGACTTGTCATGATAACTTCCAGTGCGCGAGTCATCATAGCTGCTGCTGGAGGTGACGAGAAAAAGGCGAAGCTTGATATCAACCTGCTTGCTAATGGGACATCTTGGAAAACAATCCAAGACAACAAGGGCTTAACAGCCTTTTGTATCGATACCGTAAGTTCCATTCTTTCTATATGGATCCCACCCAGACTAATAGCAATGCAGCGGGACAAGCATTTCTCCTTCGAAGATCCTCGAGCAACCACATCGGATCCAGAAGGCTCCAAGTATTCTACCCAAGAGTGGATGGAAGCCATCAGCCGTGCCAAGGATGTTGCACTGTCGCAATCCATTGCTAACTCGTATTCGGGCGAGTCTCAGTATGGTGATCTGGCATCAACAATGTCTAGTCCCACCAGTGCAAGTGGTGGTGACGGAGGAGGAGAACAGCAGTCAATACACTCAGTTCGAAATACTTTACGCAAAGAGCCGGGAGATAACGAGAGCGTCAAGAGCAGGAAACCACGTTTCAGCAAAAGACACTCGAAGAGCGGGCTGGCGGCTGTTTTCTAACCGATACCATCAAGTTCCGACCTTCTGCTTTCTGGATAAAACCGCCCTCTCACAAATCTTCAACACAAATTAGCAACTATCACAAAACAACCACCCACACAGCCCACAACCAAAAAGACGCTGGGGCAATTGTACATGACTCTGCTTTCTAATCGCGCGCGCTCTGGTTACAACATTCATGACCTTATGACGAGAACAAATGCCGCAGGTGTTTATCCTAAAGCTCCATCAATTCTGTTTCCTGCATGACCGCAAAATCCATATCCCCCTCGTTCTCTCGTCGAGACGCAAGCGAATGTCAAAGTTTTCATTGTTTCTTAGTTTTTCCTCGTTACTTCACTCCAAATGTTGATGGGGCGGATCTTGTTTGGAGTGCGTGGTATGTCCTGTCTCTATTCCAATGGCTAAAATCTTGTTCGCCTTGACGACTATTACCCTTCGAGCCTCTCTTTGATGGTGTTGCCGTATATGCATAAACTCGGGACCTCGCAGTTTCCTCTCACATATTTCCGTACTGTCCTTGCACTGTCCTTTACTAGATTTTGTCTTGTACATGTAGAACAGGTGTATGTGCGTGGGCTTTTATCTCTCTCTTCGCTACTCCATTGTGGTTCTCACTGGTGATGGTACAAACACAGACGAAGGTTGGCTCTCAGGAGGCCCTTGTAGTGTGTTGTTTCGATACCAACTCGTCCAAAGCTACTGTCCTAATACGCAGTGCAGTGCTCAATGTTTGACTTTTGCATTAATTCATAAAATTTTGACAGATTCATAATGCTTAGTTTAAACGCAACACGAATATCCCTACAACTTCCAGAGCAGTGTTGTAGCTGATGCGTAGCGATCTTCAGGCTGGTGTCGTTGGTGGGGCCTGGCTGTTGGTTGCTTGGGCGGCGAGACAAGGAAGAAGCAGCAACCAAAAAGTCGTCAGCTGCAGGCCGCAGGGCGAGCAATGACTTGTGCATAATTCCCGATTGGTTTAGAATATCATTCCTTGTCCACAAAGTCGACGTAGTTGTCCAAGTTCATGTATTTTAGCCATCTTTCTGAAAAGAATAAAACCAGGTTATTGACGTCGTCGTCGCATAGAGCCAAAACAACCTTGGAACCTAAGACATCGCAGCTTTCACATGTTTGGAGGGGCTACGAGCTTTTGCACAACAACCAAGCGCTCGGTCTTCGCAGTTTGAAGACAACGCATCACACGCATCTTTGGACCGTTGGCCGCTCTTCATTTGTTAGCTTCACCCTGGACTCGAATTACTGTTGATTTCACTGCCTGTCCTCTTACAACCACGCGCATCGTCATTTTACAGTAGCAACACCACCGCTCGGCAACGCAGGGCCTTGATGGTATCGCATCGCACCACGCCTCGTCTTTGTGAAGCCACAGTCCTAGTCTTACCAGGATCATGGTGAAGGCCGACATCAAACGAAACTACTATGCGGACCTGGAACTGCCCAATGTACGTCTGCTCACAAGACTACGCTTCTGCCAACAGCAGCTGACGACGGAGAACAGGNATGCTTCAGTTGAAGACATCAAGAAGGCATATCGCAAGCTTGGTAACACTCTCGCTGCCTACTGCACCGACCTATGCTAACCTACGGCACAGNCGCTAAAGTACCATCCCGATCGAAACCCTGGCAAAGAATCCGAAATCGTGCCCAAATTCCAGGCCATCCAAGCCGCTCACGAAATCCTTCACGACCCCGTCTCCAAGACACGCTATGATGCAGACCGCAGGAAGGCGGGACTAGGAGGTGGTGCCTTCACCAAGCCCAACGTGCCACCGAGGAGCACCGGAACAAACCCTATGTACCAGACTAGATCCGACTTCCCTCCACCGCCGAGACGTACGCCAAACCCAACTGCCTCATGGCGTAGCACTACATCCGGTGCCTCGGGTGCCGACCGCTTCACAAACTTCCCCAAACCTGCCCCTACAAGCAAGAAGAACCCGACAGATTCTGCAAATGTCTTCAATGCATGGCAGAACATGAAGTCGCAGGCGTCTGGTGCCGCGCCGCCACCACCACCACGAACATCGCCTAAACGTCCTGTGCCCAATCCACCGCCTAGACGAGACACTCGCTTTCCTACCGAGGAGGACATTCGTGCGGGTATGAACTATCGCGAGGCTCCACCAAAACCTGCGGCTGGCTATAGTGGGTTCCGCTCAGCTTGGGCCGAATACAACAGTGCTGGCGCAAGCAAACCAAGTGCTTCAGCGTCTTCTAGCACACCGAGGAAGGGTGGGTTCGATCCTACTTCGACCGGTGACGAGAGACAGGCAGGAAGTACTGCCAACTACTCATCCTCTAGGAGAAAATCAGCGGATCCACCCTACTACCCGCCTCCACCGCCACGCTCTGCTTCTCAGAGGAATTACTCAGACGTTCCTCCCGAGGACACTCGCACGAGGACAGCTTACTCAAACGAGGATGCTCGTCGCACAGCCAGCACGCCTCATGTGCCCATGGCTTCCGAGGGAACATCAACTTTCCGTCGATCAACGCGTAAGGCGGGTACCGGTACTGCACGGAAACCTTTCGTCGTCTACAGTTCAAGCGAAGATTCCGAGACTGAAGACGACTCCGCTTCCACTACTCCTGACACTGCACAGAAGACCCCTCAATCGACGACGACCGGTCAGCCCGCTGACCCCTTCTCACGCTCATTCACCCGTCCTAAGAAGACACCCAATCCGCCCAGCCGACAGTTCAAAAATGGCGTGCCCTACAAGGCTCCAGGCGAGGCTGGTGCAAGCAGCAATTCTGGTCCAGACGCAGCAGCAAATGCTAGCGAGAAGGACAAACCAACAATGTATGCCAACCATTTCTCTACTCCTCCTTCCAAAAAGCAAGAAAAAATGCCCTCTCCTGTCTATCCTTTTGGAAGAACCTACCAACACAACAAAAGCCCCGACTCGATTCCTCGATGGGCTGTCCCGTCTTCTGTTCCTCCGGTCAAACGGACCCATTCGGCTGCTCAACGCGCCTGGATAGACTTGACAGAAACTGAATCGTCTGCAAATGTGGGAAAGAGTCAACCAACTTCCCACATAAGACCGCCAGGCGTGCCAAGATCTGCTGATCCTATTGACCTGACCACCGACGATACTCACGAGCTCCCATCACCATACAAANAGACTTGTTTTACCAAAGATGATGCTACTGGCCTGTATCGTCTTTACAATGGTTCATCACATCAGACGAATGCTGACTTTTACTGCAACAGATTCACGATACCTATCAATGCTGACACCTTCAGGCCGAACATGGCCAAGAATCGCAGCGAAGACAGTATCAACACATCTTTCGTACCTGAGCAGTGGGCCGGTGACTTCACCAGTAACAACGTTTTTGCTGCCGCCCAAGCCACCACTGGCCGTAAGTCTGCCACACCTTCGCGGAAGTCGTCGAGAGCCTTCCGCCAACAATCGAGGGCCAACACTTTCCATGAAACATCTACACAGCCAAACCACACTGAACCCGTACCTGCACAAGACACAACTGTGCCTTCACCCACTCCAGCACCGGCAAAGTACTCGCCCGAAGAATGGGCGAAGCACTTTCAAGACGCATCTTGGGCCTTTGATCCCAATAGTCTGCGCACCTCGTCACCTGGCAAACCGGAGTCGAAACCCACCTCTAGAAGCAATTCGGCTGCGGTGAGAAAGGGCTCGAGAGTTGCCAACGAGATCCCTGTGAACACACCAAAGCCTGCGACAGTAGCAGATGAAGCGGAAGAGAACGTCCCTCGTACCCAATCGCCAGATGAGATGGACGTCGATGATGCCCCACCAGCCAGCGAAACTACTGCACCTCAACCTTCCACTGCCCAAGAGCCTCGCATCTATCCCGTCGACACGACTCAACTCCGCCAACACGACACCGAACCCAACAAACGCGAAAGCGAAGGCTTCAACGTCAAACTCGACGACCTGAGTGCCGCAGTCGACCCCCAACCCTCTTCAGGCCTCGACGGTCTCGCCGATATCAGCAGCACTTTACCTTTTACCTCCAAGGCATCCACCTCCATCCCCACCTTTACACCACAAAACCTCGTATTGCCATCTCTGCCCCGCGCACCACCCACACCCACAAAACTGACCCGCGCCTCTTGGTCCACCTATTGCACCACCTTCTCCATCTACCTCGACAAATTCAACAAGTACAATCAAGTGGTCGTAGCCCACTTTACAAAACGTCAAGACTTGGCTGCCAAAGTAGTCAAGGCTGGAATCAAAGCACTAGAAGCTGTGGGCGAGGCATCTACCGGAGAAGGCTTTATGAGTTATGCACAAGCTGTCAAGGAAGACGAACGCGTCAGAGAGTATTGGAATGTCGGGTGTGAGAAACACGGGGAAGCGATTAGAGAGTTTGAGGCTGTGAGGGAGAGGGTTAGGGTGTTGAGTGAAGGGGCTGGGTTACCTGATAACTGATTCTCGCTCTTTTTTTGCAAGGGATGTCTGCTCTTCTTTCATCAAGAACGTGGTCTGTCCTTGGCCAAACTGTGTTTTGGCCGGCTCTTTCTGCTCGCAAGGCATCTACGGTTCTTTCTTGGGTTCGGGTTGGCTGGGTCTGGCATTCTAGGGGTTTAGAAGAAGTAGGAATGGGACTGGCCTGGGGACATTTGATTGAAGGGCGAACAGCAAAGAAAGCGATCTTGTCTCTCTGCTTTCGAACGGCGTCATATTAGCATAAACTGCAAGGCGTTTCATGTTTACTTGAATGCAAAGATCAAGATTCCGCTGTTCATGTCCTCTATTGTTTCCAAGAAAGGGCACCAAACTGATTAATACTCGCGATCATCAAAGAGAAAAGGGGTATCTAATCCTGTAAACAATACACCTCGCCATCTCACTTCTTCTCTTGAATCAGAACTCCTTTGCGGTAACAAATGACTCCAAGGGCGGTCTCACAGGACCCTCCACTTCATTGCTAGTCCCATTCTTACCCTTCAGCCCCATCTCGGTCTCATAGACACCAACGCCAGGCTCATCGGCAATGATGGTATCGCTGCCAGCGCCATCCATGAAGCTAACGCCTCCTCTGGTAGCAGGTCTAGAGCTCTCGGCCAGAGACTCATCATCATTTCTGCCCATTGGTCTGACATGAGCAGCAGAGTCTAGAGTCACTGTACTCGCAGTAGCGGCTTCGTTCTTAAGCTTGAAAGGATAAGCAACCTCGCCGTTGTGAGGGCGTGCGCTGTTGTTGCTTAGGAAAGTGTTTTCCGAACCAGGGACTTTGGTGTGCATGCCGTAGGGTGCGAGATATGCTTCATCATCTCTGATGGCTTCTTTACCCTTGGGTGAATCTTTGGCTGGTGGTGGGGGTGGGTTGGTTGATGACGTGGTAGGCCGAGAGCGAGGACCTGCTTGGCCCAAATCTGTGACCGTGCGGTAGCTGGGACTCATGCTGCGGTCGAAAGTCGCCGAGGTTCTCATTGTTGGATCAGCGACCATGGTGGCTGCTCGCTGAGGATCGACTTTTGCAACTGCAGCGCCGGCTTCCGGTACTACGACTGTCTGTGAGGCTTGAGTGACCTTCTGTTCACGGCCAAGAGTGTCCTCGTCGTGCTTGGAGCCCCAGCCTGACCACATTGCCAGACCCCATGACTTGCCCTTGCGTGCTTTTTGACCTGGCATATCCTTCTTACGGCGTCCAGCCAAAGCAGTGGGTGGTGGGACTTCTCCAGGGCCAAAAGTATCATAGCCTTCAGCCATATCCTTGAGGCGCTGCTTTTGTATCGTACGCTTGTCTTTGCCATACTTGACGTCCCAGTCAGCCTTTTTNGCGACCCACTTTCTAACAGGACCAGGCTTGATCATGCCAATGGTGTTGGGATCCAGTTGCAGGCACTTCAATTCGGATTCTTCAGCAAGTGGATATGTAACACCATGTCTGTCGACTCTCTGACGAACCATATGGTTATGGAACGGAGGTAAAGGGTCTCCAGCTTTGCCAACAGATCCAGATGCTGTCGAGACAGTGTGAGCACGAATCGGCGTACCCAAAGCATCAGGGAATTTCTTATCGATGGTTCTACCGCGATCGACGTCGGATTCACTGTCGTGGCTCGACTGATTACTGATGATACTGATGGCATCATCGTCAAGAATGGTAATAGCTTGGTCTTGTGCGCGAGCCAGAGCCCAAGCACCAAACTGTGCCACACTTCGATACATGTATTTTGCAGGTCGGGTGAAACTCAGAGTATGCGGAACATGGCATAGATCATCCCAGACCTGCAATACCACATGTGTTGGCGGATATTTGTCTACAATCTGCCTTTTGGGGTCAAACTCGTCCATGACCTTTTGGTTGGGGAGGTAGGCAGCCGGATTAGCGGCCTTGTGGGCGAGGTAGATCTGTTCATCACGCAAAAGTTCACCGCCTCCTGTCTGAATGAGAAGTGGTGGTAGACCACCAAGAGATGGCTGCATCACGGGTGAGACCATAGGATGGGCGAGCATGTCGTTGGTGGTATACATCTGGATCTGATCGGTGAGTTCGATGAGCTTGCCATCCAGCTCGATTGATAGATGCTCGCCACCGGGAATGCTTTTAGCACGTGGGCGGGTTGTTTGATCATGTTCAGGTACGTCGCTGACGGAGAAACCCATGGTGGCCTCCCTCTCAAGCTTCTTCTTCTCCTCCTTCGACTTTCGAGGTGGATTGGCTTCTGGGGACTTGAGCTCTCTCAGATCGTTGGCGTTCGGAGGTGGCCACGCCATTGAAGGCCTGTGGTGGAAACCGTTGGCAGGAATGTAGTCGAAGGTGCCTTCACCGGCTACACTAGGGAAAGAGTGGGTCAGGTCGACCCATGGTGACAAAAGAAGTGCTCCTGCTGGAAGGGGGNNGATGCCTTGGTCGCGGAGGGTTACGAGCATGTTGATGACCATGCCACCACCAGCAGAGTCTCCACCTAGTAAGACGGTCGAAGGATGACATTGCTCAATGACTTGAAGGTAGGCAGCGATACAATCGTGTAGACCGCAAGGGAAAGGGAACTGAGGGGCCAGGCGATATCTCGGAGCGAACAGACGGGCTTTGAGTTTTCGAGCATGACGCTGCATTTGGTAGCGATGCTCGTCAACGGAGCCAAAGTAGTAGGCACCGCCGTGGACGTAGAGGATAACGCGGTCACTCTTGTTGTCGGCGGCCATTCGGTCGTTATAGTCCTGGCGCATCTCGATCCATTCGCCTTTCAGGGCAATCTCGGGTCGTCGCCATTGCCACCATTCTTGACCGCCGACTCTTTGCAGGCCCACAGGACCAAGTTGTGCTTTGACGAGCTCGGCGGAGCGTTGTAGATGGGCATCTGAGATAGAGACTTCGTCGAGCTTGACCCAGGTGGGAGTGGGGACCCATTGGCCAGTGAAAGCCTGAACGTCTTCGACAGTGTGTTGAGAAGCATAGGCGAGGAACTGACGGATCAGGCGTAGACCCTCGTGGTATGAAACATGGGCTGTAGGTTTTCCCTTGAGCGGTTTGCGATTGAGATANCTGCGCGTGATGTTAGTATGCATTGCCGAGTTGGGTAGGATGTCGCGGAGTCTTGCATGTGAGAAGAAGGTCTCGATGACCGAGGGTGTTACATCGGCAGCTACGCCGAGAGTGCTCAAGACCATGGTTGATCTCTTTAATTAAGTGGCTCCTTGGTGGTTTGTGAATGCGAAGGGGTTCTAGTAATCCTGGTCATGAATGCATAGCACCCTGATTAGAAAGAAGCAATGTCAATGTAGACGTTGTTAGGGAGCGGTCCTCGGAGCAAAGGCTTTGGACATGTGCGCAAGAGGCAGGAGCCGGATGAGCCGTATGTATATATTTGTTTCGGGCAGTGCAACGCGTGCAAAGCACGGAGATGAGCCTTCCCTGCAGGACGTAAGTGGCTTTCTCCAGGGTCCACTCACCAACCACTCCCGAAATCTGGAGAAGACATGGTCCGAGCGCAAAATTTTGCGCCGGGTCGAAATAATTGCCCATCACGGTCCTCGAGACATCAAACCCAATCATGGCGGATCAAGGTACCAGATTCAGCTACACCTTCTTTAATGTACACACTAACAAGCCCCAGAAACAATCCAGTCCAACTTCGATCTCGGCATCTGGTACGCACTGGGCCTTTGGCCTGCCCTCACCATCGCCGTCACCAGCAACTGGGGCGGCCCCGACAGTTCTGCAAAGCGTGACTGGTTCGCTGGTGCCATCAGTGACCTCTTCGCCGACCGCGCCGATACCGACCAATTCGACGTCGAGGCTGTCTTGCTGCAGGTCATGCAGGACGAGTTCGATGTCAACGTTGAGGACGAGACCGAGATCCCCGTCGCCGAAGAGATTATGAAGCTTAGAAAGGAAACTGCCGAAGGAAACTTCTCTGGTGTCGAGGCTGTCAAGAGGCGCTTCGAGGAGCGTGGAGGAAGAGTCCCTCAGAATCTGCAAATTGTCGAGCACAAGCACGATGACGATGAGAGTAGCGAAGAAGAGAGCGACGACGACGACGTCGAGATGGGCGATGCCGCTCCTGCTCTTGTTCCTGCGCCACGCGAAAGACAAGAGCCCGAGGTTGACGATGATGGCTTCACCAAGGTTGTCAGCAAGAAGAAGAGATGAAGCAACACCATGTTATACACTACCTACGCATACTTACGACATTAATGCCGATAGACTCATCTCTTTTCCAAGATCATCCCAATGGACAGACGAATATCCGAAATGTCATTGTGCATTCTGATAGCTTAAAACAATTCTTATAGCTCGGGGCGGAGGATGGAACGGTTGCTTCGGGGAAGAATTGTAGATTTAGGGGGAAGTATCGGATTCTAGGTCTTCAGATCGATCAAGTCACTTCAAGCCACACGCAACACCATCTTGATGCGTCCCTCCAGTTGTGGGCAGATGCCTCTCGTCCAACCAACTCCCAGTTCCTCGCCTGCTTCATAACCCATCGCATGTCGTTTGTTCAGGCCAGCCAATCTCCACCACTTTCGCATAGCCTTTCTTGCTACAACCAGCTCGTGTTCTTCTGGTGATAGCTCTCTGGCCAGCGCTGGAGCAGTCACTTCAGCCTCGTCTTCAGATTCACTGAGGTTCATCTCAGCTGGTTCGATGATCTGCACTGGTGGTCTGTCCCAAATAGCGCTGCTTTTTCGTCTCCCGGATGAAACATCAACACTGGCTCTTCGAGCTGACGCATCACTGCTGTCCCTCCTGAAAGTATGGTTGGTATCAGTACGCTCAAGCACTGAGCCGGTGCGTCGGAGATGCTCCTGCACTGTACCCCAATGTTGTCCGAGTGCTGCACCCCAGTGCTTCCAGCGCCCAACTGTCATTGATGACAGGAAGTGTTGTCGTAGTAGCATCGAAAGAAGTATGCCGTTCTCTTCGTCCACAACAGAGACAGCCGGTCCTCCCTTTGATTGTGTACGGAAGCAGGTATAGCCATCNTGCATTCAGTCAGTATCCTTTCGACGTGGGTGTGTCATCGGAGATCACTCACCACCACCCTTGACCATAAAATCCCGGGTTGCCAAAGAGTATACTCGGTTCACATCAAGCGGTTTTCCATCGACCTGTACTGCAACAATTCGATCATGACTGTTTCGTGACGGGTCAAAAGTATAGCTGATGTTGGACACCTGTGGGAAACGACCATCCACAGCAGGGTACTTGGACACACCGTTTTGCAGTGCTTCGAGTAGTTGTTGGCCCTTGACCCTTATCACAACAACAGGATCCTCGAAAGGAAAGCTANNGCATGCGTCAGTGAACTGCTTTCAATAGGCTTCTCGTTCAGGGGTACTGCTTGGAAAGTCAAAGGCGAGAAGTCATTGCACTTACCAATCGACAATGTCCTTGAGTCTCAGAATGCCTGGGGGATAAACCATGTCGGCTCTGATTGTGCCTCCAGCAATCATTGCACAATCTGTGCCGTAATAGTAGCGCATCAAATCCGAGATAAAATTGCCCATGTTCGATTCCTGGCTCCGGACAGTGCTGAAACGACAATCGAGTGGGACGGCAGTATAGCCTACCACTTTCTGCAGTTTGTTCTGGAGCGATGAGAACAGTTTGTCAAGCAGCTCTACGGTAGCTGGATCCTCAGCCACAGTGCTGTTGACATCCTGACGTGTGATGGCGAAGTTCTATTTGCTACCATCCCTTGAGGCTTCGATATAGCTGAGCTGCTTGTAGTCGCTACCAGAGCACACGACGTGGGTGTTGCGTACTTTCGCATGGCGATAGTGGTGATCATGACCAGAAAGTATAATGTCGATGTCTGGTACTTCTTCAGCCAGCCTCAAATCGTGGACCTCTCTTTGGTGACACAATGCAATGATCATCTCGGCGCCCTGGGCTCGAAGTTCTGGTATCAGCTTGCGCGCTGTCACAATAGAATCAGTGTGAACCAGATTGGCGGGCAGGGAGTTGACAGCTTCAAGCCATTCCTTTTCAGCGAGACCAATGAGCCCGATCTTGATTCCAGTGGACGATGTGAGCACTGCGGACTTCTGTGCGTGACCGAGAGGAACGTCTTCACCCAACGCAGGGTCTGTGACATTGGCTAGTAGCCAAGGGAAGTTGCATTGAGACGCAAGATATTCGAATTGAGGCACGCCCATGTCTAGTTCATGGTTGCCGACGCAAGCAGCAGCGACTGGTACATTGTTGAGGATTGGTACCATGTGAGCACCTGTTCCCTTGAGTATCAGCTTTCATCCAAAGACTCATACTGAATATGGCAACTAACCTTTGGTTACACTGCTCTCGAGGCTCGGACCGAAGCCGTCTCCCGAGAAGAGCGTGATGAGCTCCGGTTGCCCATGATATTTCGAATCATGTCGATAGTGGTTGCACAGGCTCTGGAAGCGAGTGACACCCCCAACTGGATCGTGTTCCGAAGGCTCGAGACGATAGACATCGTTGAAGTGTGACAGCCGTATAACCGGTGTGCTGTCAGAGGTCATTTCTCGAGTAAGAGCTTGTTGAATTAATGCAGGGTAAATATTGATACGATAGTGGAATGATGATGAGGGTAGTCGATCTGGGTCCAGGTGACGATAATACCTTGCGCTTGAGGGATGGCTCTGCAAACGCCGCTGCTTCCTTCCTCAAGTTAGTACACTGCACAGATTTGACAGTCTCGATCGGTTCTCAACCCACGCCTGCCGCGATTAGTACTTGCTTCTCTTTACAAGCCGGTACTCCGACTATAGTAAAGAGCATGTCTATACTATAGAAAAGCACAGTTGTTCTAGAAGCAGACGCATGGCCAAGGAGAGCTGATAAGATGTCCACTGAGAGACACTATTCTGTTTTTAATAGTACTGTGCAGTTTTATAGCAACGTGTTGCATACTTTTGCATACGGGGAGACTGCAGGACAAATGATATCGGTATAGAGGGTCGTTCCGGTGCATGATCACGTCTCAAGAACGGAGATCGTCCTGCTGAGATGCATCCAGCTGACCTGGCATATCCCACAGATACGAGGTGCTTTTACGGCAAGACATGCCTAGGAGTCTGATCGTCTGTCAAGCTATGCTTGGAAGAAGCTTCTCCGCGCTCTTTGTTTGAGACAAAAAGGATTGAAAGCTACCGCATGGCTATTTTTGGATGAGAAGCATCAATCATCGAGAGCAGTCGTTGAAGGACGCGATTAGCCTCGGTTGCGCGTGACCTTTACATGTTGGTCTTGACTATGACAGGCTCGAAACCAGCTCGAGTCCGCAGATCACGGTCGCCGACACTACTGCAAAGGAGGTTTTCAGAGTGCTCGTCGTGTTTGGATATGCGAATGGGGAAGTTGCAATGCCGAGTTGCCGTCGATGACAAGCTTCCAAACTTGAGCTTGGCAGCCACTCTTGTTCTCCTCGAACTTCTCTCATCCGAACATTCCCTCACCCAAGCATCAACGCAAAAATGATTGGACCATGCTGAGAGTCATGTGGTATGTAAGATTTACTGAACCGTCAAGTGCATAGTCGTATCAGAACGAACAGAAGAACCCCATCTTGTTGTCCCACGATCTACGAAAGCAGACGGTGAAGTCAGTCAGTAGCTTGGTCGATCCATTCCTGTCTTTGTGCTTTTGAAGGATTCGGACACCATAGTATTACGAGGTACGTAAAATTAGTATACAGGTAAAAGGTAATCTCCTGAGGTGGTTATGGGTATGCCACACAATGACGTCCTGACTACAGGACACAAACGTATAAAGAAGCAGTCTCTATCTCACATTGCTTTCTCATTATCATCCATCGAATCTTCTTTTGTCATCTTCTCAACCCGAACAATAATCGATCATGCATCTCAGCACCATCATCTCTGCTTTCGCTCTCGCTGGCACTACTCTTGCGAGCCTCAACACCACCCGCGAATATGAGCTTCGTACTCAGCTTAAGCCTGGTCAAGACAGCAAGAAAAGATTTGATAATCTCTGGCTTGTCGCATCCCACACTGGAGCAGGTTTGAACGATGCCGTGCTCTACACCAACAGATCATATGCCATCAAAGGTTTCGAAAATGCCACCAACATCACACAGAGTGATGGCCAGCCTTTCTTTAACCAGCTGTTCGATCTGGGCGGTGCCTTCCCTTACGACCTTTACGTGGCAGATGTCAACTTCTATGCTGCTTGGGAACCTGTCCGCATCGATGCAGGCACAGGTACTGGCGGCTTCTTCATGAACTCTAGCGGTCTTCAGTGGAACCAGAGTCCAGGCGAACCTGCTGAGCAAAACCTTTTCGGAGGGTGGCTTGTTTGTGACTGGTGGCACGGTGTTCCACAGCTATTTGCTAAGTGGAGGTAAGACGATCCGGCTAACTTCATAAGGATTGTATGCTAACGATCAAAAAGCTACTATCACTATGAGAACCCTTCGAGCTGTGCTGATGTCAACCTACTCCCTGTTTACATCTAGCTTCTGCAACTATCTCCAAGTCAGACGGCGGTGCTCATGTAACTCGATTGTCCTTTGTGTTTTCACGTAGTCATTATTTTTCTAATCTTTTAATGTTATTGTTGTCCCTCTGAGAATTCGCTGTCTCGTTCGTTCCACCGATAGATCGTGATATGGATGCGTCAATATCAGTAAGCTGCTTCACCAGCGCTCTGTCATACTTGAACGGATCTTAATTACACTATGAAATAATTGTGCTACGGTTCGTTATGCAACTGCTCGTCGCTTTCCATGTTTGGCATGAGCACAATGACACGACCAAGTCCTAATGCTGCTCATGTAACCCTGCTCTCCAAGTACAATCATCATCCTCGGTCATAGAATTGGATCATGCCCGTCAAACAGCATGGCCAGCCTTGCTAGCAACCGTGATGGCTCCCTGGCGATGTCTGTTCACGGCCAGGATCGATGTTGCCCCTCGTCTGAACGGATCCACAAGGAACAGCTCATCACTCTGTGAAGCACCAATCGGCAACCACGAACGTGACCAACCTGCAGCAAAAGTCGGCCTGACTGAATGTCAAATAGAATAGTCAAATAGTCTGGCTAAGCTAGTTCGCCCTGCATAAGATGGATGATTGTTGCGTCTTCTGCATCTTCCTTACAGGCCAAATTCCTACCTTTGACAGCTTTCTAAGGACTCGAGTCTTGACATTTTACTGCAACACAAGACATATCAAGGCCGCATCAGATTCAACGAATGCAAGCTGAAGCAGCGTGCGCCGTCTGCGGCGCTCCACCAGCAAAGAAATGTCAGCACGAGGACGAGAGGTTGAAGAGAGCCCTGGACGAGGCAAATCACCGCTGGATGGCTTGTGTCGAGATGCGACAGATAAGGCACGTTTCTCATGCAACAACCATCCTCCTATGACTGACTCTCGATAACTCCAGACACTGGGTACTCAGCCACGCTCGCGAGTGGATAATCCATACATTCAACCAGATGGTCGATATAAGAAAGCAGCAATACGAAGCACACCTAGCCACCATACCTTATTACGAACTCTACAAGATCTACGCAGGTCGACCGCCTATTCCACCACCTCAGATGCACGAACTACGCGTGCAGATGTCTGCGGCACAGGGCGCATATCAACGAGGCATAGATGAAGATTGGAAAAACAGTCTACAACGATATCCAGAGGTGCTGGATTACTACTTCAATCTGGTCGAGTTCAAGCTGCCTGGAGAGAAGAGCGTTGCTGTACAAGAGCCAGTCTTTGGTAGTCGCGTTGATCCTGAGATGAAGAGGAGGGAGTCGAAGGGAAGGAAGGGGATGATGCAGCCCNCACCGCCTATGCCTGGCGGCGCGTTCATGATGCCGCCGGGAGGGCCACCTCATATGCCAGGGCTGAGACCTGGTGGGATGCCGATGGGTATGCGACCAGGCGGCTTCTGAAGTACATCGATGAGGAGATTCGATACACGATAAAAGTGCTCGGCCATGGCCTTCCAAACATAACGAAGGGACGAAGGGCGCTGCCGGCTCCAACAAGGGCGCGCGCGAGAATCGCGAAGGAGACAACCGAGGCTTCACCAAAATGACGGAGGTCTCAAGACGGAACTGCCCCGCGCTCTCCACGCTCCACCTCGGCGAACAGTTGCACCTTTCATGTGATGTTCCATTGCTCCATTCTTTTTGGTGACTCGATTGTTTTCTTCTTCTCTACCACATTACCACAGGTCCAAAATGTCATCTATCACACTTCGTACTCCTCTGCGTCGCCTACCGCTTTCTGCTCGTCAGACATGTTACAGCAGCTGTAGACAGTTCAGCTCCTCCACATTCCGCGCAAAGGAGATTCAGGACGCATACATTCTCAGCGCTGTTAGAACGCCTGTCGGAGTCGTATGTGCACTCTTCTTGGAAACTGAAGTCTTGCGACTGGTCTGACAAGAACTCCTAGNNTTCAATGGAGCCCTCGCCTCGGTATCAGCACCTAAGCTCGGCTCTTACGCGATAAAGGAAGCCATTGCCCGTTCATCCGTACCCGCCGAGCACATCCGCGATGTCTACATGGGTCAGGTCTTGCAAGGAGGCGTTGGTCAAGCACCAGCAAGACAAGCAGCGCTCTTTGCTGGCCTCGATTCCTCGGTAGAGGCAACAACGATCAACAAAGTATGCGCCTCAGGCATGAAGGCTGTCTCAATAGCCGCCATGAAGATTCAACTTGGCCTCGCCGAAGCACAAGTCGCAGGAGGAATGGAGAACATGAGCCAAGTACCATACTACCTGCCACGGTCATCTCAACTTCCTCNNCCTTTTGGCAACATCAAGCTCGATGACGGTTTGATCAAGGATGGTCTATGGGATGTATACAACCAGATCCACATGGGCAACTGCGCCGAGAAGACGGCCAAGGACCACGGTGTCACTCGTGAAGATCAGGATGAATACGCCATTCAGAGTTACAAGCGCGCACAAGAAGCCTACAAGCAGGGCCTCTTCCAGGAAGAGATGGTGCCGGTCACGATCAAGGGCAAGAAGGGCGATACAGTTGTCTCAGAAGACGAAGGTGTATACAGACTCAAGCTCGAGAAGGTGCCTACCCTGAAGCCTGCGTTTGACAAATCTGGCTCAGGTACCGTGACAGCGGCCAACAGCTCAGGACTCTCAGATGGAGCATCTGCACTGGTCCTGGGTAGCAAGGAGATGGCCAAGAAGTACGGCAAAGGCAACAAGTTGCTCGCTCGCATTGTAGCAACAGCAGACGCAGCAGTCGACCCCATCGACTTCCCCATTGCACCATCCAAAGTGGTCCCCATCGTACTCGAAAGAGCAGGCATCACCAAGGAGCAGGTCAAGGTGTGGGAGTTCAACGAGGCCTTCGCCGCCGTGATCAAGGCAAACGCCAAGGTACGTCTAGAGGAAAATGTATCGCCTATTGAACATCTACTTACATGATTACCAGNNATTCTTGGCCTCGGTATGGACAACGTCAACCCCAGAGGTGGTGCAATTTCTCTGGGCCACGCGTTGGGAAGCTCAGGCTCCAGAATTTTGGTGACGCTGTTGCATCAGCTGAATAAGGGCGAATACGGATGCGCTGCCATCTGCAACGGAGGCGGTGCATCGACGGGCATTGTGGTGCAGATGGTGGACGCAGATGAGTTGTGATGAGCGGGCATCAGTCCGGATGGGCAGCGATGGATACCCAAGAAAAATTTAGCAGTAACATGTCGAAGTCAATGTCGTCAGCCCAAAGCAAAATAGCGTCTCAGTTCAGAAAAAAGATGGCTGGGAGATTTCTGAAATGGTTCGTTCATGCCCAAACGCAGATGCACGTGACGTAAATGCGGAAGTGATGGAGTTGCAAAATCGAGTCGCCGCCAGCCGGTGTGTGAGGCAGGCACGACCCCACCAAGAGTTGCAACTTGTGGCTGTCAACATTTTTCGCCCATAAACACCAGGTGCAGCTCGACTCGCCTTCGCCCTCGAACCATCGTCGCATAATCCTTCACATCCGATCGCTTCCATACAGCAACAATGTCGGACCTTAACTCGTGGGAAGACTCACCGGACGCCCAGCAGGACCAGGACCTGTCTAGACAGGCCCAGCAAAGCCTGAACATGGGCGGTCAACAGCAACAGCCTCAGCAACAACAGCAAAGAGGTGGATTCCACCCTGGCATGGGTAGTTTCCAACCCGGGGCTGCTACTTTTAACCCTGGCCAGGCATACTTCAACCCCGGTCAAGCATACGGACAGCAATATGGCGGCTACGGCCAGCAATACGGACAGCAATATGGCCAGCAATACAACCAATACGGCAACCAAGGATACGGACAACAAGGATACGGCCAGCAGTACTCTCAATACGGTCAGCAGGGCTACGGTCAACAATACAACCAGTCCTACCAACAACCCGCACAGCAACAGCAACAGCGCCAAGTTCCTGTCATCGCTAAGAGAGGTGACCAGACTGCCGCACCTAAGCCCGCTGCTGATGCTCCCAAGGCTGCCGTCAAGACCCTCTCGCTCAGCGCATCCGACACTGGTGCTTCGGCTCCCAAGGTTGAGAAGACTGGCGGAACCAAGGTCCTGAGCTTGGGCACCCCCGCAGCCCCTAAGGTCGAGAAGACTGCTGGCACAAAGGTCCTCTCGCTCAACGCTGAGCCCGCCAAGCCTGCACCAGTCAAGGAGACTGTCAACAAGGCTGAGGCTGGCGCCGGAAAGGCCGTTACTGCTGCCAAAGCATTGGAGAAGACTGGCAACTCGCCCGCCGCCTCATCTGGTCNNGTACCTCGCCTACCCCCCTCCTCTGGTCGCAACTCACCCACTCCAGCTGAGAAGCGTGCCGAAGCTCGCCAGGCCGATTTGGTCGCCGCAGAGCAGGCTGCTGATGTCGATGAGGAGACTCTCAAGGAGATGTACGGCAAGGAGCACGTCAACGTTATTTTCCTTGGACACGTCGATGCTGGAAAGTCGACTCTTGGTGGTTCCATCCTGTACGCCAGTGGAATGGTTGACGAGCGTACCATGGAGAAGTACAAGCGTGATGCCAAGGAAGCCGGCAGAGAGACATGGTACCTGTCATGGGCTCTGGATTTAACCAAGGAGGAGCGTTCCAAGGGTAAGACTGTCGAAGTCGGTAAGGGCTTTTTCGAGACCGAGAAGCGTCGTTACACCATTCTCGATGCTCCTGGACACAAGACCTTTGTGCCAAACATGATCGGTGGTGCCTCGCAGGCTGATATCGGTGTTCTCGTCATTTCCGCCAGAAAGGGTGAATACGAGACTGGTTTCGAGAAGGGCGGTCAGACTCGTGAGCACGCCGTTTTGGCCAAGACCCAGGGTGTCAACAAGCTCATTATCGCCGTCAACAAGATGGACGACCCTACTGTTGAGTGGAGCGAGGAGCGTTACAAGGAATGTACTGGCAAGCTCGCCCAGTTCCTTAAGGGTGTTGGTTACAACCCCAAGACCGACCTGCACTTCATGCCCATCTCCGCTCAGACCACCCTTGGTATCAAGAACCCCGTTCCCAAGGACGTCTGCCCTTGGAATGACTCTGTTTCGCTCCTCGACTACCTGGATAGCATGCAGGCCCTGGAGCGCAAGTTGAACGCTCCCTTCCTGATGCCCGTCGCTGCAAAGTACCGTGACTTGGGTACCATGATCGAGGGTAAGATTGAGTCTGGTGTCATCAAGAAGGATATTAAGTACTTGATGATGCCCAACCGTGTCGAAACCTCCATCTCAGCCCTCTACGGTGAGACTGAAGATGAAATTCCCAACGCTACTTGCGGTGACCAGATCCGCCTGCGTATCAAGGGTATCGAAGAAGAAGATATCATGCCCGGGTTCGTGCTGTGCTCACCTCGCCGTCCCGTCAACTGTGTGTCTACCTTCGAAGCACAGATCGTCCTCCTCGACATCAAGTCCATTCTTTCCGCTGGTTTCAACTGTGTCATGCACGGTAAGTTCTCCCATTACTATATCATTCTCAATACATCCTTACTAATACTCGACANNGTGCACGCCGCTACCGAAGAAATCACCTTCGACGCCCTCCTCCACAAGCTCGAAAAGGGTACTGGCAGAAAATCAAAGAAGGCTCCCGGTTTCGCCACCAAGGGTATGAGCATCATTGCCCGCCTGAAGGTCACCAGCAACAACGGTGCCGGTGTCTGTATCGAGACTTTCGCCGAGTACCCCACTTTGGGTAGATTCACCCTCCGTGACCAGGGTCAGACTATTGCCATTGGCAAGGTTACCAAGCTCATCCACGAAGAGGCTGCTTAAATGGTTTACTGGTGCTAGAGTCGAGAGTGCCGAAAGTCTCATGCCCGTTTCTGCGAGATTTTTTGATACCAACGAAAGAAAATAAGAGGCATGAGGGCTAGGGAGATGAATCTCGAGAAGACGTTCAAAAAAGGGGCACCTCTATATTTTCAGCAGCTAGTAGGATATGAAGAAAAAGCAAAACATACGATTTTCTTGTTCACTTGATTTTTGTATGTGAATCTCACTAGATCTTCCCTTGTGTTTTAAGGTACAACGCGTCTTTAGTCAGATTGCTATTGTATATGGCTTGCATGTCATCATGGGGTGAGACACGCTTGGGCTTTTGCTTGTAGGTGCCGAGTTTCCCTTGCCGCTGTCTGGGTAAAGCTGTGGACAACAGTGTCACAAGCTTGTCATCTAGAAACTCGGGGATATCTCTGAGGTGGAAGACTGCATGTGCGAGCCAGACCTACTATGACAGGCGAGTTCGACAGTACGACATTGAACTGGTGCCTGTTATTCAAGCAGTCGACTGCCGAACCTGCCGCAGTCGAACATTTACATTGCTGCAACGTGATGCACTGTGCCAACCCGTCATCTTCTGCTTCCTGTGCTTGAAATGGTATCTCGTTGTGTATGTCGTCTATCGTGATTACTGGAACGCTGGAGACTGTGCCAACGTCCACATGTTTTCCATCTTGTACCTGCTCAGCACATCTTTTGCTTCGCCATCCGTCTCGCAGGCCTTGTATGGCATCCAGCGCTTAAAGGCCCGTTGCTTCTCCTCGCCCTCAAAGACAAGCTGACATCTGTTGAACGTGTTGTCCTTGAGCTTGCCATCCTCGTCGAATGCGTTCAGCCATGCAGCATTGGCTTCTGAGTTGCCCTCGCGCACGCTTTGTGGCATGGCGTTTTCGGTCCATTTGACACGGTTGAGCATGAGTTTCTTGTATGCGTTGATGCTGTGGGTGCCGCCTTCGACTATCACTAGATTCATCTTTGGGTGGAAAATGGTGATGCCTGTCAAGGCTTGCTGCTCGGCGTTCTTGTTGGTTTGGAAACGGTGTTTTCCGTAACTTAGATTGTCGATCTTGAAGACTAATACCCTCATGCCGAGAGTGGCATCAGCTTCTTGTTGAGCAGCCAGCTTCTCAAGGCGCTGCTCTTTNGTTAGTTGTCTCTCAGCATTAGCGGTTTCGTGATCCTCGGCGCGCTGTGCAATTTCGCGGTTGACACGAGCTTCAACTGCAGTAGGATCCTTGACGGCCTCATTTCCTAATACACGCATAAGATTTGATTTCTTGACCTTAGGCGGTGGTGGCGCTTTGAGGCCAAGTCTGATCTTCGCCTGCTCCTCTTTGTGATCTGCCATACGGCGTTGTCGTCGAACCTTCTTCTGCTCTTGCTTTGTGAGATACATGGCTTTCGGAGCCGGTACGTTGGCGTCTTGAGGAGCAGAAAGTAAAACAGGATGTTGTACGTATTTGGTGATGACTTCCATGTTGATCTTGTCTGGAGCCTCGAGGTTTTCGTAGTTGCCGCCGGTCACGAGACCTTCATCCCACCATTCGATCTCTGGCGGAGCAGGAACCAGGAAAGACTTCTCTGTGGCTTCTTCAATAGCTTGTTTCCGTGCCTGCTCTTGCATTTCTTTGGCCATCTGTTCAATTCTTGCCTGTTGCCGTAGAGCTTCAGCCTGTGCCATGAATTTACCCTTCTGATTGAAGAGCAGCTGTTTAGACTTGCGGTCCTTCTGTTTCTGCAACGACGGGTCGTAGAATGGTTCATTCTGCAACTGCTGGTCGTCGCCAGCTAGATAAGGGTTGTGTTTTGCAGGTTCATCCTTTTGCTTTTTGTTGTTTCCAGACCTTGTAGGACCACCTAAGAGACTGGGATGCAAACCAACATTGAGGCCACCTCTTGCTCGTGCAGCAGTATCATCGCGGACCGGTGGAGAGGGAGCGAGTCCAGGAGTATGAGCGGTATGAGCGGCAGGACGGGTGGGGATATCGGTTTGGGGTGGTTGCTGNCTGCCGCTGTGCGACTCTGGCCTTGATGGCAGCAAGTTGGGCTTGAATTTGTGCCTTTCTGGCGTCCTCGGAAGAAGGTGCGGGAGAAGGAGAGGCAGGCGCAGGAGCAGGAGAGGGCGACGCTGGAGCGGCATTGCCTTGCAGACGAGCTTTCATGGCAGCAATACGCGCTTGCATATCGGTCGCGGAGGATGATGGAGGAGCGGCGGCGGCTGTAGGAGCGGGCGCNNAGTCGCAGCAGGACCTCCCTTGTTTGACATGCGAGCCTTCATAGCGGCGATGCGCTCAGCGACTTCGCGCCTTTTACGCTCGACATCGTTGTCCGGCGCTGGTGATGCCTGGGCTGATCGAGGGCGTTTTGAATCATGACCGTCGTCTAGGCCGTCGCCGGGAAACGGACGCTTCTCGGACATGGAAGCGGTGGTGGTCGATGTCCAGATCCAGAAGGTCGACGACTACAAGCTCAAGGCAGAAGTTCAAGTCGCCAAGGACGACAAAGCCGAGCCTCAGTCTGGAAGTGACGATGGACGAGGAAAGAGCGACCAGCTTGGGAGCGGCGGAATTTGCCGTTACAGGGCTGACGTTCCTTCCCCGGATCGAAAAGTTGCTATCGGGAAACTTTTTTGTTGCTAGCCACCGTCGTCTTCTGCGGCCGACGACGACTTTGTGTTGCTTCAAGCTGTGGACCGCTGCTTGCTAGCTTCTACATCGCCATCATGAATATCTCACAACCCGTGTCGTCGCAAATTGGCGGCGTCGAGTTCGCCTTCCTTCCGTCGGACGAGATTCGCGCCTTGTCCGTCAAGCGCATCACCAACCCTACCACATTCGATACCCTTTTGAACCCTGTACCTGGTGGTCTTTACGATGCTGCGCTCGGAAACTTTGGCGACAACTCGTGAGTTGGCTCTCTGCTCTTGCTTAAGGCTGAGCAGCTAGGCTAACACGATTCTATAGATNGTACTACTTGCAACCTGAAGTTTGGCTGCCCTGGCCATTGCGGTCACATCGAGCTTCCCGTTCATGTCTACAACCCTACCTTTATGGACCAATGCTTGCGTCTCCTTCGCGCAAAATGTATCTATTGCCACAAGCTCAAGATGTCCCGTGCCGAAGTCAACCGCTTCGTGTGCAAGCTTACTCTTGTCAAGTACGGTCTGCTGAAGGAGTGCTACGACGTCGATGAAATTACCCTCTCCACCTCCGACTCGAAAGCAAAGCCTGCCAAGGACGACTCCGACGATGAGCAGGATGAGGACACCAAAGGCATCATTGCTCGCAGAAATGCATTTGTCAAGAACGCCCTCAAGCAAGCCGGCTTCAGCAAGAAGCGCAACGACTGGGCCGACACCAAAATCGAAGCCGTCGCAAACGAAAGACGTGCCATCGTCAAGGAATTCCTCTATTCCATCACAAAGAGCAAGAAGTGCAGCAACTGCAACGGTATCTCGCCCACCTACAGAAAGGATCGTTTTGTCAAGATTTTCAGAAAGCCCTTGTCTGAGAAGGACAGAATCGCCATGGTTCAGGCAGGCTTCAAAGCTCAAGACCCTCTTCTCCTGATGAAGAAGAAGCGCGAGGCTCAAGCTAAGAAGCAAGGTCTTGCTCAAGACGAGGCTGTTGCAGATCTCGAGGACTCACCTGCAGAGTCAGAAGGAGAAGGAGAAGATATTTCGATGCTCGACATTGAGCAGGAGGTTGCAGGAGGAAACGCTCTGGAGTCTGAGACTGCGATCGCTAGCTCCAAATCTGACAAAGAAGAGAAGCAAAGCTACTTGAACGCGGGTCAAGTACATGCTCACCTTGTTCAACTGTTCGAACAAGACGCCGAAGTTCTGGGCATGATCTACACTCCTCGTTCTAAGGGTCGCAGAGGCGCTCCTCTTAGTGCCGAGATGTTCTTCATTAAGGACTTGATCGTTCCTCCTAATAGATTCCGACCTGAAGCCAGAACCGGTGCCGATGAGATCGCCGAAGCCCAGGAGAACTCACTCTACAAGAACATCATCAACGTTTGCGATCAGATGACTCAGATTCACAAGGAGCTCAACGGTACGATACAGAACGAATACACAAGACGCCCAAGGAACTACGCCGACTTCCAGGATGCCTGGATTCGTCTTCAGGATGGCGTCAACTCTCTTCTGGATCGCGATCGCAATCCCGTGCAAGGCGGTGCTGGAAAGAGAAATGAGGATGGTATCAAGCAGCGTCTTGAGAAGAAGGAGGGTCTGTTCAGAAAGAACATGATGGGAAAGCGCGTCAACTTTGCTGCCCGTACCGTCATCTCACCCGATCCCAATATCGAAACCAACGAGATTGGTGTCCCGCCAGTGTTTGCTCTCAAGCTGACATATCCCGAGCCTGTTAACGATCACAACTACAACGATCTCAGACAAGCTGTCATCAACGGTCCCTACGTCTGGCCCGGTGCTGTCGCCATTGAGAACGAGAATGGTCAGGTCATCAACTTGCAGATCAAGAATGCCGAAGAGCGTACTGCTCTTGCCAACCAGCTTCAGGCTCCCTCAAGCACCAATGTCAGTGGTGTCAAGACCAAGAAGGTTCACCGCCATCTGAACAATGGTGATATTGTCATCATGAACAGACAGCCCACCCTTCACAAGCCTTCGATGATGTGTCACAGAGCCCGCGTTTTGCCTGGCGAGAAGACCCTGCGTATGCACTACGCCAACTGTAACACCTACAACGCCGATTTCGATGGTGACGAGATGAACTTGCATTTCCCTCAAAACGAGCTTGCCAGATCAGAAGCCATCAGCATCGCTGACAACGACCACCAATATCTCTCTGGAACCGCCGGCAAGCCTCTCCGTGGTCTGATTCAGGATCACATTTCGATGGGTGTGTGGCTGACCAACCGCGACACTTTCTTCGGCCGTGAAGATTATCACCAGCTGCTCTATGCTGGTCTGAGACCCGAGAACAACCACACCACTTCGGGACGCGTCGAAACTGTGCCACCTGCCATCAGAAAGCCTCGTCCGCTCTGGACTGGTAAGCAGGTAGTTTCATCCGTTCTGAAGAACCTGACCCCAGAGGACTTCCCTGGTCTTACCATGACTTCCAAGTCTTCCACTGCTGCTAATCAATGGGGCACCAACTCAGAAGAGCAGATCGTCATCTTCAAGGATGGTGAGCTGCTTTGTGGTATCTTGGACAAAGCACAGATTGGTCCCAGCGGTGGTGGTGTTGTGAATGCCATCTATGAAACCTACGGACACACCATTGCTGGAAAGCTTATGAGTGTGCTTGGTCGTCTCTTGACAAAGATGCTTCACATGCGCGCATTCTCTTGTGGTGTCGAAGATCTGATCTTCACTCCCGAGGGTGAGAGCATGAGAAGAGAAGCACTTGGCAAGTCACACGCCACTGGTCTCGGAGTGGCCGCCAAATATGTTTCTCTGCAGACTGAAAAGCCCGACACCAACGATCCTGAACTGCGCAGACGTCTGGAACAAGTCCTTCGCGACGACAGCAAGCAAGCTGGTCTCGATGCTGTAATGAGTGCAGCGAACGGTAAAGTGTCTGGTGATGTGACAACCACTTGCTTGCCTGTGGCGTTGGTCAAACCTTTCCCCAAGAATCAAATGCAAGCCATGACTGGTTCCGGTGCCAAGGGTTCCGGTGTCAACGCCAACCAGATTTCTTGTAACCTTGGTCAACAGGTTCTGGAAGGTCGCAGAGTTCCTGTCATGGTCAGTGGTAAGACTTTGCCTTGCTTCAAGCCCTTCGAGACGAGTGTCAGAGCAGGTGGTTACATTGTTGATCGTTTCTTGACTGGTGTCAGACCTCAAGAGTACTACTTCCACGCCATGGCTGGAAGAGAAGGTCTGATCGATACCGCTGTCAAGACTTCTAGATCCGGTTACCTGCAGAGATGTCTGATCAAGGGTATGGAGGGTCTCAAATCTGAATACGACACTACTGTTCGCGATGCCGATGGTTCCATCATTCAATTCATCTATGGTGAAGATGGTCTCGATGTTGGCAAGGCCAAGTATTTGTCCGATTTCAAGTTCATTGCTGAGAACCACATGTCCATGTTCCACAACCTTGGCATCAAATCAGAGTTCGGTCGCATTATGAGCACCGAGGCTGCTGAATACAACAAGACCGCTGAGAAGAAGTACAGAAAGACTGGTGACCTTGGAGCTAGCGACCCAGCCTTGTCCGTTTACTCACCTGCCCGCTTCGCTGGTAGCACTTCTGAGAAGCTCATGCGCGACGCTAAGAAGTACATTGACGAAAACCCTGACAAGCTCATCAAGGACAAGAAGCGCAACCTCGAGGGCGTTTCTGGACTGACCAAGAAGAGTCTCCAGGCCATCATTGACGTGAGATACCTCAAGTCGATCGTCGAGCCTGGTGAGGCTGTTGGTGTTGTTGCTGGTCAGTCAGTCGGTGAACCCTCGACACAGATGACGCTCAACACCTTCCATTTGGCTGGTCACGCCGCGAAGAACGTCACACTTGGTATTCCTCGTCTTCGTGAAATCGTCATGACTGCCAGTGCCACTATCGCCACACCTACCATGACTCTGCACGTCAACCCTGAAATCCCCAAGGAAGAGAGTGAACAATTTGCCAAGGGTATCAGCAGACTCAGTCTTGCCGAGGTTCTCGACAAGGTCACAGTCACAGAGAAGATTGGAAAGGGTGTCGCATACGAGCAAGCAAAGTCCTACACAGTCCGCCTGCAATTGTTCCCCTCCGATGATTACACCAATGAATACGCTATCACTGTTGAGGACGTTGCTCGCACCATCGAGACCAAGTTCTTGCCTAGACTCCAGGCTGTCGTGCGCAAGGAGCTCAAGAAGAAGGGTGATCAAAAGACCCTCAAGAAATCCGACGCAATGCCTGAGATTGGTCAATCTGCTGGTACTATAGAGCAGGAGCAAGGTCGTCNNCTGAGGGGTGAACGCGAGGGTGGAGATGATGACTCTGACGATGAAGGAGATGACGATGCCACTCGTGACAAGGCCAAGTCGAACAAGACACAAGGCGGCTACGATGCTCCTGACGACGATGAGGCAGACATTGTTGCTCGTGGTCGTCGCGAGACTACTCCGGAAGATCAAGAGGATGAAGGCTTTGTTGGCAGCCCCAACACTTCCGACGATTCTGATTCGGAGATGGACGACTCAGAAGCCAATGTCAAGAAGGTCGCGTACAACTCGAAGGAGCGCGAAGAGCGTATCAAGAGCAGCAAGTACACTAATGATGTGTCTGCTTTCAAGTTTGACGACAAGACTGGCGCATCATGCTCATTCACTATTGAGTACGCTGCAGAGACTGCCAAGCTTCTCATGCTCAACTTGGTTGAGAACTGCGCTCGCGACGCTCTCATTCAATCAATTCCTGGTCTTGCCGGCTGTATGCTGACACAGGACAAGTACAAGGATCCCAGCACTGGCAAAGAGACCGACGTTGATGTGATCATGACTGAGGGTGAGAACCTTATGGCCATGCGCACCCACCAGGGCGTCTTGAACCCCAACCGTTTCTTCACCAATGATATCGCTGCCATGCTCCGCCTGTACGGTGTTGAAGCTTGCCGTGCGTCTATCGTGCGTGAGGTGTCCGCTGTCTTCGGTGGTCACGGTATCAGTGTCGACCAGCGTCACTTGAACCTCATCGCCGATTACATGACCCGTGGTGGTGGCTACCAGGCCTTCTCTCGTCAAGGCATCAAGGGCAACACTTCGCCTTTCATGAAGATGAGTTTCGAGACCACTGTTGGCTTCCTTCGCGACGCAGTCATGGAGGAAGACTTTGATGACCTTAGCGGTCCTTCCGGACGCATCGTCGTCGGCAAGATTGGAAGAATCGGTACTGGTGGCTTCGATGTTATGATGCCTGTGCTCCAGGTTTCAAATCCTACTCACGAAGATGCCGAGGAAAACGGCGATGTCATGGCCGTTGACCAAAGCAGTGAAAGTGAGGAGGAGAGTGACGACGAGTAGACGTGTCTGCACAAAAAAAGCTGGAATCTGCTATGGGTTTGTTTCTTGGGTCTGATTTGCATGTGGGAATGTTATTAGCCATGGTGTTTTTGATTGTTTAGAATAGGCATATGTATTCATTCTTTTTACTTGATCGTTCTTCTCGCGTTGGATTCTGTATACCGTTACAACTCGTGGTTGACGGCATGGCGCACCAACGAGTCGTGCAACCGAAAGGCTAGTCCAGGAACGAAGGTATAGGCGAAAGCAGGAGCTGCTGTTTACCCAAATCAACCAAGAACCTGACCACAAATGGCCCGATCTGCATGTGAGCTCTTCTACAGCATGCCACAATCGGCTTTCAGGAGTAAATCATTCACGTCGGTGATATATCAGGCTAGCGTACGTGATTTAGTTATCTCTTGTACGCACGTAATGGGCAATAACTTCCTATCTTCATCATTGCGCATGGTATGGTGGGACGCTTATGTAGGAACGCGGGCGTGGCGCTGAACTATACCACCGCCTCTAGTCTTCGGTAGTAGCAACCTTGTTTACTGTAAGGCTTAAGCTAACCTCCACCCCTCTGTCAACGTGAAGGGTTTTTCCTGGAAAATAAACACACTGATTGTCTCACTGCTGAGGGTCAACACTGACCCTTGCGATGTTTCAAAGTGCAACAGATGGGTCTGTCCCAACGACAATCACAACCGTGAAGAGCACCTGCTTTCGCAGCTGGTAAACAACACTGGATTGAACGCAACAGTCCAGAGGTGATGTTGAAGACGTCGCCTATCATATCACACCGCGAGCGACAAGTGTTGCAAATCTCCCGCAGCGCAGATCCTGCATGGCCGTTGCGGCTAGCTTCCTTGTTGGCACGTTCAACCACGTTCATCAGGATCCAACCTCACACTGTGACTCTACTCACGCCTCGGGAAAACACGTCTGTGCCGTGGTATGCCGACTCTTAGTTCCTTCTTTGCTGGTTCGGACTGAACTCTTTGCAAATGCCGGACGTCAAGCACCATGGATCGCTTCGAAGATCACTCGATGCTTCTTTTCGCAGCTTCTTTTCTGTGCATCAGCCTCTCTCAACACCTGGAAGTTCTGTCTCGCTTATGGATTTGGTAGTCAACAAGACTACTGCAACGAACAATCTTGGGGCGTTAAGCACTTATCATTGAAGCCTTGCATCTCGACCTTCTCGAGTAGAAACACCGCAGAGACCCCAGCGCAGCACCTGCCCATTCTTACGGCCGAGGTGTCAGAAAGAGCTTGAAAGTTGTACCGACGACATGGCTGCGGGAGACCAGCGCCATCCGCTCTGCTCGGACCTCATGCGCTCTTGCCCTCCAAGTCAGTCATGCTTTTTCGCTCCGCCGTGGTAGGTCATCTCTTCGGTATACCACCCTCTGTAGGTTTTCTCGTGCATACCTAGCGTGCCCAGGTTCAATAGTGCCTACAAGTTCAAGAGCCGTGCGTTGCTGGATCCATCTATACCGGTTAAGTTCTACCGGATGATGGTGTTCATGTTACTGCACTCACCAGCTTGTGATCATGAGATAGTATGCATGACGCAAGTTGAGCACGCCGTTCGTCCCCTGGTTGCCCGAGAGCGAAGAGCATAAGCCATGCTTCGCTAAAGCGATGCTTAGACTCCTTACTGCTGACAGTTTAACACACGATCTTGGTGTATGCTTCGTCGTCAGGGATCGAAGCTCTCTAACGGCCATCATGGAAGGGTATAGAGCAGGACACCATAAAAGCCACTAGTGCCCTCTACAGCTGATACTCGAGCACCTCCGGTATCATTCGTTTTAGCATCCAGAAGGTCTTTGACACGATGCGTCTCACACTCGCTATCCAAGGCTTTGCCGCCCTGGCGGTGGCCATGCCCGCTGCTCGCCCTCAGGAGATCGATGTCAACATGGTTCTTGCTGCGCCTGAACCAGTGACTTATGACCCTGCCGTCGGAGTCACTGCTCAAGTCGTGTCTTACGATTACACTTCCCTAATTGCTCAGGCCACTGCTCCAGCCACCTCAGTTGCCAGTGATGTTGCCGCCACTGCCACCGCAATTGAGAAGAGAGGAGCTGCTTGCACTTCTCTTGCTCCTGGAGCATCCGGAGCCCCTACTTACTCTCCCGATACCCCTTCTGCCTTTGCCGCAAACCCAGACTTCGCTTCTGTCGCCTCTAGTGCTCCTGTTCCTACCGGATACATCAATACCTTCACCAACGCCAATGCTTCCAGCAGGTATGCCGAGTGAACAGACATGTTGCAATCACAGTACTGATTGGAATACAGCGCATACGGCTACCTTGGTTTCACCACCCTCAGCACTTTTGATACTGCCAAGTGCGCTGCTAAGTGCGGTAAGCTAGAATCGTAGATCATCGTTGAAGATCTTGCTGATCACCACATGTCAGATGCTATTTATGGATGTCTCTCCTTCAACCTATACTTCGAACGAGACCCTTCTGTCGATCCTGGTTCCGGTGCTTCGGGTTGTGAGAACCCTCCTTCCGTGACTTACATCAAGTGCGTCTTCTGGGGTGGACCGGTTTCTAGGTCCAATGCAAACAACTATGNNGGTAAACATCACGAAACTTTAATAACTTAACATTTTCTAACTCATTCCAGACAATACCGCAACCAGTTCCAGGTCTTGATTGCTGGATCGAACGGTTACACTAACAACACCCTGGCTGCTCCTGCTGGCTACTCTGATGCCATCTACTATGGTGCTCAAGCCATTGACGCACCTCTGGATGCTCAAGGCTACAACACTTTCATCACTAGCAAGATCTTCAATGGTCCCTTCGATGCTAGACTTTGCGCTGCCGCCTGTGATGCTCAAACTCAGTACGCCATCAACAACCCCTCTGCCGACGGATCTCCCGCCAAGAAGTGCCAGTTCTTCAACACTTACATCCTGAACTTGAACGACAACAAGCACCCTCAGGGTCAGTATTGTGCTATGTACACCGAGGCTTGGCCTTCGAAGTACGCCACGTCTACCGGTTCTTCCACCAGCAGGTATGTGCCGCCATCTGTGGAAATCTTGATCTCAGAGACTGACTTCCTGCTTNCTAGTGGCAAGCTCATTGTCGAGTACAGTTACGGCTATGTCAGCACATCAGGCTCAGGCATTGACCCCACCAAGGGCGATCAGACTGGCGCCATCTACCAGGCTTCTGGGGAGATGAAGTCCGACCCTGCACAACTTAGCTCGGTCTTCCAGCCCTTCTGCTCATCGTACCTCAGCTACTCTGCTGTTCCCACAGTCACTATCACTGCAACAACTACTGTCTCGCCCGTAGCTACTTCTACTGCATATGCCACTTCTACCGCACCTGCCATGCGCAAGCGTGACGATGGCGATGAGTCTGAGTACTTCCCTGGTCTGACAACCAACTCCACCAACGCCCTTCCTGCCGTTTATGATTCCAACAAGAACGTCACTTGGTATCTTCCCGTCGAGTCCATTGATTCCGATGATGCTGCAAACTCTACCGCAGCTCCTGCTAAGCGTGATATCTCGACTCCTGCTGTCTTGACCAAGTATCCTGCTACCGTTATTTCTTCGGCCTGCGCTATGCAAGTCACCCAAAACACTGTTGCCTCGACTGTCACAGTTAACGAGACAACCACCCTCGCCACATCGACCACAATCACCACTATCGTGTCTGTCGTCACAGCCAGTGCCACTTCCACCAGCTCTTCTGCTGCAGCTACCCCTGTTGCAAACCTGAAACTCCGTATTTCCTCCTCAGGCACCGGCGCCGATGGCCAAGAACTCGAGTTCGATTCTGCCGCTGCCTCCTCCGGCTACTCCAATGCCTACATCAACTACTACACCTACAGCACTCTCTTGCACAGCTCGGCCATCACTCCCGGCTTCGTCCTCGACCCATCGACTGGCTACCTCAAGGACAAGAAGTACGGCTACATCATGGCTGTCTACAACAGCTTCTTCCCTGGTACTGGTCTCGCTTACACAGTCATGTTCTTCCCAGCCAACAAGGTCAAGGCTAATGGATACATCCCTGTTACCTGTACTGGTTCTTCGGTGCTCAAGTGCTCAGCTAAGAACTCTTGGGGCGCTGTCCTTGATAATGTTTTCATTCACTCTCAACTCACTCTCACCGGAGACGTTTTCTGGTCGTTGAGACTTGGTGATGACAACTATATCCCTTTGGTGGACTCTGCTGCTCAGATTGGATTCCAGTAAATGGATATCACCTGAGATGGCGAGTGAACTTCTGCTTTCTGTAGGAGTCCGTGTTGGAAGAGTTTTGCTTGCTGAGTCGATGTTGGTTCTCTTTCTTACTATCGCTTTACGTATGGTTTTGGGGATAGCTATTTCGTCTAATGTCCTAATGTCTCTTCATACGATACTGTATCTGTTCAAACTATACTGGTATTTTGACCTTGAATGTGCGATGTGTTGTTCTTGCAGGATGTTAGTCAAGATATAGACGTGCGGATCCTTGATCCAAGATAACGTGTTCACCATCATGGAGTTGAATGTGTAGAGTTGTTGACTCCCGTAGCTGGTTCCTCTAGCCAAACGTGCCTGATAGAGAAATCAAGGTGGTTGTAGATCAAGCAAGTTTTGGGACCGAGTGATGATAGGAAACCGCTACTTCCCTGGCAGGTGCACCTGAGGTACCATTAGCTTAGAACCAAGACATCGCTGGAAGGGGCGATCGATGATGCGTATAGCCGAATCGGTTAGCATCAGGAGAAAACAACACAATAGCATTGATTTGTGGACTTTAAGACCTCTACCGCATCCCGGAAAGAAGCATGCATTTCCATATCAAGGCAAGACCTATCCGAAAATTATAACACAATATCACCATTACTAGTGTTCCGACCCGCCAGTTCCCGAAGTTCTCGCTCCGTAGGCATGTCTCGCTCTGACACTCTCATCGAATGTACTTCAACCACGTTGAAGAGCCCGCCGTATTCCCTCAAGACATTGGTCAACATCATACTTCTCACTGGACTCGAAACCATCAGTTTGAAACGCGTGCGACAAAGAGGATCGACACTGAGATGACAAAGGTAAGCGAATGTTCCAGCAAGGTCGTCCCGCCAACGAGGAGTTTCGATCCAGGAAATTCCATCGATAATGCAGCAGAGTTCACAGTCGGCAGGAAGCTGATAAGCCATAGCCGAGAACGTCTCGCAAAGAGTGCTAATATCGTGGTCTCGAATCCTCTCTCGTTGGGCCTCATTGTCTATGAAGGCCAGATTGAAGTCGTATTTTAGGGATAGCTGTGCTATCAAACTCCGCATCAAGCCACTGGGTCCAGAGATGGCTTTGGACGGCTCACAGTGTAATCCACAGAAATAGTGAAGTACAATGGAAGTGGGCTCCTCCGAAATGCCGAATGCCAATGAAACCATTGATGCTGAGATAGGAGACTCTCGGGCTGCTGTTGTATCACCTGAGCCATTCAGAAACAAGGTGCCTCGAGCAGTATTCAGCCAGGCTTTGACATCAGTGCCCTTGGCTATNTGTGCATAGGCTAGTCGCAGCTCTTGCCTGTCGAATCGAGCGCTTTTNTGAAGGATCCTGGTGATGTCCGAAAAATGGTTGTCATTGACGGCCATAAAACTTCTAAGACCAGCCTGAGAGATGACTGGCAAAGCCACCTTGGGCTCCGGGCTCTTTTTTACTTGCTGCTGCGGTTGTGGTGCCAAAGTTGGCTGCTCTATCTCAAATGTCAGCATGCTACACCTGTATGTAGGAATGATTCTGTGGTCCTTACTCCGATTCTTATGGATGTCATCAAGTAGAACTAGGAATCGGTTGCATACAACTCTTCCCAGCGCAACTTCACGTGCTTTTGCCCGATCCTTCTCTTGCTGCTGCAGCATGGCGTGTATCTCTTGGATTGTATCAGCCATACCCTTGGAAACATGTGCAACGGCCTTGACATCGCGTGCCGTGCTATCGACCTGATCTTTGATCTTCGCCTGACCAGCGAGGAGTTCGCCTCCTTGACGAACGCTTGTTTCTGCATCTTTGGTGCTCCAGTGGAGTCTTATGTTGTTGATGAAGTGTATTCGAGATATCAACTTATTGCGCTTCTCCTGTACATCGTCCATAAGGTCGTCCACAGACTTCGCTGCAAGTGGACCCTGAATCAGGGCCTCGATCGACTTCCCTGCTNNACTGTTCAGTAAAACGTGATGAGTAACTTGTGCAGAAGGTGTTACATATCGCGCCTTTTCCAACCATTGGATGGACTTGGTAATTGAGGTCAGTAGGCAGGCATTGAACTGTTCTCTCAATACCACATAATCACTATCTTCATCATAATACTTGTCGTTCCTCTGAACCTCTTTGACTAATTCGGGAACATTCTCAAAAGCGTCGAGGATCTTTCGTCGCTTATCTGCAACTCGTATGGCGACCTCAGAACCTGTTCAGCTTCAATCTCCAAAAGCAGGAGCGAATTACGGACTTACGTCAAAAACAAACTTGAGGGCTTGGCAGACAACACCGATATACATCTCATCGGGTGCGAAATCTAATTTGTGGACTATGGCAGGTGCAATGTCTCCGAATGAACGACCCAGCTTCCGCAAGCGTCCCCTCGAGTTGTACGAGTTGTACGATGCTTTGGCCTTCTGCATAACGGCATCCAAGGATTTGTCTTTCTGGTCGTCTAGTGCCCTGGCTTCCTTTGCGGCGCTGAATACATCATTCCATGTCACCTTTTGATTGAACGTGACGGGCTGGTTTGTAGGATCAGAATTGTAGTATAGCTCAAGGGCTCCTTTTGCAAACTGTATCTCGTTGCTTGACAGGTCAGCATCGCGAGCTTGATTGCCGCTTTTGTTGAAACCGAGANNGTCAAGAGCATACCGACTGCGAGAGCTCATCTTGAACGTTGCTCGTTGCTCATCATATACAAGGCCGTCGCTAATCCCTCGCGGGAGGCTGGGGTCATTCATGATGAAGTCTGCGCTCACTCGCGCGCGTTCTAGTCGCTTTTGATTCTCTCTTTCTTGGATCAAGTTGGTCATGGTTGACGATTCAATGCAGTCAACTCGAATAATTCGAAAAGATTTGGAGCAGGGTACGTTTGGATGAATAATGGGGGCATGCTTCGCAGTGAAGACTACCTTGGGAGCTTTCGCACTCTTGACTCAAACGAGTAGCTGCTCCTACCACAGACTGGTTTCTGGGCCGACTTCCTGTGCATGGCGCATGCATGGTTCCATTCCAGGTAGCAACAACCAGGTATTCCCACGCATATGGATGACTCGTGCATACATACGGCTGAACATCTCAGAAGCTGATATCAAATTCAAGAGTCGATACAAGCAGTATGCAAGCCACACGCAATACTTAGCGAGTGCCAGTTCGCCTTGTACATTCTTGGTTGGAGAAGGATCGTGCAGACAACCAATGGCAGCAGAGGGCACACACCTTCACACCATTATCTCTGAAGATATAGGACGGAACTGAACACGAATAGCCGCCAGTGCTGGAGGAGGTGTGGCTGGGAGGGGGTGCGGCAAGGTCGAGACTTGAGTTGTTGGGTGTCAGGCTGTGACGCTAAGAGATGCAGATTATGGGATTGTCTTGGCGGATTGGCCGCCTCGGCCGATGACCTATGCAAGCCATGTTACCCACTTCTCAGCTTTGCACTCTGAGTATCACGTACTCTATGAGTAGTTCTTGCTGTTCACTAGCGCGAGACACGAAAGAATAATACCATGGACAGCCGTAGAAGGCCTACCGTCAATAATCCTACTGCCTCGTGTACACATCATCGTCAGCTTTCTAGGAAAACGCAAGCTTCTACCTTGAACCTGAGGCGCTTGTCAATCATGTCTATTCTAACAGGATTCTATGGACTATTGGATGGCGTGCAGCTTGCATGACCTTTGCATGCTCTTCGAAAAGTATGATCGGTGGTCTTGCGATCATCAGGATCAGCTTCAAATCGGCCCCGACATCTCAACCTTGTTGCTCGAAGCAGCCACAAGCTGCAGACAACGGGGCCGGGTGCATGCATATCAGTCAATGGCTTGCAAATATCTCGTAGGCAGTATCGGGAGTGGTGGATTCTTGAGATACTAGCCAGCTTCCCAAGAACATATATCTTCTTGCGAATGTCTGGTAATATCTTTGACAATCCGACTATTCGTCTCGTTTACTGCTACTGTAACGCCCACCAAGATGATTGAAGTTGCAAAGAAGAAGCCACCTCCACCACGGCCTTTGAAACGCTCGTCCCTTAGAGGCAACCAATCTCTCAAAGCAGATAGCGAAGCGCTGCTCGAGCCGACAATAACGTCTGAATCTGATGGGGGTCGCATGAAAACTCCTCGTATCGACAGTGTCCACAAGGTCAGTGAGCAGATCGAGAATTTCACTTTGCAATCATAGAGAAGTTGATCAGTAAATCAGTCCGACGAGGTCAAGCCCAGCTTGAAGGAGTTAGGTGGCAACGTGTTCGAAAGCAGCACATCAGAAGAAGCCTCGGCAGACTCTTTCGATACCCAAACACCTACGGGTCGACTCCCAGACGATGGAATATTTATCGATTATAACGAAGATGGCCCTCAAGATCCCTTGGATGTAGAAGATAGTCATTCTCTGGCCGAGGGAGACATCGAATCTTCTGACAGTCGCTGTTCCATCATTAGCGACGACGACTTCAGAGACAAGCTGATGGACGTCGTTCAAATCATACTCAACGTCGACAACCGTCTGAAGTCCGTGGAGAAGAAGTTCCAAAAGAACCACGCCCTGAACAGAAGGCTGGGGTCGATGCTGAGGTTGATGCTGAGGTTGATGAAGNGCAAGCCATCAGAAAAGACCCCATGTATACCACAAATGAGGTTACTTGATTGGTACAACTTCAAGCACAAGTGGGCTGGCGACAAACGATATGCAATTGAGGTCTTGAAAGGTCCAGCGAAGTACTATCAAGATTGCTCCGCGGAGGAACGCAACTACGAAAAGTTCAAGAAAACAGGCAACACACCCGTTCGTCCACAGTCGGATGTCGAGCAGGAGGTCCTTACGCCACAGGATGTACCGGAACGGATCAGGATCATTTCATCGCCTCTGCTTGCTATAATCACAGAACTTGATCCCCTTGGGTTTCCTCTTATCTTGACCCCTGGTATCATGCTGAGGCCCTACCGACGTCTGGTTCGCTTGGAGAACGACTTGATGGCACATCTGGCGAATCTTGAGGCCAAATGGGGCCTCGCCGAGAAGGAAGACCTCGAGCGCAAAGCGGAACGCGGATCCCATGCCACTGAACCTGAGCACATAACTCGTGAAGCTCCAGGAGATACAGGAGTCGGTGACAAGGTCATATCAGATGCGAGTCCAGAAGCCAATCTTGCAGCTCACAACACCTCCAAGGATGAACTCGATGAGACCAAAGATCAGCCTCTTACTCCAACAGATCCCCTCACTGATAGCATCGAAGCCTTGCGAGACCTTCGTTGTTTAAAGCGATTTTTTGAGACATATATCCACCCCACGGTCAACCGCTTGCGAAATCGAACAGCTCGCAAGATCAAGTTTGCAGACCTCTGGTATCTTTTTCCTCATGGCGAAGAGGTTTTCATTCCTGCTGCCCATGAGTTTGAAGCCAGCTCGACATTCACACAAAGCACAGAGTCATCAAGTGTTTATCAGAGCGTCTTTCGAGTCTACGACCACTCAGGGGGTAGAGTACCACTTTCGAAGCCTGACGACGATGGCTCAGATGGTGACTTTTCAACATCGTCTCACCTAATTCGCGCCAACCCATTTTGCATGATGTGTTATCACATTGACTGGGACTCCAAGTCCTACTCACCAGTTTCTCACGAGATTGAGATCAAACCGTTCGACAATGAGAAGGACATAACTAGTTTGGAAGTTTATCCTTCTGGCTATCGCGAAGATTACGAATCTATTCGACAACAACTCGTAGAACGTGGTAGCAAGTTCTCACAGCTGACGAAACCTACTCATATGAGCTACTATGGTCGAACCTACAGCTCACATCCTTGTGGCGGTTTCCGTCATAGCCCAGGGTCTTCCTTTGTCGACAGCGAAGTCATGGTTGACTTCGAACAAANNACTATGGCTTCCCCTGACTTTGGTCTTGAAGAATGTCCCTCTTACCAAACGGAAGAAACTGAACATTGGGACTCGAAGGTCTACAAAGACAAGGAACACAAACTGTTTGATTTCAAGTTTGCGGATTCCATATTTGTAGACTATGATGATGAGAAGTGGCTGCGCGATCGCACCAGAGAGAATGATGGCTTTNTGCGTGACTGGGACTCCTACCAACGAAGTCGCCGCAGTGAACCCGTTCGAAATCTGGAGAAAAGTAGCGACTTGGTTTTGCTACCAAAGCGAGTCTTGGGTTACAGTTACCGAGACCGGAAATTTTACGCATTCGACATCGACCATCTAAAGCCTATCACTCGGAACACCGAAGGCTTTGACGGCCTGGAACTACCAAAAGGTCATCAAGATTTGGTAGAGGCTCTGGTCAAGGAACACTTCATCAAGAAGGAAGCTTACGAAAAGCACGGCAAATCCACCCCTGGTATGGACATAGTATCTGGAAAGGGAAAAGGACTCATCATGCTGCTTCATGGGTATCCTGGTGTTGGGAAAACCTCGACTGCAGAATGTGTGGCACAATCAACTGGCCGGCCCTTGTTTCCAATTACTTGTGGTGATCTTGGTCTGACACCAAAAGAAGTTGAAGATTCCTTGACAGACAAGTTTCGACTTGCTGATAAGTGGAACTGCATAATGCTTCTCGATGAAGCGGACATATTTTTGACGAAGCGTGACAAGGCCGGCATGCAGAGGAACGCACTTGTATCTGGTAGGCAGGCATTGTGGGAATTTGGACCAAAAAGCTCTCAGCTGACCTTGAATANNGTTTTCCTGCGCGTTCTGGAGTACTACGAGGGAATCCTGTTCCTTACTACCAACCGTGTTGGCACATTTGATGACGCTTTCAAATCACGCATTCATGTCAGTCTTTATTATCCACCATTGACCAAGGGGCAAACAATCAAAATCTGGGAGAAGAATCTTCATCGTCTCAGGAAGATTGAAGACGCTCGTGCTCAGATAACAGGAAAGCCTGGTCTGAAGATCCTGGATAAAGAAATCCTTGCTTATGCCCAAGAGCATTATAAAGAACACAAACATTCTACAGTCGGTTTGTGGAGTGGAAGACAGATTCGCAACGCCTTTCTGACCGCAGCGGCACTGGCATATCACCGAGCAGATGCTGAGGGACCAATTCTCACCACGCAACTGTTCAAAACTGTCGCCACGACTACTGACGCATTCGACAAATACATCAACTCAGTACATGGAGAAACGAACGAGGAACAGAGGGCTTTTGACCAGGCTGAGCGTGTACCAACTCAAGAAAGTGGCAAACGAAACAGGGGCACTCGTACAACGCCGAAGCCAGTGACACCAGTCAGCCATCCACGGGGAAACTTTNTCACAGACACCGGAGTTCAGGGCATGCAAAGCAAACTAGGCGATAGTGGTTATACCAGTCACGGAGGCATGGTGGAGTTCGCTGAACACGCGACGTTTGCATCTTCGGCTGCCGTATCCTCCAGTGCCTTCACAGACACCACGCACGTGCGTGAGAGCGTCTACACATTACCAGGAGCTATGCCTTCCCCAAGTCCTGCATCCAAGGCAGCCAGACCATCAACAATGGACCATGACCGGGGTCATGACAATGGGACTGATTCTGAAGATGGGGACGAGGATGATTGAGATTGTTATGTTCTAATTGTAAGGGTCTTTGGATTGTGGTTGGTGTGTTTGGCTGTTTATACTTCTTTTCGCTTTCTCTACTATCGCTATTGTTTCCTTTTGAGACAGCTTTCTATCCTAATGACTGAACATAAAGACGAATGTACCTTCAATACCCTCAACGTCAGTCAAGGAGTGACAGTTCGGCTGACAATGTGATAGAAACAATCAGAGAGATGTCACCACGATTGAAAATGATATTTGCTATCCATGTAGACGAAACCGGACGTTTGCAACATTTTTTTTTTGACTGTTGCTCGGGGGAGAGGAGTTGCCATCGAGTAGGCATCTGAAAGTATCCGTAGAGCTTCACACTCGTCCTTCTGGAGGCTTGCCCCTGCCCGGTGGCACGTCTCTCGGAAATCCTACACATCATGCTGAACAGCCGTGCTTGACCACGAGACAGATTTTTGGATATATTCTTATAAAGATAAGGACATAGCACATACGGCCACAGTCAGCTGAAAACTGGGCATCCCGTCCGCTCTGCCATACATAAGCAGTTGAACGGCAGGTTAGTACTACGGTGGGTGACCACGTGGGAATCCCTGCTGCTGTATGTTTTGCATCTCTTTTGGGTGCGAGATGCTCTTTGCTATTCCATCCTGTTGCCACCGTTGCCACCGTGTCCATCCGCTTGGTTGTGGTAGTCTTTGCAGCAAATCATCGCCTTTTGTGAGCACGACTCAGGCAGGCTTAGGAGCCTACCGTTTAAAGTGCGATGCCGATAAGTAATGTTTGCTCGTCGTAGTCTCGATTCAGTTGGCCATCTTGAGGGCAATAGATGCGTAGAATGAACTATGAACGACAAGAAGCTGAGGCTGGCAGCCGACGGTACAAAGGTACCACGCAGGCTTCTGATTTTGGACCTGACCAATCAAGGAAGACGGTCAAGATTGGAAAGCACCAATCACATACCATCGACTGCGCCGTCGATGTCCCTGCACTGATATACTGCGTTGCTTCCTTGACTCGGATGGATAGGAGCAGACATAAAGGCGCACATCGTCCTCTATCAGAGTCGGCCTTTCTTTTGCAACAAATCTCGGACCATAAATGTCAATAACTTCTTGAATAAGCAGATCATCAGTCCTGTCGGTTCTATCCTCGAGCTCACGCATATATCTTGCCCGGCATGGATCGTGGATTGAAACGTGACCTGTTTCAACGACTCGGTGGTGAAGACGATTCTATGTTAGTGTTCTTACACATTGCGAGGTGATAAAGCTGATAACTGCCCAGACTACCACAGGCTCAGCGTCGAATGAATACTAAGCAACAATGGCCTCGAGGCCAGACAAACGACGAAGAAGAAGAAGAAACTAACATCGAACGTACGTTCCTCAAAAGGTTTGGGACTACATCGACTGGCAGCTGAGATATTTCGACCCGGAAAAGCTAGAGCTCTGGCGTGTTGAGCTCCTCGGCGAGGCAAGGGATTCCACAGTATTTCGCAAGAGAATTGATAGAACAATATTTCGGAAAAAATAAATAGAGCAGTGAAGGCAACTGATCAGATTCTGCGAAACGACAGTACGTCTCCTGTCTTCCCTTACACAAATGAATTTCTGACCCTATCACCGCCATGAAGCCCGTACTAGACCTCCTCCGCCAGAACTGCCTTCCTACTTGAAGGTTTTGTTCAACCCTCTCAACCTCTCAATAGAAGTGTTTCCCACATATTATGGGCCATATCCTGGTCTTTATTGGACATCTTCCTGGGAAAGGCCACCTTTCATGACCGAGGATCTCAGACATTGGGTGCAGCCCTCCGGCAAGGATGTGTCCGAATTCAGCATTCTTATGTACTTGAAACCCGAAGAAGAGAACCTAGTTCCTGAAGAATCCCACCAAGAACCCGACCCACCGACGGCTTCTGCGGCTTATATGCGTGGAATCCCCATTACTCCCCAGGGAATGGCTGCTCCTGTCGTTGATGCCATGTCCAGTGACGGCCGATGTTCTTGGAATACCAGTAACGAGCTTTTTCAAAGCCGACAACCACAAAGTTAAGGTTTCATGAAGGGATCACCTATGTCTATTCGTCAGTCATCGGTCAACCCAACACGTTCGTCTGCTGTGGAAATGCTGTCATTCAGTATGCGTTCGATGCGGCTCTGAAAATTTGTTTGTCGAAAGAGAGGACGTGTTTTGGAGTCGAGCACATGAAGGGAAAGTCAAGCGTGATTCTATTTGTATCCGAGTCTCTATATAGTTTCAATATCTCTTAATCACCATTGGCCAGTTCCAAACCTAAGTTGGATTTCTCCACAGCCGGAACGTCTCTAGCAGATGTATAGCAGACAGAACTTCCATGAACTAAGAACTCTTGTGTCCGGTCTTGAAGCGATCAAGTCAGTGGTATTGCTTCTCATTGGCTGAGGCCAGAGTATGCCTAGAGATCTTGTAGACTAGTTATACATGCATTGAGGCTCTCGAATACTACTCATTTGATTGGTCGAGTCCAGAATCCCACACCAGAACATCGGTATGAGGACTTCACCAGCCACGCTTGGCTATCATTGATGCTCAAAGATGCATATCAAGCACCACTTGTTCGGTCATTGGTCCATTCCAGACATGGGCCTGGATATTAACCGACTAGATGACATATAAAGGCAAGATACAATGGTATATCTAGGAATCTCTTCAGCCAAACAACCATCCATCTGGAAAGAGTCCAACTCGACTATCATCCTCTGAATAACATCCACATCACATACCCAATGGCATTGCCAACCGACACCATCATTGCACTTATTTCCCTTGTCGTTGGCCTTCCGCCTACCCTTCTGATTATTTGGCATATCATTCAACGCTTCACAAGATCTCCTGTAGCATCTGACTCGTCCGATGCCGAGATGGGTGAGTTTCTATATCATGAATAGAAAGACTCCTGTTAATAACGAAGCGTAGAACTTTGAACAGCATATGTCTGGTCGGCACCACCGTGTCCCATCTCCTGCCTTGAGTAAGAATTGGGTCGTCTTTTGAAACTGCCTTTGATCTGTGCTTATAATTGCCGGGCTGTTAGATCCTTTTCCCAAGAAACAGGACCAAGACTTTTGGTGGTTGGGTTGGATCAAGATATATCGATCAGTTTGGTTTTTGCAACAGGGTTTCTCCTTGTGGTGTGATGTTCTCGAAGTTGCTCATTGTGGTTAACTGTATTGATTTGCTCCTCTCACCTCTTTCGCAAAGGCCTCACCATTTCCATGATCAAGCACTCTTCATGTAATCTTGTTGCGTTTGGTCCCCAGCATAGTACTATGATTCTTCTTCCTTCTCTTGAATCGTTGAAATCCTGGAGTGGGATCTGTTGTATGTTCTTTCGCGCCAACCTCCTCATCAGGCAGTCGTCGCACAAGTTCACCGGCCTCATTATCAAAGACTCTCCTTATAGCTTCTCCGTCTTGGTCATCGTCTTCCAGTGTCGTTTGAGCGTTCCTAGCTGTGTTGTTTCGTATTCTGATCTCGCGTCGCGCATTCCGAATTCTGATTTCGTCTAGGCCATCAGCTACGGCCATGTCTGTTTTTGCGTTGGCCGCATCGGCTTCAAGATTTATCAGCGTATCTCGTTCTCTTTCTTTTCGAGTCGATCAATCNTGTGTGTTTTTGGCCTCGCCCCACGGCTCAAAATTGCGGTTTGCGCCTCTTATATCCTTATAGTCCCCATTCTTGGAGTCTGAATCAAACGAAATCTCAGATGAGCATGCCGTACAGCGAATAAAAAATCTGACAACAGGTATGTTCAGGTAGTGTTCATCGATTATCTGCTTGCGCGCATTGAACTTGCGACCTTTGTAGACGAACTCGCCACACCTGTTGCAGCGCATCGAAAAGGGACTTGAGAGGCGGACGGTTTCGAGCTTCGATGCAGTGCTTTGTGACTTTCGCTGTCGCCTGAGTTTGCTGGGGTCGAAGTCAGGTGGGTAGTATTTGGAGATGACCTTTCGTTCGGACATGATGCGTGGGTGGAGTTTGAAACCGAGGGAGAGATACAGCTTAGAAATCTCTTGAAGCGTGTCTTCAGGCAAGTATCTGTGAGTTGCAGAAAGCTGTGGGTTGTCGAACCGAAATACGTAGAGGCACATGATGATGTTCGCTGCTTCCTGGTTGGTGAACAAACTTGCTCAATGACTTAGAAGGGTTGTAGGCAGCAGGACCCTGTTCGCCACTTCTGAACTTGCACCTCTCCTTACCTCATGATTTTGAGACACTATCTTCTTCTATCGAATCGAATACTTGAATGGTCTTGTGATTATCACATGGCGATCACTCAACGCTTGTTAAAATTCTGCATCAAGACAAAGTTTTAGTATTCACAAAATCAAGCTGGCGCTGGAACACTAGAGATACCAGGCCAATCTGCAAAATGTCAGCACTCAGCATATCACGAAAGTCAGTAACAGTTGGACTCACCAAAAGTCGTCCTCTCAGCATTACGCTGCGTGATCGTCACCTCATCACCAACAGCCAAAGACTTGCCCTCATCGCCCTTGCCCAGAAACGCGTAACGACCAAAGACAGGGGAGTATTTAGATCCTTTGTCCACCCTCCTATCGCTTTGCAGCTTCTTGAGAATTTTGCCTGACTCGCCTTGGCCAGGCTTGCCCGTAGCGTAGTCGATATTTAGACTTACGCATCTGACACAGTTTTGTACCAGGTGCAGCTTCACATTGCTGGACGTCTGCAACTCTGACCAATAGTCTTCTTCCCATGATGACTCGGCTCCGCTGACGATGATGTTTGGTCTGAACTTCGAGATATCCATTTCTTCGCCATCAGGGNNGAGACGTTTGCTGACATCGTGAAGAGAAGTTTCGTTCACAACGAGGAACGGAGCACAGTCTGCAAATGTGATTTTGTCATCCGCTTGTGGTTCGCCTGAGATGATTGTGCCTAGCGAAGTAGGTAACTTGCTTGTGATAGAAGATAGCCAGCCTCCCTGCTGGGCTTGGGGTTGGTTGTTCTTCTGATGTGTCGACATGAGCACCGGACGCTCATTCTCACCGAGATACGCCAGCACAACATCGTAGCCTAAACATGTGGACAGCCATTTGTTGTACTGGTCATCCATTTTGTATGCATCCGTAGGACTAGAATGCATAGTCACATGGATTTTCTCTAATGAGGTCGTATCGGGGACAAGAGGGATATCCAAGTCCTTTGACTCGCCTTGGGGTGGTCGCCAAGTTAGATGGATTGACGCATTTGCAGCGTCTTGGTTTTGGGGAAACCTGATATCGGCGAACAAGAGAGTGAGCTCGGGATAGTATGCGACATGCATGTTCTTGAGTGAGCCGTCTGGCTGCACTTGGAGAATCATGAATCGACGATCATAAGTAAACCCATATCTTGCCACTTCGGCCGAAGAAGGCTCGTATGGTCGAACAGACTTGATGGGATAAACGAGAATCTGACTTTGTGAGAGGTGGTCCAGCAGCGCGATAACCAACGGTACTGACTCTGCTGATATGCATGGCAGCTTTTGATGGAGGTGTTGTTAAGGGTGATACTAAACAAATTCACGAATCTCGCACAGAGAGTTAGGAACGAAGAATAGATGTCAAGTACAGGGCGTGAGGTTGATGTTGGGTATCCCCCGCAGATACTAGAGGGGTAAAAAGCTTGGGGAGCCCTTGCCCCATTCGGTATTTAGATAAGCCATGACAAGTTCTGTATCTCCAAATATCAATTTGATAGTTTTACTGCGTAGATGTTCTTGAGCACTACATATAAGGCTCAATGGAGCAAGTGTGAAGGATAAATCAAGGTTGCAGAAGCAGAGGTGGATAACCGGCAGTTCTGATGGCCAAGCACACAGTCTGTTCTATCTTTGGTGCCGACTTCAGAACCTGGGAAGCGAACATTCTTGCAAGCGAACCTGATGAGCAAAAGAAAATGGAGTGGCGGATATAATACTCTTGAGTAGATGTCACGACGATCTCGGATCGAACGTATGAGGCTGGGAAGAAGCATGAATTGAAGCTTGTTGTGTCCCTAAATAGAGAGCGACAGGAACAGGAGCCAGGGAACAGCCCAACACACACAGCCCCAAAACGTCATTCACCCCGCTATGCGCCAATGAAAGTGCTTCACCGTTTAATCGGTGACCATGTCGGTTGTTTCGCATTTCATCTTGGTTGTGTTTGGGGAAATTGTTGCAACTGTCTTTCGCCGTCCATAGGAAGCAAATGTCAAGGCGAGTGTGATGACGCATCTGTCAGCCTTTCCAAGAGTGAGATATTCGAACGATTTCAACAAGGCATCCACCCCAGCTTAGGCCAAGCGGCGCATCCATCCTTCTTACACGAACGTGCCGAGCACAACCCTACGACTCCTACGCTCTGACAAGACAGACCGGACCGCCTGAAACCTCCCTCGAAACGTCCCCCACCTTGCCGACTACTATTTGACACACAACATGGACGCCATCAATGGAGTGCGGAGGAAAGACACGACANAAGGCCCACCGCTGCGCATTCTCAGTCTGGACGGCGGAGGTGTGCGCGGTTACAGCATGCTGATTATCTTGCAAGAGTTGATGCACCGCACGTTTGTCGAGATTGAGGGTCGCGCTCCAAAGCGACACGAGATACCAAAACCATGCGACCACTTCGACTTGATCGCCGGCACGGGTACAGGCGGCCTGATCGCCATCATGCTGGGCCGCTTGCGACTGGATATTGAGACATGCAAAGACGTCTATGTACGCATGACGCGACGAGTCTTCGAGACGGACAAGACCATCGCCGGCATTCCCTACCGATCCACTCTCTTTAAAGCCAGCAAACTCGAAGAAGCCATAAGAGATTGCGTAAGAGAACACACAATATACGATGACGAGGGCAACGACTCTAAGGATGCTGTTTCCTCATCGTCACGCCAAAGTCTACAGGTCGCCCGTCCTGCTCGTTCTATCAGCGTTGCCAGCAGACACAGCACCATCGGTATGACCCCAGTAGACCCTCGCAGCTCTATCGGTGTCTCAAGATGGGGCGACCCCAACGCCTTACTCTACGACAGTCGAGAGAACAGGACCAAGACTGCCGTGACTGCTGTTTATCGTGGCACCCCTAAGGGTGGAAAGCCCGCGCTTTTGCGCTCATACGACTCGCGTAAGGAGCCTTCGCCTGAGTACAACTGCTATATCTGGCAAGCTGGACGAGCCACTTCGGCTACTGCACTTGCCTTCAAGCCTATTCAAATTGGTCAGAGCACTTTCCTCGATGAGGGTGCCGGGAAATACAATCCGAGTCCCCAGATTCTCGATGAAGCCGTGTGCAACGAATGGCCCGGGAGAGAAGTAGGTGTCTTCCTCAGTATCGGAACCGGCAAACGTCCTCCCGGCACAAACAATCGTCAGCATGAGTGGTGGGAGGGCTTTATTGGTGGAGGCATGGGTGATTTTGCCGAAGCCCGCCGTAGGCTGATCGCAAAGATTGAAGGTTGCGAGGAGATACATCAGTATATGATTGATGAATATCTGTCGAAACGCCAAGTCAACCGCCAAAACTACTACCGACTCAACGTTGAGATTGGTGTTGGAGAGTATGGCATGAATGAGTGGAACAGACTTGGAGACATCAGCACAAGCACCCGCATGTACCTTGCTCGTCCTGATGTTCAGGCACAAAACTTCGACGCTGCCGCAAAACTTGCCAAGGTCTTCTTCAGCAAGAACCGCCACGAACGACAACCGTCCTGGGATGGTCAAGAAATCATCAACACCTCATTTTCTCGGCAAAATGCTCCTCTTCCTGCCATCCCCCTCCCTAGCAATCCTCTTGCTGTCGAACTTCCAGCCGACAATGTTTTCCCATCTCAACCATATCAGCAACGCCCACCGACATCACAACCGCCATTGCGTCACTCTTCTATTTCCGACATGAAATATACGGTTATACCTGACGATCAGTGGCCTCAATCCGAGCCGGTAAGGACACCAACTAGTGCCACACGTCCTTCGCCTCCACCAGGTGCCTATCGACCTTCGATGGAATCCATGCACCGTTCTAGCGGTTCGTTGAGCCAACACCGGCCAGAATCTCAGGACAGCGGTACAGCAGCATATGCGCCTCCTTTGCCTCCCAAAACACCTCTTCCATATCCTGATAATGTCGCGCCGCTCAGTCCCACGGTTGCAAGCCCGACTTTCGGAAATCCAATGAGGCATTCTTCACATAATGGAGGGTCATTCAACGTCGCACCATTACGACAAGCTCTGCCGCCATACCCGGATACAGATGGTCCTCCACCCATAGTCAACATCGCACGTAAGCCTGAATATACTGGAGGTCCTCGCTACTAGCATCTGACAATGATTGCGACGGATTTTCATATACTGTTGTGCTGCATTGCGATTGGACATAGCTTGGTCTTTGCTTCATTTTCTGATGATCTCCAGCAGGGCAAATTCATGCGGGCCACAATACGCTCGATGGCCACACTGGTCCTGGTGGTCAAGGTCTTGATTTTTTCTTCTTCTTGTTATGACCTCTACTTTAGTCTTTATGATTTTCTCTTGACGAATGATACCACTCTGTTTTTCCTGTCTTACAACCTGTTCCAAATTTGCCAGATTGCACATCAGATGATTACTGCGCGTGACCAGAGTACTCTGAAACACCCATCTCGCTCTCTCCCCATCTTGTATGCAAGCATCTAGAGCAAACCACCCTCCTTGAGGCCTGAGCGGAGTACTTCTGGCTTTTTAATCATTGCAGGTAGCATGAGTGCCATCACAGTCACCATTGCCATTTCTCTGGTCAACATCTGCTCCAACTCTGTCAGATAGGATTCGTAAGATCCTTCGGAGTCTGCATCTTCGTCTTCGTCGATATCTTCGTCTGCATCATCGTGGTTGTCATGGTCGTCATATTCATCGTGGTCGTCGTGTTCATCATGGTCGTTGTCGGCGTTCTTGGTGTTGTTCAATTGGATTTCGTGATTTGAGACAAAGCGATCGTTGTCTGCAAAGACATCTTCATCGGCCATAGAGGCGCGAGTGCTGAGCCAGGGGATGGACTTTTGCTGCTTGTTGGTGGAGCGACTGCAGAGGAAGAATCGTTTCGCGTGACTGTCTTGATACGTTTGTTGGCTGGTGTTGCTGTAGCAGGTTGCTCAAGAGAAGAGCTTTCAACATCATGAGGTCTCTTTGCCAAAGATGGGCGTGTCGATTGTTGTTGCTGTGGCATACCACACGATGTTGTCTTCTTCTCAACCAACGAGTGTTGCTTGACCTCATCCCTCCACAACTCTATCCTCGTCCTATGGATCTTTTGCCCTCTCTTCGTCGTGTTTTCACTTTCTTTGACTTCATTTCTTTCTGCCAGTGCAGCCGCAAAGTCGGAGTTCTTTTGGTTGTTTTCCATGTTCCTTTGCTTGCGTCTTTCTGTGATTAAGGCGAGCCGTTCTTTGATGTCTTGAACACACTTCATAGTCATGTTCTGTAGATCGCGTACTGATTCGTCTGGTCCGTTGAGAGCTCTGCTTTGCAAGATCTTTGCTTTGAGACCGTCGAGTCGCTCTTGCGACATGGGGATCTTTTGAGGTTGTCCATGACTTGTTCTATATCGACTGAAGTCGACATTTTGCTGATCAAGTTGTTGTGCTTTTTCCACGAATGATGATTTTGTTGTATTTGACCAGACCAGTTTCGTTCGAGTATTATCAGAGGACAGACAAAGGCGAAGTTGCACGACAGCGAGTAGAGTGGTTGGGTTAAGTAAGCCGGACACGAGGCGGGACAATTGCTTTCCCGGATGTCTTGAAGTTACTGGTGTCTTCGGGACGTAAGAATTCCCTCGGGGTATTTGTTTTCTCTGGAACAATCCCTTGCCGTAAGAGGGGGTTGCAAACGGGCAAACCACCACTTATGTACATACCTACAAGCCATCGCTATTTATACTTCAAGCGAAGGAATAAGGTGATGTGGTATCCACGTTTGTTTGGAAAAGTAAGGTTGATCAGGCCTCGGCTGGCTGGGAAGCCGAGAACCGAACACGCTACGCTAGGTCTACATTTTTGAGCTTCATGTGGATACGGCCTCGAAAATTCATCTTATATTGGACCTGTGGCGCAGCGGTAGCGCGTGTGATTCCAGTGTTATCCGGGACATCCACAAGGTCATCCGTTCAAATCGGGTCAGGTTCAGTAGAAGATTTGGTGCTATAGCATCATGCAATCATTTTTGTCTATATCGCACACAGTGTGCCAAGATTTTGTCAAAGGACGCTCCCTCCTGGTTGAAGCTCTTGAGCTGCATGGCAAACAACATTGTCTTGTTTCTAGGGAAGCAATATTGTTTGCCGAGAGGACTAGTCTCCCGGATGGCATCTTCGATCTAACCCTTCAGTTTGAGCAGGTCTTCAGATCATCCTTCAAGTCCCCCAATACCTCTTGCTGTGCTTTTGCTTCGCCGACAAAATCATTGCTTATCGAATCCTTCTGTCTTTGGAAGAAGTTATACACTCTCTGGACGTGTGCTTTCCTTCGCGTTTGGTCCCGCTGATTGAATCTCTCCTTCCACAAGTCTTCCTCGAACCACGGTGGGAAAAATCCTGAATACTCCCAATCAACGATACCGACAATCTCGTAAGTCTCGGGATCGACCAGTATGTTGTGCCCGGAAAGATCATTATGGCAAAAGACGAACTTGCTATCCTTGCATGTGATACGATCCCAGGACTTGTGTGGATGCTCGGTCAAGACAACGCTTGGAGGATAGACTGGAATGTTCATGTCGACACTCCCAATCTCTTGACGCGTGAGTCTATGAAGTTGAGGAAGTATTTCAAGCGCCATCTGTTGGTTTACCGCTTCGATGGCAGCTTGCCTCTTGGAGGCTTCAATGTCTCTCAACATAACACCAGGAATGATCTTGGTGATGAGCGTCCAAGAACCATCTTTCTGAGAGAACTCGATCACTTCTGGAACCGGGATGGTCGTGTTTTCTTTGACGTATATGAGTGCGGCATTTTCGTTCGTCATGCGCTCCGTCAAAAACTGGATGGTTTCTGGGAAATCGAATTCGTCGTGGCGTAGACTTCTTTTCTTGAAAATTGATTCATTGTAAAAGTATTCACGCTCCGATGTTCTGTGGCTTGTCATGTTTCGACTCTAAGAAGAAAGAATGAGTAAATGAGCGTTCAAGGTTATTCCCACTGTGAGTTGCAGTTCCCCAAATTCATCATGCTCATGCAAGGCGTCTAAGGCGGCAAACGATCCAGTAGAAACTCGCCACGACAGTAGCGATTCTTTCTAGCGTGACTCACCGAACTCCTGGCCCAAAATCTTCTGATGGGAAAACGACAACATGGTAGTAGCCTTATGAAAGGTACTCCCCATTCTATGTCAACAAAATCAAAAGTACGACCGTGAAGGAATCCATATCTTTACACCAAAACCAGGATCGAGTCAGAATCGTCGAGATGCCTTCCCAAGTCTCGCTGTACTGCTTGGCTCATGTTGGTTATAATTCCTTGGAATGAGAGATAAGTTCATGGGTCAGCATTTCGCTTCAAATTGGTATTGCCACAAGAAAGGCATACTCAACATGGTCAGGCAGCGAGCACAACTCGATAACAGACTCTTTGCTAATCTAAACCTCGAGATCGAGATAGATTCTCTCTTTATCAGTATACAGTACAACCCTGTTCACCACAACTATCCATAACTACCTCAAATTCGTGGTAGAGATGAGTCAAGCATGGCTGCGAACCAACGACAAAATCATCGACAAGTCTTTGCCATCGTGAGTTGTTTTGAGTCACGAGCGGACTCGACTTATATGTAAATTTTGCAAGTAGCCAAGTTCTTCTGTCCTACATCTTCCTATCTTCAACATTACCCTCGTCGTAACTGTAACTCAGCACCACTCCTACAATACTTTACCAGAACTTATCATGGTCACCATCGACATGAACACAGAACCCATCAGCCGTGGTTGGGAAAGACTCTCTAGCAACGAGAGCTTGAACCAGAGTGGCTCCAACAAGCATTCCTCTCCTCCAACATACCGTTACGCAGCACCAAACTATTTCGCAACCTCCAACTACGATGCAGAGACCAGTCCTGTCGCTGCATCTGCCGGATCTAGAAGAAGCAGGCTTTCGAGTTACGCTCTTCCTTCGTCTCTTCCCTCGTCTATCGAAATGCAGGATATAGATATAATGTCAACCACTCCTCCAGCACCTGGAACTCTCCCAACACCAGCTACACACCCAAACAACCCGCCCAGCCGCCCTAAAACCAGGTTTTGGTTTGCTCTACTCCTCACCACCATCCTCTTCCTCATCTCCATAGGCCTAAACCCCCACTTCTTCAGCACAGAGCCATGGAGAAGAACCTCCTGGTCTCGCTCAGGCGTAAACGAGCACCTAAACATCAAACAAGTCATCTTCGCCACCGTCCCTGCAAAAGTCCTCTGGAGCATGTTTCTTGCTACTTTGGCTTTGGATGTGTTGGTTCTGCAGATGATGTATGGTTATGCTAGTGTGGCTGCTACTACCACACATAGATGGTCTAAAATGTGCAGGAGTCTGGAGCATTTGTTCTTTTTGNTGGTTGTGGTGATTCAAGCTGTGTTTATGTGGGGGTGGTTGTTGTGGTTTATTTCATGATGGCGGCGTTCATGTCGTCAAGGTTAGTGTAGGATATGAGCTCGGAAAACAAGAGGTGGGTTGCGAGAACAAGTTCAGAAGTCAAGTCCGCTGCGATGAGACATGTTTTGATCGACAGTTTAGTAGAGTTGTATAAACCAAAGGAAAATGTATTATGGTCAGCCTAGAACTATTACTTTCCAAACAGATCTTTGAGGAAAACTGCTGTATATGACTAGTAGTCCTGCTCCTTCATGCCTGAATTGATAGCTTGACGAGGCACACCGCTTTTCGCACTTGCTAATTTCTCAGGAGCATAGAAACGAACGTTTTAAGGGAAGAATGATGTTTTTTACACCAGCAAAACCTAGGGTATCTACCATGGTCCAAAACACAACTCATTTGCAGAGCCAGAACCGAGAAAAGTCCCATAAGCCAACACAACCCATGTCCAGAGAACCAAGTTCCAAACAATGTATGCAAAGAAAACGCAAGCCAAACGAGAAGCAGATCTAATCTCTCAATCAAACCCACTAGGCCTCTTGGGCTTCAAATACCCCAACTCGTCATCGTCATAACGTTCATAGTTGCTGTCGTCACTGCGACTGCGACTTCTATCCATGCGAACACGACCAAGATCACCCATGACATCTTCAGGACTCTCGCTTCTACCGCTAGTGACGAGCCAGTCGTCATCTTCCGCCTCGTAGTTGGAGACACCTTGGTATTGGGGTTGCTTGTTTTTGCCTGCTGCATCGCCAGTCACCAGACCTAGTCTTTCTTCCTCGCTAGCGTTGTTACGGCTGGCAGGACGGTGGTGAGAGGAGCTACTCTTGCGAGAGGCAAAACTCAATGCGCCGCGCGAGATGGGGCGAATGGTGCCGTCGTCTGCGCTTTCGTCATGGTTCTTGCGGTGGAAGACGTTCTGGAAACTGAAGGTGCGTTTGCCTGACGAATCTGGTCGTGAGTGTGGCGGAGGTTTGGGAGGCATCAAGGAACTAGATTGGCTCATAGCACGTTCTTTCTCTCGCTCGTCGATGCTGGTTGTCCAGTGAATCGCACTGCCGCCTTTATAGGAAGTGTCGGTGTCCAGATTGGGTGAACGGAGTCCTGATGGTAGTCCATAGACGTGCTCACGTGCAGGTTCCTCATCAGCTGTCGTTGAGAAGGTCGATTGTGATTTCAGGGTTAGTGGTGGTTTCATCTCCATCAGAGAATGTTCTCCAGATGGGTGTCGCTTCTTCTTACTTCGGCGGAAACGCGGCAAGAACCCAGGGTGCACATCGTTATCACTGTCGCTATCAGTGTGATGTTCATTAGGGAAATGCGTTAGGCCCAGGGGCGGGTGAGAAGTCTTCGCCGATTGCAGCGATGTGTGGCCACTAGGCGCAACGACGGTTTTACGACGTCGCAAACCATCGAAATACACCGTATCATCTTCGCCAATGGGCTCCATGTGTTCGCTAGCGATAGTGCGGGCTTCATCAAGCTCCTTCATGGTGCGTCTNTTGCTGATCGCTCGGACGATTGCAGCACCACCACGAATAGTGTCGGCGCGCGGCTCGCTTTCTGGCTCTTCCTGTTCGGCAATGGTGCGGACTTGATCCAGATCTCCCTTGAAAATGGCCGTATCTGGTACGTCCTTGGATGATTTTGCGAGCTGAAGCAATACAACGCCAGAGCAAATTGTCAGGAAGCCCATAATCACACTTACTATACCTACTGTGCTTCCACCAAATCCTCTGAACAAGATGGCTGAGGTGACGATGGTCGCAGAAGTAAAGTAAACGTAATAAGTTGGCGTGACCAGAGCAGCATTAAAGATGTTAAGCGCTTTCNNTGGAAATAGTCAGTACAACAAGATTGTCTAAAAACATGCTCTGACACTCACGTTGAGATAGATAATCTCTGTCAAAAGTGTGCAGATGACAAAAACGAACAAGACCCATAGAAACCATTGTTTGAACTGGTTGACATCAGTAGTCTTGCCAATAGCAGCAACAATAGCAGCACCAAGACCTTGAGTTGCAACGACACTCAATCCGCCAATCAGACTGCAAATGGTGAGATAGACGAACATGCTCTTGTTTCCGTAACGGGGACCAGCCCAAAGAGCAGTGAAAACACATCCAATGATGACAACTCCAGTATATGTCAAGAAACCAGGTGCAATGACAAAATGTTGCATTTGCTGGATATTAGCAGCAGAGGATTGCTCAGGAGCATTGAGGGCGATGATAACGGCGCCAATCACACATTGAAAACAACCGACCTTGCCAACGAAACTGAGGCGCTCTTTGAGGAAGATTGCTGACAAGATGGTAGTGATGACGACGCTGAGAGCTCCAAAGGGAGTAACGAGGATAGCATCGACGAAAGCTAAGAAGACTAGTCAGCTAAAACTTGGTCCATCTGCTGTCTGGAAGGTCATTCAAACGAACCATAGGCAACAAAATTGCATACTTCACTAGATAGAGAATTAGTCTTTTGTATGCAAGAGCAAGCTTGTGATCATATCTTACCCTATGATCATCAAGATCATTCCAGTCCACCACCATCCATTTTTGAGGTAACCGTAACCTTCACCAGCAGCCTCATTGTATTTCTCGTTTGCCTTGAGCAATCCATGCTTNTTCAATACAAAAGATGTTCCAATAAAGAGACCAGAGCATACGGCGAGGATGATACCAACTGCTTTGTATACCGGAGGTCGTGAGGCATGGTCCTGGCTATTTTCGGTACTAGTTCCATTCGTGGTATTGGCACGAGCATACAGATCGTTGGCTGTGAAGATGATATGCCCGGCTGAATCCATGTTGCGCTGGAGGCCTCAGGGGCTGACAGAATACGGGATATGGCGACGGTAGAACGCCTTATCTTTGGCGCTGCTCACGGAGCATTAAGCGCTGGTAGTCCGTAGGGTATGTTGGTTGTGTGTATAGTCCTGTACAGTTCTTGTTCAAGTCCTTCTCTTGTCAAAAGATATCCAGCGAAGAAGAAATCGTAGAGAGCAGTATGTACAGAATGTTTGTCGTAAGCGTGATCCGAAGGTGACTTTCTTTGTTGATGGTGTGCTGACAATGTGGGGAGAGATGTTGCGGGCGGGAGTCTTTCGTCGTGCGCGACTCAGGGGAAAATCGATTGCAGACGTCGTCGTTGAAGCAGAGGCTCCGCTATGAAATATCGACTTAAGATAGGCCAGTTGGGATGCAGTCCTACAGTATGCGCGTGAGGGAAGGAGATCGCGTGTGCAGCCAAACAAATTGTTGGTCTCCTATGTGTACGAGAACTGCGCCACAGGCGGGAGAAGTCGAGAAGCGAGGCTGGCCCAAGGTTTGGCAATACACGCTGTGCTTGTCGACAGAGTCCCCTTGACCTTTGACAAGAGAATACTTCGCCTTCTGCTTGTCGAGAAAGAATTCTAATGGACAGACAAGCACGAAACGCCCGGCCCTCACCAAGGTCGCATCTTGTTCAATCTGAGATCTGCCCGGCCAACCAACATGATTTCATCGCAAAACACATCAACAGCCTATCTGTGTGGACTTTCCTGCTTTGTTTTTATTTCTGCATGTCTATAGAACATGCTCAGAATATGCTCGACGTGGTCAGCAAGAACAATAAAAGCTCTCCGCAAGAAGACCAAAGGATCACGCGCAAAGTCAATGCATTGTATATTTGCGAGCTGAGTATAACGACTTTAGCTATGCCTAGAAACATCTCATCGACAATTCATACATCAGCTCTCAGTACTCGTGCTGCACATCGCTTGACAATGTGATGAGATGCATCTATAAATGGCGGACCAATATTTCCTTGCATGATGCTTCATTTACTGTTCTGGGATCGACTTTGATCCATGTTCATGTCCATGTTTCTTGTACCTGATGATCAAGGCTTCACATCTCGGAGTCGCCGCGAAATGTCTTCCATTCAAAGACCTTTTGTCGCTTCAAGCAAGACCAGCTTCATGATCTCAGACAAAACAATGACAACTGTTCCACCGTCTGAGCTGAACTGCTGGCGACCGTTTCGTAACTTGGCTTGGTGTTCTCGAGATCAAGAGGGACTGTTGAAAGAACCCCTTGTCATGGGCTTGAAAGTTTGGGAAGCTGGGAGCAGTTTTCCCGCTTGGGGCTGACGTTTGTCCAATCGAAAACCGGCGCTCCTGAAACAAGGTGGTGCGTCAATCGCTGAAGGCTTCCATAAATGGGGTTAGCCCCCTCGTAAGCCGAAGGATGTCAACGGGAAGGCGCTGGACAGTGGGCATGGTTCGCCGTTGAGGGAGAGAGTGGGATGCACGATCAACGAGAAGTTGCTGCATGGATGGAAAGATGGGTCGTGGCTGCTCTTCGTATTGATACAAGATTCGTCAGCTCCGTAAATACTCACACTCCTATTCCTTCTCTCCTCATATCTCTGAGCACTGCCTTTCCCATGTGGATTGCTTGTTTCCAAGTATTCCTCTGAGCTCCTTGTCGAGTTTGCGACAGAACTCGACCTGCAGGCCAAGATATACCAAGCCTGTCAACGACTCAGGTCTACCCGACGATATGGCGACTTCGTCCGCGGGAGTCTTTAATGCTTCCAAACTGGCCATCATCTTTACTCTGCTGTGTTCGCTCTATCTTNTTCGCGGCATCTGGCTACCGTCCACGCCTACCACGCCGGTGCAACCCACATCTACCCCTCAACCGTCAGCTCCTCTTGAGAACGATCTGACTCTCAACCACACCGTACCAACTCAGGATGTCGCCGACTGCCTCAATGCGCCGGGCGCCGATCGCGTCATGATTGTGCTCAAGACTGGCGCATCAGAAATCTACGAGAAACTGCCAACCCACCTTGTTACTCTGTTTAGGTGCACTCGGCACTACCTCATCTTCTCCGACCTGCCACAGACTTACTCCGACTATGAGATCCACGATGCTCTGGCTACCGTCAGCGACAAGTATAAGAACGAACACGAAGACTTTGAGGTCTATCGCAAGCTTCAGCAGTACCACCGCGAGGGTCAGAACGTGGCCAAGCTGAAGGGCGACAAGGGATGGAACCTCGATAAGTGGAAGTTCCTTCCCATGATGCACGAGTCTTACCGACTGGCCTCTCCGGACGTTGACTGGTTTGTCTACATTGAAGCCGATACTAGTTTGAGCTGGACAAACTTGTTACAATTCCTCGGACGAATGGATCCAAGGAAGCCTCTATACCTGGGTGCGCAGAACGTCGTCGGTCCGACCACTTTCGCTCATGGAGGCTCTGGTTTTATCGTCTCGCGCGCCGCGGCTAAGAAGATGGAGGATCGCAGAAAGAAGAAGGGTGTCGATAAGTATGACGAACGGTGGGAGACGTCGACAAGCCAATCGTGCTGCGGTGACGAGGTCCTTGCGCGTGCCTTGATCGAAGTCGACGTTGATCTGACGCCTTCCTGGCCTCGTATCCAAGGCGAGACGGTCGATACACTGGACTGGACCAAGAAGCACTGGTGTACCCCTGCCATCACCTGGCACCACGTCAACCCAGCGCAAGTGGACAGCATGTGGCGCTTCCAGAACAAATGGGTAAAGGAGAATGTAAGATTTCCAAACTCGCGATAACCCCGACATAGTCACTGACATAAAGACAGGNGATGGTCTACACCATACCTCTACCGCGATGTCTACGATGGATTTGTGGCCCGACACGTTTCTGTGAACCGAACCAGCTGGAATAACCTCTCCAAGGATAAAGAGTTCATCGCTCCAACTCCGGACTCGAGCGACAAAGATAAGGCAGCGTGGGAGAAATTGTCAGAAGTCGAAAAGAATTCAGTCAAGAGCTTTGACAACTGTGCCGAAGCCTGTCTCGCCTGGAACAATTGCTTGCAGTGGATGCACGAAGACGGAGTCTGCAAGTTGGGCAAAGACATCAGGTTGGGAGAAACAGACGAAAGAACCAGCAATACGTGGTCCAGTGGATGGTTACACGATCGGATCCAAGGAATGCGGGAAGATCTTGCCGACTGTAAGATCAACTGGGACGATTGAACGCGGCCACCTTCTTCTTCTTTCTTGTTCAACCTTCAGGCAAAGAACCATATACCAAGTGCTGGAAAGATGGTTTCTCTGGACAACTGAAGATACTTTATCTGGATTCAGAGTGAGGGATTGCAGGGGGTTTGACATGACATTTTGGCGCATACATCGATTCTCCATTTGCAGTTCTCATTGGAGGCAAGAAGTAATGGGAGATTGACGAATTGGCATGATCATGAACATTCAGTGTAGAAAAGGCAGACAGGTACATACATAGACACGACATACTGTTTATATGACATTCTGCATTTCAACACATCTGAATCCGAGACAAAAAAGCCAGCTACCAAGACAAGAACGACAAGAAATGGTTTGGTCCGCCAACGATTTGTATGAGGGGTATATGCGACGGGGAAAAGATTCGAAACGAGGGGATGCACGAAAGGCCAAACGAAACCCATTCTCATCCATCCTCGCAAGATCAAACATCCAACCCTTGAAGACTTCAAAACAAGCATCTATGCAAACAAGGAAAGAAGTAAAAAAAAACGCCTTGATCCAAACAGAGACATAACCCAAACAAAGAGAGCCTCGGAGCATTCATACATGTCAAATATATCATTCCTTGGGAACAGCCTCACTGCTCACACTGCGGTTGTTGGCGCCAAACCAGCCCATCCAACTCGATCGCTTGGCCTTCTTGGCCGCCTCTTCTTCCTCTTTGGCTTCTTGCACGAGGCGCAATGGTCGCATGCCGCCGCCACGCATGATGGCGCCGGTAGGCTTCTCGCCGGAAGAGGTTGTGCTGCGGGGAGGACTGGCCGTGCTCATATTGTCCGGCATCCCGGATTCGCTGTATACGCTGTTGCGGGCCGAGTCTCTGGGTGCGGAAGAGGGGAGGGAGGGGGANGGCATGCTTTGGCGTCTGTCGTCTTGGACCTGAGGCACGGAGCCTGAGGAGGGCACGCGGGCTGCTGCGGCGGGAGCTACAGGCAACACGGGGCTGAAGAGGGAGCTGCCGCGTGGAGGCACCAGACTGGGGCTTGTGGGACCTGAGGAAGGCCCGCGGTACATGTTGTTGACCAAGGTTGCCGGGTTGCCTAACTCGGAGCCTGAGCGGCGGTGCGAGGAAGGAGGGCCGCCCATGGACATGCGGTTGGATTGTGTGCGGGCGAGTGGAATGCGAGGAGCTGTGTTTGGGTCTTCGTTCAGGCTGGGTTGGGGTTCTGAGTGTGTTTCGATGGGCTTTGGGCGGCCACCGCGAACAACTGAAGTGGCTCGTTTCAATAAAGAAGGTTGTTCGTCTTTCTCTGGTGGTGGAGGTGGCAGGTCCTTATCTTTCGGGGCTTCTGCTCCAGACATGAGGTTTGGTGTCTTGTCGAGGATGTTTTCAAACTCCTTGTGCTGCAGAAGGCGTGAAATGATGTTGTTGATGTACAACGTCAAGGCTTTGTTCTGGTCTCTCATGGATGACAGTTCGGCTTGCAGACGTCTGTTATCTGCCATACCGTCATCACTGGCATTCTCAAGCTCGTCAGCGAGAGTCGCTGCTCCAGCCATGGCCGAGGGAGAAGAGGGACGAGAACCAGCACTCATGATTGAAGGAGGACGCAGCAAGCCACTGTGAGCAAAGTCACCATTCAGCGTCTTCTCGCTCAGGAGCAGCTGGAAGCTCTCGTTGTCCTCCATCAATCTAGCATTGGCCATTCTCGTCTCCATCAGTGTCTTTTCCAACTCTTGCATACGGCCTCCGCCCATGTTCTCCATCTCGACCAGCTTGATTTGCGATTCAGCCAACTCGAGACGTAATGATTCGATGATCTTATCTTTCTGCAGAACCAGACGAGAAGAGCTGCGGGAAGAGTCGCTTCGTTGCAGAGAGGATGGAGGAGCGAATTGACCGGCTTCTTGGTTAGGGGATGCATTGCTTCGGAAGCTCNNGCTGCGGATAAGGTCAGTTATGTGTCTGATGACTGCCAGATATGAGGGCAACCTACATGCTCTGGAGATGCTCTGCCGCCTCTCGTCTTCACTGCGCATCTCTTTCTGAGCCATGGTCTCCTTCAATCTCTGGATGGTATCACGAAGCTCCTCTTCCCGGACTTGCAATTCCTCCTTCTCTTTCATGGACTGAGCACGCTCGGCTTCATAGATGGCCTCGAACTCTCTACGTTGGCGGGTGCTTTCCTTCTTCTCATTTTCCAGCTGCTCCAATCGTTCTTCTTGCTCGTGCACCGACTCTTCTAGACTGTTGTGCTCTTTGTTTGTTTCGTCGAGACGAGATTGAATAACGGCTTTCTCCTTCTGTGCCTCTTCGACAGCCAATTCCGCCTTTTGAAGACGTTCGCGCAGATCGTCAATGACGGAAGCAGCCTCTGCCTTTGCGTCGGCCATAGCAGACTTGGTAGTGTTTACAGTGGATGTTGTTGTAGGTTTCTTGACTGCAGCGCGGGCAGAAGGTGGGGCTCCACCAACCGGGGTGCGGACAGACTTAGCGCGAGAAGGGGTCGCAGCTGAGCCAGGGGTCGTTGATACCGTTGGACGAGAGGGACTGCGTGAGGGTGTTGTCTTTGGAGGATTCATAGACGGACGACGAGGAGGAGCCCCAGGCTGGGTAGAAGTAGCAGCAGCAGCAGATGCCGGCTGCTTGGAAGGCGTCGACATGGTGAAAGCTAAGTAAGCTGAGCGCCGAGCTTACTTGAGCCTAGATCCCAGCGTGTCACAGGTACAAGTAGACGGAGTGTTTGTTGAGGGCCAGGAGGTGTGACGAATGGACGAGAGAGGTCGAGGACGTGGGGACAACTGAACAGGCAAGACACACAACAAAAAGGCCCAGCAACAGCTGGAGCGAAGGAGATTAAAGTACCATATTTATTTGATGAGCCATTCGACACCGCCTTGCCTTTGCCACCGCTTCCTGCTACAGGACGTGCTCACACGCTCGATTCACTCGGTCACTGGGTCAAGTAGATCTATATTCAAATCTGAGGCAGTGACAAAACACCAACAATTGGCATTGTGTTGGTTGATGATGCATGTGATGGGTGTCGCATTCCAACAACAATGTCCAAACGGTTCGAGGGGCCCTGAACAGTGATCGGCGTCTGCTACGCCCTACCGGGACTAGTCTCTTGGCGCCGCTCACACGTCGAAAATTCGAACTTCGGCCAGCCGACTTTTCTCTCTCCAGCAAGCGATTATAAGCCAGACCAGGACCGGAGCGCCGTACTTTTCAATAACCAGACAATCCCCAAAAACCGACGCAGAGATGGCCCCCAAGAAGACCAAGACCTCCGACTCTATCAACTCGCGCCTTGCGCTTGTTATGAAGTCCGGGTAAGTCTCGTCGTTACACCTCCGTCGCCAGCAAGTTGCTGACAGCCTGCGCAGAAAGGTCACCCTCGGCTACAAGTCCACCATCAAGGCCATCCGCTCTGGCAAGGCCAAGCTCATCATCATTGCCGGCAACACTCCCCCTCTCCGCAAGAGTGAGCTCGAGTACTACTCTATGCTCGGCAAGACCGCCGTCCACCACTTCAACGGCAACAACGTAAGTCGACACGCGAGCTCTGAGAAAAGCCCGGGCGTGTGTTTGATTGCTCTCGCAAGTTGATTCAACATCAAGCTGGCTCGCCAACTGTTGGACCGATTCTGTCTTCAGTCATGAAGGCGAGGCAGAGCAATCAAACACACTACCCACTCAAGGCTTTGGAGAGCAGAACATTGGCTAACGTGTTCTTGTCATGCAGATTGAGCTCGGTACCGCCGCCGGTAAGCTCTTCCGTTGCTCCACCATGGCCATCATCGATGCCGGTGACTCCGACATCCTCACTGCCTCCGTCGCTTAAGCGCAGAGCAAGTGTTGATGAAAAAGATATTTTAGAGGAATGTCAATTTGATACCCCACCAAAAGTTTCTCTTCTTATCTACTTTCCCTACTCGTCTCAATGTGTCCTCGTCGTATTCGTGCGTGTTGTAATGTTCATGTTGATGTTCATCTGGTGTTGGTGCCTCTCATATGGTAAGTCTTCGATTCAAATCTTTTGTGAAGTCGGCTAAAGACATCTCCTACAGCAATGTTCAGCTAAATGCACACCATAAGAATGCATGACTGATTCTCGATAAGAAATGTGTCCAAAGAGAACAAAAGAACCTTGAAGATCACGCCTCCCCTTTAAGCCGACCTTGTTTCTCGATGCTATCAAAATACACAGTCGAATACAGATCAGAGGTCTGTCCAGAGAAAGCCTATGAGAATGGCACCTCTCAGTGGACATCGCTCTGTTCTGGTAAATACTGTGTATTTTTACAATAGCCTCATCACAGGCTCTGGCACATGAGATGGAGCATGGGCAGTAGTCAGGGGAAGGTGCTCTCCGTGACTGTCTTTATCGCCAATTTGATACTCTGATTTGCTTCAGGAACTCATTCAACACCGGAGAACAAAAGTAGTTGCCAGGCCTACTCAATGCCGAAGAATCTCGATTGTTCATCGTCACTTTTAGTGAATCGTTCCGCCGTTTGTCGCGACTATTTTTCTCGACAATTCTCGTCGCAGCACGCATCTTCTCTCCACCCACCACAGGATGGAGCCATCCAACTCCAAGCCGATGCCTTCTGGCGGTGGTAACGTTGCCGCCGCGTTTCGCGCCATTCCAGCTGGAAAGGGCAGCCACTACAGAGATTACGACTTTGTCCCGACCAGATCCGGACCTCTCGACTACAATGAATCTGACCCTGACACACCCCATTCTCACACANAAAGAAAGAGGGATGCCGCTGTCGATCAAGGCCGTCAACACTCTTCCAAGAAACCACGCAAATCTAAGGACGATCGCAGTGACCGACTTTGCCTGCAGTGTGGTAACTACCACAGTTCCCCTTGCTATGTCCCCTATTGTAGCAGCTGTGACTTGAACCACTATCCGAACGTTCCATGTTTGAACGCTATGGAGCAGTTGAAGAGACGCCTCGAGTTGCATTCTACCTTTAAGACACCCCTTTCGTCGAAGCAGAAGAACAAGAAGAACATGGTGGCACCAGCATCGTTGCCCTTGCGCTTTCATAACGAAAACCACGTGTCATCAGACTTGTCTGATCCGCAAGCTCCCACATCCTTGCTCAAATCAGCTTCTCAGTCTCCTATCAACAAGCGGCAGAGAGAAAGTCCCAACAAGCGCTCGTGTCCTATCTGTCGGGAGTGCGGCAGTTTCCACAGATCAGCCTGCAAATGGCCTGTGTGCGAGCAATGTCACCACAAGCATCATCCAGAGACTCCTTGCGCTGTCGCTGAGGCTCGCCTGAAGAGACGTTTAGAAGAGGAGGACGCAAGACAGGCCCAAGAGACGGAAGAAATCAAGAAGGATGAGAAGAGTTTGATTGAAATAAACCGCGAGATGTCATCTGCGACTCTCCAGTTCAGGCGCTCTTCCGCTCCAAGCCCAGGTCGTCCATTCAATCCTGAAGTTGCACTCCGAAAGCTCAAANAGAACACCAGATTCTGCAGAGATTGTGGTCGCTATCTCAATGGACCATGCACTTGGCCTACCTGCAAAAAATGCAACACAAAGCACTTCGAACACATCCCTTGTTGGCAAGCACGCCAAAATCTACAAGACCGCCTTGACGCGTTCGATCGTGGTTACGGCACTTCTCAGAAGAAGAAACCTGCCAAAGCCAAGGCCTTGCCTCTCATTACAGAGCCTTCATCGCAACAGATCGAGCATGCTACCGAGCCTAATTCAGCCGATCCTGCTGCACCTATGGATCTTGCAACCTCTTCTGGCACAACTTCCGGTTTGGAAGGAAAGGAGGAAATGTCCTGGTCCCTTGATTCGAACAAGATCGTCCATTCAGGTCCTCCTCCTACCCACACCGACCTCTCCGAGTCTGAGGCATCAAAGTCGCCTGAGCATCACAGTCATGTTCATCCTAGTCGTCAGTCATTCTTTTTGAAGTCCCTTGAGACTACGGTTTCTGAGCCTGAACCTCCCGCCAACGTAGCCTCGACTGGAATCACGGTCCCGTCCGATAGCACTCGTAATGAGGCACCTCATCTCGTCACCTACGGTGCATCTGTCGAACAGAACGTGGATGCTTNNTTTCTTGCAGGCGTTCTCCAGGACATGCATGAGAACGACAATGGTGGTGATGATCCTGGACATGTTGATGTCCCTCAGAGTGCACCTTCGTACTTGGACTACCTTCGTCGCAATGGAACATAGCAAGCCTTCCGTATTGCGCGCTCATAGAAGAATATGGATTGAGGATATGGTGGCTAGGAAAGATGACAGATCTCATCTCGTGCGTCTACAGACGAATGGTTACAGCAGCTTTGCCCTCTGTTATCATGAGAATAGGATAAGTTTGGTTTTCTATGAGAACGTCCCAAGATACGTCAGAAAGGAGGAAATCGGTGAGGACAGTGGTCTTGCGGTCGGCCCAATCAGCTTTGAGGGAATGAGGCATCGCATTGGGAGGTCGCTGCTTTCCATACACGTATCACAAGTAGCTTGGTTGGAGCACCGCAAACCGACTTTTTCTAAATACAGTACCAAACCATGTAACCTCGGGGTTTTCTCACCCACTCAGTATATGCTGCTCTTGTAAACCATTGTTGAGGACATTTGTTCGGTTTCCCGCAACTGATAGTTTCTAGTTTGACAGTCAGGAGGCGAAGTTCCACATACAGCCCGTGATTGCAGCCTAGAGAGAAGATATGCGCTAGTTTTGAACTCAGCCTACATATGAGTCCGAGTGATGACTGTAGAAGGAGCAATTAGCGGGCTGCCTATATGAGTTCTTCTGTTGACATTGCTCTCCATCTCAACAACAATAACATTCGAACCTATCTCAAATCCAAGACGCAACACGATCACGAAACTTCAATACGGTTGACTCCTGTCCGGTTTTGCATAATAACCTGACTAGATCGTAACATTACTCTGGTCATCACGGGAATCTCACTTTGTCTGTCTGCGGCTCGTAATCCCGACTTCGTCTTGCCTTCGTACAGAGATCTGGTCTCGGAAAGAAACAACCATGACGAGTTTTTACTCCTTGCCTATTGAGCTTAGGAATGCCGTATATGACTACGCTCTCCAAGATGATCACGACTTCTTCGCCGACGGTGTACCAGCACTATTCAAAGTATGTCCAGAAATCACCCAAGAAATCTACTCGTACCGCAAAACCATCACAACAATCAGTATCAATGTGGACACCCCTGGAGACATCGAGGATGAGGATCTCCACCGGGCCATGATTACAAAGTTCAAGCAAAAGCAAAACACCAAAGGACTCGTTGTCAAATTCATAATCTTGCAGCGTCGCTCTTCGCAAAGGATGCATGATCCTTATGCCAGCATTTTCGAGACCTTGAGTGATGGGTTTACAGGAGTTAATGTGCGTCTCCATGCGACGATGCTCAGGTTGGCGTTGAACGTTGAAACGGAAGTCCATAAAGAGGCTGGTCAATTAAGCTGAGCAAGTGTAAAGTCACTGGCGATAGAGGTGCTGCCTTTAGGACATTCCTGTGACCTGGGAGTTGCTCTGCGGAATACCTCCTTTGGTGTGTGTTTGTATTCGCAGATGATGAAGCGGAGGACAGCTTTCATGAGTCTGGAGGTTTTGAGAATATAGCCTTGATGCATTGAGACAAAGATGGCTTGTTGGTCTTTGAGTGCGTAGGGCTGATTAGATAGATCAGGTTGGCGACGATGCAGTTCGACCTGATGGCATTGAATCCTGAAGTTAGGGTTATCGGAACATATTGGTGGAGCCATGGATGGGACCGTGATGTCTGCTCACATGGGGCAACATAAGATCAGTATCACATCCAGTCCTCTCTTTTCGAGATTATGATGGTCCTTGTGACACAGGCAGCCGTATAAGCAACAGGCATAGCATCCAGCACATAGAATTAACGAAGCAATGCCATATCACCTTCAGAAGAAGTCCAGTGTACACGATATAGACCAACATGACTCCTATTCATTCTTTAGTGAGAGGAAATACTTAGACAGGGTTGCCCCCACAGAATCCTGTTTCCTGATATCCATAGTCTGACATGCGTACCAACTAGACCAACAAGAAATTCATATGTTATAAAGGAGACAATGTGATGAGCGCTGTGTTTGGTGTAGAAGAGTAACATGATAAGAGACTAATGAGGATCCTGACCTTGGCATACCCCAGTACTGGATGATAGCATATATAGGAAGCGCTGATCCTGCTATCACCCATCGAGATCAAACTGAAGTGGTAGTTGCAAAGGACTGTCAACGTCCTCAGATGTGTGTGTCGAATGAACCACCCTCTGTTACACATACGAAGACTTACTATATCATCCTTCGTGGATGTGAAAGGTACGCTTGCTCATATACGAATGCAAGACGAGGCATAAGAAAAATGAATCGAGAGGGAGAGGAGGATGCTCCTGTTTAGAAGCATACTGGCCGCTAATAGTATGACTACCTACCTGAGGCGTTTACATTGTCCTCAATCAATACAGACTTTACAAACACATTGACCCCTTACGCCATGAACCAAGCCAGGCATGCCTGAAGCAGACAGAGCAATAGAGTTCGTTAAATCAGCCCGTGACTTCTGCTGCAGCTGCCAGAAGGAGACAAGATTGCTATGGTTGATGGTGAGTCACAGGATCGATAGTGAAGGCGTGCTGCGACTGGCTGCAGTGCGATGACGAGATTCGAGTAGATACGACTAGAAGGTTGCGGTGTCTTGTTCGAGGCAAGCTCAAGAGTCGAATTGATTTCAAAGCAACATCAGCAGGTAAACAAAAGGAACAAAGGGCGTTGTTGGATTGATAATCGAGTTTACGATTGCACGTCATTCATTGGTCAAGCTGGGGTAGAGGATTGCGAGAGCGAGTGAGGAGAAGGCAAAGTCGGGATTTCCAATCGCTGACGCACGGACCCACGCACACAAGCAGCCGAGATATTCACATCGCAGCGCGCCACTCAAACTCTTCCTCTCTCTCGAACACCCAGCGACATCACAACACCGTCAAAATGGCTCGCCGTCCCGCTCGTTGGTGAGTGCAGAACTGCTCAGACTGTTGCATCGACTTTCCCGGCCTCGAAAATCGTGTATTGGAGACATGGAACGATATTGCGCTTTTCGACCGTCGGGAGAGGCCATGCCACGTCGAAACCCATCTATAACGACTCTTTGCTAACATTTTCACAGCTACCGCTACTGCAAGTAAGGATTCCCCATTCGATCGAGTCGTTTTGCGCCCAGAAACATGCCCATACAATCATCCGTTCCGAACATTCAAAATCGTCAAACCCGCACAACTCCGTCATCACAACCTCAAATCACATCGCGCGACTCGTTTTGGTCACTACATCCCTCCGACACAAACTAATCACACCTCTACAGGAACAAGCCCTACCCTAAGTCGCGTTTCAACCGCGGTGTCCCCGACCCTAAGATTCGCATCTTCGATCTCGGCCGCAAGCGTGCTGGTGTCGATGAGTTCCCTCTCTGCATCCACCTCGTCTCCAACGAGTACGAGCAGTTGAGTTCCGAGGCTCTTGAAGCCGCCCGTATTTGCGCCAACAAGTACCTCGTCAAGTCTGGTGGCAAGGACTCCTTCCACTTGCGTGTCCGTGCCCACCCTTACCACGTCGTCCGTATCAACAAGATGTTGTCTTGCGCTGGTGCCGATAGACTGCAAACCGGTATGCGTGGTGCCTGGGGTAAGCCCAACGGCACTGTCGCCCGTGTCAACATTGGCCAGATTCTCCTGTCTGTCCGCTGCCGTGACTCCTGTAAGTTGGCCTGATGACATCTCACTAAACAGATACTGATGACCATTTCCAGCGNNCGCGCTGTCGCCATCGAGGCTCTCCGCCGCTCCCAGTACAAGTTCCCTGGTCGCCAGAAGATCGTCGTCTCCAAGAACTGGGGCTTCACTCNNCCCCTCCGCCGCGAGGAGTACGTCGCCAAGCGCCAGGAGGGCCGCGTCCGTGTCGACGGTGCCTACGTCCAGTTCCTCCGCAACAAGGGTCCCCTTGAGTACAACATGCGCCGCTTCCCCGACGCCTTCTCCGCTTAAGCGTAGGATACCCAGTTCAAGTCGAACGCGAAGGATTGATGGGCTTTGGTGCATTACGGCGTGTTGAGGCTTTCTAAAATTACCATACCATTCGTCAATGAGACATGCTGCAAGACCACTTTTATGACTACTCGATGTGATTTGTCTCTTTTCTTCCTGTTTCTGTGCACATGATTGATCAATCAGATAAAGCGAGACGAAAGATGCTCTAGAATCTGAGCAGTACTTTGTGAGGCCGGACTTAACGGCTTGGTCATGATATGGTAGAGGGCAAAGCTGCCCGCATTTCTCAATCTTCAATTGTCCCACCATGACTTGATGCCGCTACAACCTCGTCCGATCACCCTGTCGCTCAGACAGGCCTGTCTGTACCATGTCCGCCGACCACGACTGAATCTGCTGGCGGAGGTGCACATCCGTCGCCAGCAGTTCTCCAACACCGCGTACCACCACCAAGACGCAAAGGCCGCCGAGGCTGCTGTACCGCTCCGCAAACAGTTGAAAGAGGAGGCAAAGCAGCGGAAGAAGTCTGCCAAAGCTGCTGGGAAAGGAAACAACGAAGTCAACACACTGCTGGACAAGTGGGAGTTGACAGTCGGTATCGAAGTGCACGCTGAGCTGAACACTGCCCACAAGCTCTTCTCGACTGCTCGAACCTCTGTCAATGCCGAACCCAATGAACATGTCGCTCGCTTTGATGTTGCTCTTCCAGGAGCCCAACCGGCATTCCAGAAGGCTACTCTAATCCCAGCTCTGCGTGCTGCTCTGGCCATGAACTGTGACATACAATCTCGCAGTAGCTGGGATCGCAAGCACTATTTCTACCAGGACCAGCCGAATGGCTATCAGATAACTCAATACTATGGTACGCTACAGAAACTGTCCGCATGTTGCTTTTTGCTGACTCTCTTCANNGAACCCTTCGCCCGTAATGGTTCCTTGACCCTGACCTTGGAAGATGGCATCGACCCGAACGACATTACTGAGCCAAAAGGAAGTGCAGAAAGCACAAGTCTCACAATTGGTATCAAGCAGATACAGATGGAGCAAGACACAGCAAAGACTGCTTTACAGCCTCCTTCAACATACCTCCTGGACTTCAACCGTGTCTCACATCCTCTGATCGAGATCATCACCCTACCCCAGATACATTCGCCCGCCACTGCTGCCGCAACTGTTCGTAAGATACAATCTCTGCTCAAAGCCGTCGACTCTTGTGTTGCCGGCATGGAAATGGGTGGTCTGAGAGCCGATGTCAACGTCAGTGTCAGACAACGAGGATCCACAGGCGACAACAACGAGTACTCCGGCGTCACAGGTCTAGGCACAAGAACCGAAATCAAAAACCTGAGTTCGTTCAAAGCAGTCGAGGATGCTGTGACCGCAGAGCGAGATCGCCAAATCAAGGTTCTTGAAGCTGGAGGTGTCATCGAGGGCGAAACAAGAGGTTGGACCATCGGCAGCACGGAAACAACTCGTCTTCGAAGTAAAGAAGGAGAGGTCGATTATCGATACATGCCAGATCCTGACTTGCCTCCTGTTCTGATTTCGAACGAGCTGGTGGACCATCTCAGAAAGACCTTACCAGAGTTGCCAGATTCAACGGTTCTGAGGACAATCAACGATTTTGGTCTGTCCACGAAGGACGCAAAAACACTTTTCTCGCTAGACGATGGTGAGAGACTTGAGTATTGTGCTGAGACAATTGAGCTGGTTCAGGCAAAACTTTCTGCTCAAGACTCGATGGATGGTCAGGACCAAGCCAAGGTCGGCAAACTGGTTGCCAACTGGGTCTTGCACGAGATTGGTGGTCTGCTTGCTTCAGATGGTCGCGAATGGTCAGATCTCACGATCACAACTGAGGAGCTTGCCTCTCTGCTAGCGAACCTTCTGTCGAAGCAAATCACTGCTCGTGTGGGTAAGCAGATCCTCCAGCAATTGTATGAAGAGGATGCCGATGAGAGAATGTCTGTCGATACTCGTATTGACGAAGGCAACCTCCGCCTACGCCCCATCAGCAGAGAGGAGTACATCGAGCTCGCTCAGTCAATCATGGACGAGAACCCGAACATGGTCAGTGCCGTCCGCGACAAAGGACAAAAAGGCAAGACCATGTGGTTCGTCGGTCAAATGATCAGAAGAGCAGAAGAAGGCACAGTAGAAGCCGAAAAGGCAAAAGAAATCATCGAGGAGCTTCTGTTTCCATGAGATGGAGTCTATGTAATTACAGGCCATCAAGCACAAGCTGTTGTTGTTCTCCCACGCGCTGCAAGGGTATCTAAATGTAAAGTCAAGTCCAAACGCCAATGTCTGAGGTCTCTAGTACAGCGGATCGTAAGGCATTTGTGTCTGTTTCATAGCGACACCGTCTTTAAGGTAGAGCACCATCCTGTAGGCGCTGTTGCCATTCAGATAGTAACGATGTAGGCGTTTCGTCCTTAGGAAGCCTAGTCGTTCATAGAGTTTGAGAGAGGGTATGTTGTCAATCTCAGTCTCGAGAGCGATCTGTCAGGGTCAGTTCCAGGTTTCCTGGAGTCGTAGATAGGAAGCACTAACCTCGTCTGCATCTTTGGCTATCATTCCATCCATGGCCATTCGTACTAGTTTTGACGCTATGCCTCTTCCTCTGTGCTCTTTCTTGACTGCCAGCATGGCGATATATCCACGCATTGGACCACCACGATGGGGTTCCAATTTGCAGACCACCACGCCTATCAGTTCCCCAGTCGAATCAACCGTNCTTGAGCAAAAGTCAGCTTGACAATCCCTCTCAAAAATTCCAGCATCTTAACTCACCATGTAACAGAGATCTGCCCATTGATAGAGAAAATAACGATAGACATAAATACTGTAGGGTTCGGAAAGGTCTTTTGATATCAGTTCGCGGATGGCGGTGAGGTATTGTGCTTCCTTGTCTGGATCATATTGAATATAGTGCAAGTCTGGAAGCGGTGGCTTCACGGAAGGATCAAGTTGAGTTGTCATCCCAGACTCTTTGGACGATGTGGTTTCACGAAATGGTTTGGACTGGCCAGATTCGAGAATCAACGCACATGATCTTGAGGCTCTTTGGGCGCGCACATGAAAGGCGAGCTCGGACCAATGACGATTGTGGCAGGTGAACAAGAACGAGAAGGAAGGAAGCATCACCTAAACAATTTATTGCTGATCCCTGCAGCGAGCGCCTTCCTCGTTTATATCTAGATCGCTTCTGGCCCGCCATGTCAGGTCTACGCAGACGCATCTTTGGCACGTCGTCTGCAGACACTCCTTCCCNNCTAACACCTGAGCAATCGCGAGAAGGCACACCGACATCCGAAGAAGTCCGCGTCGTGTCGGCAAAGAAACTCGAAAAACTCACGGCGCAACACAAGGCCAAGGGCACAAAGAGACGGAATGCTTGGGTCTTTGGATTGGGAGGCCTGTTTGGCATTCTCGTTGCTGGCTTCTTTGCGTCCAGCAATGAGGTCTTTGACATGCAGGCCTTGAGGGACATGAATCTCGATTCTATCCTGGACGTGCTGCCTGCTGGTTTGATCAAAGATGCCCATGAACTTCAGGTCGGTTTCTTCAATGCGCTTGTAATTTTACACGTCTCTTCTCTTGTTCTTGCTCGCTCGCGGTCTGCTTGCTTGTTGTGCTGCTTCGGACCATGTAACTTACTTTCCTGTGCTTTGTGTAGANAAAGTCAACGAGACGCCATCGCATATGATTCCTTTGCTGTCGGTCTTCATGCCCAATCCCAAGGCATAACAGCCAAACACCCCGTCATCATGATTCCAGGCGTCATCTCGACCGGTCTCGAGAGTTGGAGTACCGAAGAAGCATCACGACAATATTTCAGAAAGAGGTTATGGGGAAGTTGGAGCATGATGCGGGCTCTGGTTCTGGACAAGGCTGGTTGGAAGAGACACATCATGTTGGACAAGAAGACTGGTCTGGATCCTCCAGGTGTCAAGCTACGAGCTGCTCAAGGCTTTGATGCAACTGACTTCTTCATCACTGGATACTGGATTTGGAACAAGATTCTGGAGAACCTCGCTACTATTGGATATGACCCTACAAACGCATTCACCGCTGCCTACGATTGGAGAATGAGTTATATGAATTACGAAATCCGCGACCAATATTTTACTCGCCTGAAGCATCACATCGAAACCGCTACGCATATATCCGACAAGAAAGTTGTTCTGCTAAGTCACAGTATGGGCTCTCAAGTCTTGTACTACTTTNTCCACTGGGTCGAAGCCGAAGGTTATGGTAATGGTGGTACATCATGGGTTGACGACCACATTGACTCGTGGATCAACATTTCTGGATGTATGCTCGGAACACCAAAGGGCTTGCCTGCAGTGCTGTCCGGAGAAATGAAAGATACCGCACAACTCAACGCTTTTGCTGTCTATGGTCTAGACAAGTTTTTGAGCCGCAACGAAAGAGCAGAGATGTTCCGCGCCATGCCTGGCATCTCTAGCATGCTTCCCATCGGTGGTGACGCAGTCTGGGGAGATGAACACAGCGCTCCTGACGACCGTCCCGACCAAAACGTCACCTACGGCAAATTCCTCAGCTTCCGTCATCTGAACTCAACACAGCTACCCAAGAAGAACCTCACCGTAGAGCAATCCCGTGCTTACCTCTTCAACAGCACAGAAGATTGGTACTCGGAAGCCGTACTCTCCTCCTACTCCTTCGGTATCGCGCACACCAGAAAAGAAGTAGAAGAAAACCAAAAAATCCCTCGTAAATGGTCCAACCCACTGGAAACCCGTCTCCCCAAAGCACCGAACATGAAGATTTTCTGCTTTTACGGTATTGGCAAGGAGACTGAGCGCGCATACTACTATCGTGAGGATAACGAGCGAGGCAGCACCAACGATGTCATGATCGACACAGCAGCCACATTCTTGAACCCAGACGAGGATCATGTAGCTGATAGAGGAGTCGTTATGGGAGAAGGAGACGGTACAGTCAATCTGCTGAGTACGGGATATATGTGTAACAAGGGTTGGAGGATGAGGAGGTACAATCCTTCGGGGATCAAAGTTACGACGTTTGAGATGCCTCATGAGCCTGATCGATTCTCGCCTCGTGGTGGACCTAATACTGGTAAGTCTCAACTCTATTGGGCAAGAAAGTGCGGAAACTGACAATGTTGANCAGGTGACCATGTGGACATTCTCGGCCGTGCATCTCTCAATGACTTGATCCTGAGGATAGCAGGTGGCAAGGGTGACGAGATCAACGAGACCATCTACAGCAACATCACACAATACGCCGAGAAAGTCAAGATCTGGGATGACTGAGAGCGTCCTTGATAAAAACCTAATTCACCTATCTTTATGTGGTATGGGGACGACACTGTAATGTATAGACCTGAGGCGTTAGAATAGAAAGCGTAATCGCATCCGCATTAATAATTCATTCTCAAATCCCTACACATACGCTTCACTCAATCGTATGCAAGTTTCCTCTACCCTCTCACTTATCAAATCAACAAAGACCACCACTATAAAACCAACTCCCAGCAGCAGCAAGAACTCTACCAGATCAACAGCAGACTCTCAGTTCGAGCTTCTGCATTCCCCCCTCCGAAGAAGAGAGTCAGAATCCGCAGACGCAAACGTGGTTGTAGCTTCTGTTTTGACCTATCAATTGTACGCGTCGGTCAATTCGACAATCCGGTCGATGTCGTGATAGTTTTAGATGTTTGATCGTCTCCTGACGTGTAAGTTTGTGTAAATTTGTCGTGAAGTTGTTCCGTGTGATGATTCGTGTGCGGGAGTGTGACTGGTTACTATAGATGTACTTGCCTAGTGATTTCGTCGACGACTGAGGGTAAAAATTGGATATCTCGTTGTTCAGAGTGGTGTCTTTGACAGCCTATCGAAATGCACAGTGTATTGTGATATTTAGAGATGTCCGGTGAAAGCTGTTGCTTCTAGGGGCTTTCTGCGGACAATCGGATAAGTTTGGAAGGTATTGTGCCTTTTGATAGCTATTGTTTGTAGTAGTGGTTCTCATGGAGTGTCTTCCGATAGAGCATCCTTATGATTGACTCATCATGGACCTCGAACGTTCTCCCTGCTACAATGACTTGGAATGAAATCGCATGATGAGTTGCTACAATGTAGATTGTAGAGCCTGGGTCCTGCGAGATATGTATCAAAAGGCCTTCACATCAGTTGCCGGGTCGTGTGTCGAGCCGTCCCTGCTCGTTGAGTCTAGCTCTTCGACGAGATATCTCAGCATATTCACAACATACCATCGTTATCAAAACCGGTTTCGACCAGCGGAAATGTGCTTTCTCTCTCTTTACGCTTGCTGCAGGTACGCTTCTGGTACGTATACGCGTAGAGAGCTTGACATGAGAAACACAAAGGACTTACAACAAATGGGATAGAAGCCGCAGTCCAAGATGAACAACAGGGTCCCTCACCACACAGCTGAGCAGCAAGCTCATCAGGAGCACGACGCAGAAGGCGGTATCCTGCAGACCAACATTCACGAGCACCCCAAACCCCACAACAACCAGACCGAAGGTTCCCCTGAGCCTCGCCATCTCCCTGCTCCCTCGTNNAAGTTCTGGTCTTACCTATTGTCATAACTTACAAAGCTGATGTATACCAGTCTCGCCGTCGAGAAAGAGGTCATCATCATCTGCAAGACCGTCAACGGCAAGGTAAACCGCGAGTACCGCTTCAAGCGCGAGATCATCTGCCGCCACTCCGCTCGCATCTTCGACCTGTGTCTGCGCCGCAAAGACTCCATCAGTCCAATCATCTACGTCTACGTCGAGCACCAGCACAACATCTTCGCCCACTACGAGCGCTGGGTGCGCAACTCCAAACTCCCTACCCTTGAAGTCGTTGACGCCGACCAGCGCGATGTGCTCGGGCTTTGGATTGGCTTGTACGAAATGGCCCGCGAACTGGAGGATTGGCGCATGATCGCTGCCATCAACGACAACATCATCGACATCGCCAAGAAGGGTTCGTGGAGTTTCTACAAGCGCAGCGTTGTCGACTACATCAAGAAAGCCCCTGATGGTGATGAGCTTCGCCAGCTGCTGCTTGATTTGCATGTTGCTTGCTTTGAGATCAACCTCTTTAAGCGCTACTTCTGGATGCTGGGCCCGAGACTGTGCTTTGCGATTGTAAGACGCAAGATGTTGGCTCATCTCCCTACCATGGAGGACATGGGAAAGGTTTGTGCTTATCACCAGCATGATAACCTTTACCCTTGGGGTGGATGCGGTAAAAAGCTGGCCTAAAGGGGTCCGATGTGGAAGAGGCAAAGCTAGCATGAGTTTGCGCAGAAGGCTGCCTGGCTGTTCAACAACACAGGGGTCAGATTGAAGACTCTAATAGGTTTACATCGTTGAAGGTGTAGACGAGACGTTCGTTACAAACCTGAATTGATGCAAGATAACTTGGCTATTACCTTCTCTTGTTCTTGAGTGTCAGTCCATCAGTAGAGATCCAGTGGATCCTGGGTTAGAACAATGTTTCTAGGAGGCCTTCAGCACCTGTACTTTAATAGCTCAAATTGTTAGGAGAAAGGTCGGATTCATGGAGTGTAGTTCAGAAGTCCGAAGCTCGGACTTTCCGCGATGGACGATAAGGATCAGTCAGCTTGAGCATGATTGGCCGTAGATGGACGGTAATTGCCGTGTCGTTGCGGTCTGTAGGAAGGTCTGACCAAAAACTGCGAAGAGACGCGGGAGGAGAAAGAGCCTAGAGAACGTTTCAAGCTTGTGGCTGTCCCCAAAAAGTCTCGGGTCCGAGATCGCCGTTCGCCGAGGATCAGATTAGCGTCATAAAGTGTGTGTCGCCTCTCAGCTTTGTTCAAGTCGTCCGCTTTCCCCTCCAAAGAAACAGTCCATCATCAAACCTGCGAACCTGTCACCTACCACACCGAATTTACAAACGATCAAATCAATCACAATGTTCAGAAGAGTCGCTTCCACCGTCCCCGCTCAGGCCAGCAGAGCCATGGCTGCCGCCGTCAGACCCTCGATTGCTCCCTCGTTCCGCGCCGCCGCTCCTGCTATCAACAACGCAAGAAGAAGCTACCACGAGAAAGATATGTCTACCCATNCTTCCATCGCTGTTCATGTGTCGGTGGTGAACGAAAGACCATCAACGCATTGGCAGCTCTGGATCTGGCCATTCTCGAACGCTCAGCTAACATGCGCAGCACTGCTCGACCACTATAGCAAGCCCAGAAACGTCGGTAGCATGCAGAAGAACGATACCGACGTCGGTACCGGTCTCGTCGGCGCTCCCGCTTGCGGCGATGTCATGAAGCTCCAGATCCGTGTCGACCCCAACGACAACACCATCAGCGAGGTCAAGTTCAAGACTTTCGGCTGTGGTTCCGCCATCGCCAGCAGCAGTTACTTGACCGAGCTCGTCAAGGGCATGACTCTTGAGCAGGCTGGCCGCATTAAGAACACCGAGATTGCAAAGGAACTCTGCCTGCCTCCTGTCAAGCGTGAGTTGACACCGTCCGCGGAGATACGAAAGAAAGAACACGAATACTGACTGCATCACAATANNGTCCACTGCTCTATGCTTGCTGAAGACGCCATCAAGTCCGCCATCTCAAACTACTACACCAAGAACCCCAACGCAAGAAAGACCGACCTCGGCGGCACCTCCGCACCTCTTCCCAAGGTCGAGGTTGAGACCGTTTCGGCCACCGCTTAAACGCCTCTTTTCTTCTGCAATTCCTGTTGTTTTCGTCCTCATGTCTTTAGCGAGTTTCTTTATCATCTGAGAGATCTTTTCTTCTCCTACCACAAATTATTTTGGAGTGGCCCGGATCGGCCTTTTTGGGGGGTTTCAACGGATCGGGCTTTTCCTCTTTTACCCCACGCTCACACTGCCGTCCATCGTTCACTGAGGGATTTGGAGTTGCGTCGGTATCGTGCTTCACGGCTCCCATCACGAACACAATAACCATGTATTTTAGCTTCATAAAAGAAGAATCAAATTGGCATACCCTGACGTTCTATCTCAGTATGTTTGTAACTCACTCGAGAGGATTTCAAGTTTTCTGGAATCTTTCGAAAGGGATGTTCGTTCACCCTTTCCAAGGATTTGGTATTAGGCTCGACATCTCTTCTACAAGCAATTCATCATCTGCAATAGACACAAACTCCTGGACGCAATAGAGTCTCTTATAGACATTGATTCCATAATGACCTGAGTCGTGAAGGAAGCTTCGCCCCTACGTTACTCGTTTGATACGCATGGCCCACACGAGTTCCAGCTACAAGGTGGCTTAACGAATCATTCCCCCTGATCGATAGAGAATGAAGGTTACCGTACTCATGAGCGTCTCTGTTAAGCATAGCTCTTTCTTTCCAGAACAGTCCTCACAATGCTTGTTTTATTGTTCCAGAGTTAGAAGTCGCTCTCTTAATGTCAATCCCTCGTCGAATGCGTGTTCATTCTGTCCTCCCCATGTTCGATTGATTGTACCCCTACTGCCAGGGTTTCACCACCAATGAGGGGTACAATTAATCGAACATGGGCAGGACAGAAGGATACCTGTACATAACATCACTGATACCACTCTGCTTTACTTCTCCAGGCGTACAGATACTAACCTCCACGTTCGACATGTTCGCTTCAACACCGTCGTAGATCCAACTTTGCGTGGTTTCAATGTGACCTGCAGTGAGTTCACGCAAGATAGTAGGAGTAGATGGTTTGAGTGTGTCCTTGATAGTGTAGAACTTCCACCCTTGATTTCCACAGGAGTAGTCTTCCCCTGTCGTATCGAGGAATATCTCTGCTGTACATGATAGCTTGAGCGTTGAGTGCGCGAGTGAAGCGAGGCGTAAGACCTCGAAGCTCATGGCCAAAGCCTGCATTCCGACGAATACCTGCGACGACACAGAGCTGAACAAGCTCCAGTCTAAGCTTTGCGATCATTTTGAGACGCCATTTGAATAAATTGATCAAGAATTTGGAGCGTCGAAGAGCATGAGTAACCATGTATCTTAGCTTCGAAAAGAAGAATCAAATTGGCATACCCTCAGGTCTTATCTCAGTCCCACGTTAGATATTTGTGTAGTTTGTAAGCTTGCTGTTGATATAGTCAGCGCGTAAAAGCATATTAACTGCCTGGGTCTTCTTGTGGTGGGACTTCAAGTCCTTCGATAAAACATGTTCAGATACTTGGCTATATAGTTACGATGGCATGAAACCCAAGCACTATGCCACAAAATCAAAACCAGTGGGAATCCCAGACCTGGCTGCTGTTCTGAACCAGCCGGATGAGCGTATTCTTTGGCGCACGACAGTAGCTGACAGTAACTCAGTATGGGAGGGTCTGTGGAATAGGGGCCAGTCTCTCGTTCGGTTCGCTCGAGTAACCTGTCCAAGCTGGGATCACTGGTATTGTAGGATGAATAATGACATTGGAGGGATAGTCGGACCAGTGATCTTCTAGTTCGTTCAGTGTGTCATCAAACACTCTCCATCCTTGTACGATGTGAACAGTAAACATATCGTCGTACTCTGAGTGAGAATATTTGAGCCCTCTAAGCACCTGAGGCAAGGATCTGAGTCCTAGCAGCTCTGCTGCGCCACGGTCCTTGATCGGAACGGTAGTGTCTATCCATGACTCACTCGCCTTGCGGACGGCGAGAAGGTCGTGCACAGTAAGGGGCCAGTGCCACATGAGCTTATAGCTCTCTTCCAAAGTTCTCAAGATCCCGTGAGAGACGCCGATAGTTCGCCCGTGTTGCCTCAGCAGAAATGAAAATTGATCGTTGTCACACATATATGTGTCCAGCCCACAGACGGGAGCTCCGGCAAGTGTGTTTATGAGGTGCAACATGACATGCTTCGTGAATTGTTCTGTGATCGCAGTGATAATATCCCGAGTGAGGCTAATCTTAAGATCCTTCTTGTCCATCAGCGATATTAGGGCTTGAGTGCTGCGCTCCAACGAGGACTGCATGATTGAAGGACGGTAGTACCGATGCACGAAACCGTCAGCGCGAAGGTCTCGTTTGGAGACCCTGGCTCTGACCGGTGGTTCGAGATAACAGTTGAAGGCAATAGCAAGGATGAGTTCAGCGTTCAAGGTATTATCTTCCCATTCGTGTTTGAGAAGTGATTGGAAAGTCTCGAGATCGAATGCTTCCGCCACAGTGAGTACGTTCGATTTGGTCAGAGGACGCTCGATGGTTTGTGTATCCAGAAGGAGCTTCAAGATTGGAGATCCGCAGGGTGATCCACCAAGAGTTCTGATAAGCTCTGTCGTGATGGGTATGGTTATGCCTGAATCCAATAACTTATGGACCGTAGAGGATGACCTCTCTTGTGCCAGTTCCTGATAATCTTGTGCGGTGAAACACACATTTCTTCCTCGCTGATTGAGAAGCATCTGAAGAGCAGTTAGGGATGTTCCTGCAACAGTAAGCAGTGCGCGAAGGCTGACAGGAAACTGGTGAGCGTGGCTTTTCACGAGGAATTCCAGAACCTTACGACTCCATCTGTTGTGTGCTGCGGCGTGAACGAGCTCTTCAGTAATGCGGATTGAAGCCAGGTCCTCGTCAAGCAAGATCTTCAAAACTTCCTCGCCCATAGGGTTCACCGTCATAGCGTGCACAACCTCTGAGCTGATTCTAGACTTCTGTCCTTTGTGATGTAACGCGCGAAGAGTCTGAAGCAGGTTGAAACGAAGATATTGTGCGATCCGAGGGAGATTGCAATAGCTGGATGGGCTCTCGAGGTGATCAGCCAGCCAAATGACGACTTCTGCATGGCCCATGCAAGCAGCGGCGTCGAGTGCGTTTCCATAAAATCCTTCTTGTTGAACAAGCTGTGAACAACTCTTCCAGAAGTGCATCACGCTGNNTTTTTGGAGCCCAAGTAACGAAGCATAGTATAAAGGCTGCAGAGATAACGAGATGCTTAGTGATAAAGAGGCCTCGTAGGGGTGTTGTATGTTTAACCACCTCAGGAGATGCTTACGATTGTTAATTTCGAAAAGGGAGTTTATTCTTGACTGCAATTCGTCGTGATCGGCTGAGCTAGGGATGGCAGTAAACTTTCTTGCGTGAGCCGGCCAGAACTGGCTTGCATACCCGAGTATATATTTTGACCCGGCCGGAGGAGATCCAAAGACAGAGTTAATTGTCTGCGCAGTGACACAGCGATTCGCCAATTGGGCGGTGAATCTGTACCAATGGAGACTCATCCCAAAGCCCTCCCGGACGATCAAAAATTCTTTGACTGTAAAATGGGCGAGCTTGATAACTTCTCGAGTATCTCCATCGATGACCGTTACTAGAACACTGGTACATATCCTCAAGACGTCTTCCACAAATGGGAATGCAATTACCGCAGCAACCTCAGAAGATGTCAGTTCTCGAAAGGATGAAGCCAACCATATTAGTACGCGTCGAACACGTTTTTGATGTGTTTTGGGCACCGTTTCCAGTGCTCGATGGTATGTCTCTTCAAGTGATTTGGGAATGGTATTCAGCGCGTCTCGAAAGTCTTCAGCAGTCGGACACGTGCGTAAGCGCTGAATTTGCAGATCAGCCNNCGTCTGAATCGCCTAGCTCATTGGTTAGCTACAGTTGATGCACTTTAGCTGAGGTATATACCTCTCCCCAGAGTCGAGCAGTTTATGCGCGGCGAGTGACATTAGTTCCACACCCCATCGCTTGATCAAGTCATGGCTGAGAGCATGATTTACGAACTTCTCTACGTCTTTNTCCAAGAATTGATCCACGGCCATCGAGGAACAGACCAAAGATTGTAGAGCTTTTCGGATGTCTGGTTCTCTCCTGCTTGTCACAACGAGGTGTGGACGTTTCGGGTATATGGTCGATAATCGTGTGATAGTCTCGAGCAAGGTCGATCGTCCAGGTGATGTATGCTCAGGATACTCGTCCAGTGCATCAAAGACCATGAAGACATCTTCATGAAGAGCGATAAGATATTTGATTGTGTCCAGAAGCTCACTATGAGACGGTTCGGTCCCGTATCGATGGTGATGCACCCACAGATTTTGTAGCTTTTCTGGTAGAGGCGAAGGGACCAGCTGTCTGAGAACGGAGCGAAGCATGCAAGATATGTCCTGCGTCCGCGCGCTACTGAATTGAAAATACCAGTAAGCAACGCGACTACCAACTCTTGACTTGCATCTCTGGATCAAATGATCGATGATTCTTGAGCTGGAAAGTAGTCAGACCAAAGCGACAGCTGGTTCGGATCAAAGGAATTGGTACCTCAAGACGGTCTTACCGCATCCCGCNTAATCGTTGTTATTGCCAACTCTCAAGTGTTTCATGGACAAATACTCACCCACACCATGAATCCATACTAACCCGCCAGAACGATACCAGTCTAGACCTTCGAGATCTTGTACCAGCCAATCCCCCGTACCCGTTACGCGACAAGGTCTGATCTCATTTTGAATCTTTGAGAAATTCGACGAGGGTGATATCCACTCAAGTATCTCTCGCTCCNNATGACACCTTCCAAACAGTGTGAGTATCGGTATCCTAATCGACCATTATGACGTACGATCAATCTTCTCCTCTGTTTGCTGGGTAACGGTTGTGTTCTTGGCCAGCTGTAAGGACAGGTCGCCCATGGCCTCGCTGATAGTCTTCGTCTGTTCTACTTCCACAGAAGCAAGGTGGTAGAGAAGTTCCTTGGCAAATGCGGCAGCGGTAGCCGCTGCATAGTCTTGCCAGCCATCGTTTTTGTGCGAGTCGGAGTAGTCCGAGATACCACGTATAACAAGACATGGGAATTCGTCCATCAGACCGGCAGCCTCCATCTCGAAGCAGAGCACACCGCCCAAGTCCTTGCTTATCTTGTCTCTTTCGGTTGCATCTTTCATGACCCGATTGCCAGAAGCGATTGTGCCATAATGAATGACAGGCAGTTGTCTGTTTCGCCTGTTCGTACGTGGAACCAAGTTTTCCGAACCGCAATCAGAACAACTAAATCCCCCTTGGTGTTGATGATTTGGTTCATACAGATCATCAGTGAGCTCTGAAGGAAATCCGTAGTCGGGTAGATTTTCGGCCAAATGTTTCAGTCGGTCTGCTATTTTGAGCTTGTTCCTCTTTTGAAGCGCGCTGATACCAGCAAGGGTAGTGAGAAGAGCTGTTGGCGGCCGATTCAGCGATCTTGTACGCTCAAACCCNCCATTTGGAAGAGTTTTCCCAATATCATACTGAACAACACCTCCGTGCTGTCCCGCTGGTTTGCTTACAACGACGTCTCCCAGCCGAACGTCGTGCTCATTGCTTGGCACACCACCTCCTATACCGACCATCAAGCCCATGCGAATGTTGCGGAAACTAGACTTCATATTCAAGGCAACGCCAGCAGCCGAAACAAGACCGCTACTTCCAGAAGGTAGAGTACCGATGATGACATTGTGATCTCCGATCCGACCAAACTCGTAATAGTTATTGTCGCCTGGCTTCTGTGCAAGGCGTGGGTACTCGTGGTCTAGCATTTCCGTAGCCGCAGCCAGCTCTGTCGGTAAGGCACATATTATGCCGATCGTGTAGTCTTCGCTGCTGAACTCTTTGCGAGTCGCAGAAGTAGAGGCCTCTGCCGTAGACATGACTATATCAATGCCACTGCTGAGATAATGATGAAGAAAGTGAGGTGGCGGTATTCGTCGATGCGAAAGGTCAGAGAAAGTAAGTTCAAACAGTGGGCAACCCAGAAACACTTATCTTGCGAGATAATCCCCTCATTAAGAGCCGGAACATGCATGTATGCAGGCTGAGCGCCACTAGTGAGCAACTGCGATTCGTCCTGCAAGGCAGTGCAAGCCGTCTGACAGATCGTTGCTGTCACGTGGGGGCGCTGATATGGGTTGGTGCTGTGATGGATCATCGAAGGCGAAAAACCAGAAGTAGGCTTGTCAACATTATGGGATCATGAAGGGAAATGAGCATGGTGTATGCGCCATCGTCAAGGATTCACACAATGATTGTCGGAGTTGTGGAGGAACTTGCATGCATTCATGGGAGGATGGCGCGGGAAAGTGCGAGGTCGCTGGCGCATTCATGCAGGCATCCAGATTTAGAAAAGGCGATGCGTGCCTCAACTTCTCAGCCAGCCAGGATGCAGCCAACAATTTTGAGAACAAAATATCATAAGATCCATCGATTAATAGGCATAGTGTACCATGAAAGTATTGTGTATTTGATCGCCTACATAGACAACTATACCTCGGCGTATACATCACTGGAGAAATTAGTAAGACGAAGGGCAGATATACCGGCATGAACCAGACTTACATTCTTCTGTGAAGAGGTACACCCTTCTTGATCTTCGCTATTTGATCATGGTCAATCTCAACAGTGGCAAGTTCTGGCTCCCACAAATCTCCCNNCTTCTTGTTGAAGTCTTCTTCACTGCCCAGCTCTGCGAGGATTCTGCCCCATGGATCGACGATCAAAGAGTGACCGAAACTTGATCTTTTCTTGTTGTGAGGGCCGACTTGAGCAGGAGCGAGAACATACGATTGTGTCTCGATAGCACGAGCCATCAGTAATGCGTGCCAGTGATATTTGCCAGTGTCAGGTGCGAAGGCTGAAGGATAGCAGAGTACGTCGCAATTTTGGCGCTTGTGGGCGAGAGCAAGTTCGGGGAAGCGTAGATCGAAGCAGATGCATGACCCGACCCTACCAACAGGCGAGTCGAAGGGGGCTAGGATGCTGTTGCCAGGCTCGACAGTATCGCTCTCCTTCATGCATGGACCGTCATCTAACTCCATGTCGAACATATGTAGCTTCTGGTAGCGGTGAGTGATGTCGCCATGCTCGTCGATCCAAATGAGAGTGTTCTTGATCTTCTTGGGTGCCTCCGAGGGCTCGTGAATGCCAACGTTGATGCAGAGGTTGTTCTTCTTTGCCTCCTCTTGCAGACCTAGGACAAATGGTGACTCGGTGACGGACTTGCAGAGGTTGTAGGATTCGTCTGGCGACCCTCCAATATAGTCGGCGGCTTCAGGGAGGAAGAGGACCTTTNNACTGAGCATACTCGGTCAGCTACGAATACATAGGACATGTTGGCAAGTAAAACAGACCTTTGCACCTTCAGCAACAGCTTTCTTGACGAGAGTTCTGCACTGCTCAAGGTTATGTGACAAGTCTGCTGTGGAGCATATCTGACCGATTGCCTAGGGATCAGGTCAGTCTCCTGGCTGCTGGTTCAAGGTCAGATTGACTGACTGCTTTGACCATGTTTACGGTATTGTTTGCTGTATGGGATGATTATCTTGGTGAAGGTGAACAGAGATATGTGGCGTAAGATACGGAAAGTTATGGGGAGAAGGAAAGAAGGGTAATGTGGAAAAGATATGCAGGGCCTGCAGGGATCCGATCGATCTACAGCAGGAACGCATTTATTTGAGATATAGGGATGCAATGGTCATCGGTTACTCGATAAGGAAAGCGCAATCGGTGGGATAAAGATGGAGGAAAGAAAGCCGATCACGCTACGTCACCTCTGCCAAGGCTCACCCCCGAGCCGCCGCGTGCTACGGCAATACGGAGCAGCTCGTGGGTGAAAGCATGCGAACCATCAATGTTTCCGTGACAGCGCTCAGCAACAGTGCGCCGCAATGGCATCCCAGCCACCGAACAAAGCCAAAGCATCACGATGGGGCTCGCTGCTCTCGGGAGCCGTCGCTGGTCTGGAATCGCGTCTGGACACAATCCTAGCTGAGGACAACGAAGCATCGGCTCGCAGCAGAGCTCAGGATAAGGCTGCCGTCCTCGACAAGTCCTCTGCCGAAAAGCCTACTGCTCTTGCAGTTCCCAATGCTCCTTCAGACACCTCACGTAGTCCGTCTCGCTCACGCCTGAACGATCGATTGCAAGAACGACTGGCCAAGGCTGTTGCTAGCCAGAATCCTTCTCGCTCTTCCACTCCCCTAAACCAACCTGCCAGTCCGAGATCTAGTCTTGGCTCAAGACAGTCGGCCGACATACCACGACTATTGCCGGACACTAAAGACGAGACTATATCAACACCAAGTGCAGAAGTCCCGGTCCTCGATGTCTCAACCTCGGATATTCTCGATGAACCCGGTCCTGAACCATCAATCGCCGACCCCACACCCGAGCTTGTAGTCACTGAACCCCCACCGACTCTCTTAACCTCTGGTCTACCAATCAACCCCGCTCGCATCTCCAACGACAGTCAAACCAGGCCCTCGATCGACGTCGACGATGAAGCTCAACCCGAGGAGAAGGTCGAAGATCCTGAAGAGGAACATGGAGCAGAGCTCGAAATAGTAGCGTCACAAGATGTTTCTGAATTAAACACTGAGCTTGCACAATTACGCCAGGAGAACGCCGAAGCTGAGAAGCAGAGGCAGGAAGAAATGATCGCAAACCTCGAACGTATCGATGCCTTGCAGGCAAAGCTTCAGTACCTTGCANAAGAAACCGTCGCTGCCGCGAAAGAGGCAAATTCAAGTTCTCGGGCTACTCCTCAGGATCGCAAACTTGCAGAGAAAGATGAGCGTATCGCTCTTCTGATGCAAGAAGGTGAAAAGCTGAGCAAGGTTGAGATGCGTCAAGTGGCTGCTATCAAGAAGATGCGCCTAAAAACACAACAAGACGAGAAGGCCATGGCTGACCTACGAAAACGTCTTGCTCGACTTGAAGATTCCGAATCAGACCTTAAGCAACGACTGAAGCGGACAGAGCAGATTGAGAAACAAAGCGCTGAGCAATCGAAGCGATACTCAAACCTTGAAAAGGATCTCGAGAATCACAAGTCGGAGCTCGCGAGTAGTAGTGCCACAATCGCCAGTCTCCGAAGTCAACTGTTCGAAGCTGAAAGGAAAGCTGAGGATGCCGAAAGCAAAGCAAAAGAGAGCGTAGTTCAAGCAGATACCAACAAGTTGTCTGCCGTTCAAGAGCAGCTCGAGGATGCAAAACTGGAGAAGAAGCTGGCGGACGATAAATGGAGCGCGGAAGTCAAGCGGATCACTGAAGAAGCTCGTCAGCAGAGGCAGCAGGCCAGCTTTCGTGAATCAGAGCTTACTAACGAGATCTCGGTGAGTTTGTTCCATGGTGAGAGTCATCTTGTATGTGGTGCTTATGTGCATTATAGANATTATGAAAGTCGTCTCGAAGCACTCCGTGTCCGCGCAGAGGAAGCGTCTTCGGATGTAGGAGGCGACTCTCAAGCCAAACTACTCCGTCAGATCGAGACACTACAGACCCAATACTCTCTAGCAGCAGAGAATTGGCGGAGCATCGAGACTTCATTGAACGGACGTATCGCTGCAATCGAANAAGAACGAGACGAAGCCACAAAGCGTGAAGCCGATGTACGCAAGAAAGCTCGCGACGTTAGCAGCAAGGCCAAACGCTTTGAAGAGCAGCTTGAAGAAATGACCGAGGAATCTCAACTATTGACTTCACAACTCCAGGCCAGCAAGACGGAGCTGAAGAGACTGCAGGCACGTCTCGAAACTGCGGAGACATCTCTAAACGAAGCAAGGGCAGACCTCGATCGTCAAAAGCAGACTTTCGAATCTGAATTAAGTCAAAAGTTGGAAGAGGAGAGAACAAGGCAACTCTCACAAGGGCTAGGTATTGCGAGTCCCAACAATGGAGCCATGGCTTCGAGAACGGAATCACCAACCAGCTATTTCCGAAAGCAACACTCGCAAGATCCTTATGGATCTGTGCAGTCACGGCGTGGACTCTCACGTATACCTTCTCAGGAGCAGACGACGAATTTGTCAATAGACCGTTCCGTATCGCGACGGCCATCGACCCTCACACCGGGTCTGATACCTTCGCGCACACCTATGACCCCTGACTTCCCTTCACCAAGCGTTAGCAGACAAGGCTCTATGTTCTCACTAGCTCAACTCATCAACGGTGGCAATGGAGCAGCACCTCAAACACCTTCCATCCACACCAACGACGTCGATGCCGATGACAACTTCGACAACAGATCCAGTCCCCAGCGAACAATCAACGATGTCATCAGTGCCTCTACCGTACACACAGGCCCCAGTGTACAGTTGGTCCAACACATGTCCTCCAAGATCCAACGCCTCGAAGCCGAAAAGTCAGCACACAAAGACGAACTTGCACGCTTGGTCACCCAACGCGACGAAGCTCGAGATGAAGTCGTATCCATGATGCGCGAAGTCGAGACCAAACGCAGTGTAGACGGCAAAACCGACAAACTCGAGCAAGAACTTGGACAGGTCAAGCAAAGATACGAAGCTTGTCTTGAAATGCTAGGCGAGAAAGAAGAGGAAGTAGAAGAGTTGAAGAGTGATCTTGTGGAGGTCAAGAAGATGTATCGCGAGCTTGTTGATAGGAACATGAAGTAATGTTAGTGATGATGGTTAAGGGTATCAGTTGATAGAAGATGAATCTCTGCTGGATGCATTATGCCATGTTTTACGATTCCTCCATGGCCTGCGCTTTCTTGAGCCTCAGTTTTTGTCGCATACATCATATGCTGGGCCGTCGTTACAACGGTATAAATGAGATGTTGCTGGTCTACAGCATAATCCCTTCCTCCTCTGCAGCACGGACGATATAATGCCTGACCTACAACACAAAAAGTCAGCAACACAGCACACCCAAACAAGAAACAAGCACTTGCAACATACCTTAGCATCAGGCGCAAGATCGATCGCCAAAGCCCCAGTACTATCCTTCTTGTCCGTCTCAGCACCCGCCTTGAGCAACACAACAGCCGCATCACCATGGCCCTCCGCAATAGCATGATGCAGCGCCGTGCACCCATCCTTATCAGTCGCGTTCACCGGACTCCTTTTTCCAACNATCAACTTGACCATTGGGACATTGCCCACCGCAGCTGCTCTGTGCAAAGGCAGTTGGCCTCTTTTATCTTTGACTCTTGCAGACGCCTTGTGCTGCAAAAGCTTTTGNGCAGTGTCGAGATGCGTTTTGGAGGCTGCAAAGTGTAGAGCTGTGGCGCCCGTGTTGGTGACTAAAGTGGGATCTGCGGATTTGGAGAGCAGGAGGGAAACTAGGGAGTCAGAGGCGGAAGAGTCTTTGAGGGAGGAGGCGATCATGAGGGGTGTCCAGCCTGCTCCGTCCTGTTGTTTTGCTTTGTTAGTGNNGTGTTGCTTGTTGCTGAGAGTTGTAGTTGGGGGTGTTCGTACTTGGACATCTGGGTCAAAGTCTTTGCGTTCAGATAGGATTTCGACGACGGGAAGGCGGTTGTAGGATGTAGCCCAGTGGATGGGAAGTCTGTCATCATCGTCGCGTAACTTGGCAAGTTTAGAATTTGCCTGGGATAGGTAGAAGCGTCAGGGCTATAGTCATCGGTCTGTAGCGAAAGCAAGGCGTACGTTTAGTAATGATTCAGCGAGGTTGACTGATGCTATGTCAGTGGTGGCTCTCTGTGATTCGAAAGATGGACACTCACTCTGTCCATCACGACAAGCTGCGTGAATTGCAAACTTGTTCGTCTCTCCTCGATCGGTCGCCATTCTTCTCGTGTTTGGTTGTGTAGAAAGTTGTAGCAGATGAAAGCTTGGTGACGCTCTGAGAACAACCCTTGTGGCGGGGTGATCTACAGATGTGGGGTTTGTGAAAGAGGATGGGAAGTGAACACAAAGTTATGCAAATGCCAATGCAAGAACTCGAGCTTGAGTAATGTTGTGAAGAGCTTCGAGGATAAGGCGTTTCCGCGAAGTGAATACTCTTTCAAATGAAAGAAGACTATCTAGTAGTGTTATTTGTCACCCCACTGTATGCTGGTGAGGTTCATCAGTAATCAATCGATTACAGCAGCACTTCAAAAATTTCCTCTGCTCGTTCATGAGATGAAGTACCCGCGCACAAACCGGCTCCAGACCTTCCAGCGCCTTGCCGATATTCATGTGCTCCTCGTATATCCAGACCCCATGCTGACACAGTATCCATATCATACCATCCAAGCACGAGTTATCTGCCAATTTGTTATTGTGATACAGATCCGATACCTTGTAGACTGTCCTGGCGAAATTATCCTTGTAGTCCTGAGGGAAGTTCTGAAACAACTCTGTAGTTGGACAAATATTCTTTCCGAGGAAGGTAAGGATGGTGTCGGTAGCAGCTGCGGTGAGCGACTGCACTCGATATTCGTTGGCGATGAGCAGGACAGCGACCCAAAAATCAGGAAGCTGACTCAAGTTTGGTCGGCTGGCCATGAAAGCCTGATTGAAAGGGTAGCCATATATGTGTCTTATCATTGCGTACACAACTTCGGGAGGAAAGTCTTCAATCTCAACTTCGGCTTGGCTCGCAATCTGATGCGCCTTGTCAGTACGGTGTTTGAACGCATGAGGCCTGCTTCGATGTACCGGAAAGTTACTCTTGAACGCTATGTGGAAAAACTCTGAAGCTCCAGCCAGAATAAGCTTGTGAGCATATACTTTCTTGCCAGAGAAGCAGATGATCACATCGGAGCGATCCTGATTATCGTAATAAAATGAAAAGTTAGGGTAGGAGCCAGACATCTTGTAAGAAAGGAACCGATGGTGATTCGGTTGGCGAAGTAGTCGCAGTCTTGAGCATTGCCTGAACAGAGCAGGGTAAGATCCTTTTGTACCTTACGTGAACATGATCGAAATTTGCTCGATCGAATCAAGGTTCTTCGCAAGCTGTCGTCTCAACACCTTGTGGAGCAAAACTCTCTCATCTTCATGACCGAAGGAACCATGATTGCTCAAATGGTTGTTGGCTAGCCTGGTTTTCCCATGATTTCGTATCCTAGCGGAAGGTATAGATGTTAGCAGTGGTTGTTATTTACCGTTCACCCGGCAACGTACCTCATGACGCTGTATCATAATCGAGTCTTTTTTCATCCCTTTTTAGCAGCCTTTGCAAACATCTCTTGGACCCTTCCCGTGCCCTTCAGAGCCAGCCTTACAGCCTCGAATCTTTGTTCGGGTGCCCTNTTGCCGTTGGACACACTCTCCATGACCCACTCAGCCGTGACAAACTTGACGTTCTTGCCTCCGATCTTGGCAATCTCTTTCTGCATCTTTGAGGCTGACAGACCACCACCAGCTCCAGGAATAGCAGAGGCGTTGGGAAGACCGAGGATCACATGGGTGACTGAGCGACGACCGAGGTGGATGCTGAGGCGTGCGCCGTGAGTCACAAGGAGGTGTTTGAGCTTGTGATCAGAGATTGTGGGGAAGGTGCTGCCGTTGATGTAGATACAGGTGCCGGCAAAGACCTGAGGGACTTTTGCCGCGGTGGTTGTTTCAGTGTTTTGATCTTGCTTGTTGTCTTGCATCTGCTCATGTGGACTCGAATCATCGCGCAAAAGCTTGTCCTCGTAGCTTGAAGGTTGTTCCTGATCTTGAGATGAGTCGTCTCGTACCGGCTGTGCGCTTGGTATGTCCAGGAGATCCAGTTCCTGCTCTTGCACCTCATCAACCACCAACTTCGCCTTCTCTTTCTCAACCACCATGTCCTTCACAGCAGCTTTTTTGACTCTGAAAGCTTCCACCACACTGATTTGACCCCTTTCCCTCAGACCAGAAGCACCCTTGGCCCAATTCCCATTCTCCAGTCTGCCATCTTTGCCAAAGTCCTCACTTCCAGCACCAACAGTGTCTGCGAGTCGAGCACCACCAGAAGCACCTCCTGCGAACTGATTGCTAAGTTTTAGGCTGCGAGATTCGCGCCAACTTGTGCTTCCAGCCAGGCTGTTGTCTGCTCTTTGATGTCCAGTTGATGATGAGTTCCATGGATCGNNGAAGAAACGGCGTTTGGGCTTTGCGCTCGTGGGTGGTGGGAGTTGGTGTGGGAGTTGGTGTGGGTTTGACATGGTTGTTATCTCTTTGCGCTAGGTATGGGTTTTTGTCGCGCGAGACGTTGCAACAAATCAGTCGTTTGGCAGCATTTGATGTGTGGATCAGGTCGTTAAGGATGAGACATGAATTGTTTTGGTCGTGGACATTGTTCTTTGCTGTGGATGACGCGACGAAAGTGACCGCCAAGTCACGTTTCTCATTTCGCTTCCACTTGCCGACTTTTCTGGTTCGGCTTCACCTGCTGCTTTCGATCAAATTGGTCGTCGACCACGAGTGGATGCTACCATGATGATAATCATCGTAGATTCTATTTCTACATATGTACAAGTTACGGCTTTAGTCCTTAGCCTGTGATGCTGCTTCCTGATCAAGTTGTTCCAAGCGTGCTACAACTCTCTTCAGAGGCAGAGCTGCCCCTCTGCTGACCACTTTAAGTCCATCACGAGCCTCTACACTCGCACCCTCCTCGCTATTTTTGAGGATCAAGTGTGCTGCGCTGATAGCTTTAGGCAACAACTTCGCACCATCAGCATCGGTATACAGCCAGCGCAGTACGGTATCGAATCCTTCTAGGCCTGCTGTTTCACCGCGACTCAAGCGACTAACCGGCGAGATCAGGAAGGCTCTCGCACGAAGGTAAGTGCGTTCCGTGTAAGCCACACTGTTTTGGTTGATGGATGAAAGGCCTTGAAGAGGCTCGAATCCTGCCTCGTTGTAGTAAGGCTCGCGAACAAGGACAAGGCCCAGGATGCTGACTAGTACCTGCAGTACGGTGCTTTGATGGGGCGTCCATGCTTCGTTTCGCGCTTCATCGCCTTGCCATGTTCCTAGTAGCGAAAGGCAGATCTTGCCCTCTTCATATAGATTAGGGTTGACTCGTCCAGACATGCCAGCACCTTCCGCCGTCCAGCTGTGAAAGAAAGCTTTTGGAGGTTCGTATGGATATTGAGATGGTAGATGCAGATCAATCATGAACGGCGCGTACTCATACGGGGTGCTGAGGGGACCGACGAACAAAACCCTGATCAGGTCCATTCTGGATTCCCATGTTCGCACATAGACACCTTCCGGAAGCGCTCCAGGCGCGCTCAGAATTTTGTGCTCTTTCGACACACCTTTCATGTGGTTTGCAGATGTTGGACCACGTTGCAGTAGGTAATGATGGCCTGAAGGTACCTCAGATTCGAGGATCTCGTAAGCTGCAGGCGCATTTGGCAGCGAGGATAGACGCAGCTCTTCCACGGTCGCATTAACCATCGTTTGATCCATGCTATCAGCACTGCCATTCTGAGCTGGCTGTGGTGTGTGGGTAATAGGCGTTTCAGTTGGCACAGGATTCGTTGCTGGTGTGTCGTCTTGTGTTGACATTGCGTCGTTGTCTTCGTCTTCTGTGCTCCAAGAGTCATCGGCGTCATCAATTGGAATATCTTGCCCATCCTCAAACCAGACATCCTCTTCTGATCCCGAGGATTCTGAGAAATCTTCCATGTCGAAGTCAAAGTCTTCACTCGCGTCGCTGAGGAAGTCGCCGTGCCCGTCGGCATTCCCAGTGAGAGGATTGTCGTCTGTGTCCAGATTCATGGCAGGCGCTGTGTCTGTGATATCACACTCGACTTCTTGTACTGGCTCAGCTGCTCCTAGTCTGACCGTGCACTTTCCATTCCTACCCAAATCCACGACCTCGCCAAACCAGTTGATACTGCCGGGCTCAGTATGTGGTAGAGTTGGCGTGTTCAGCAGTAGAACGTAGTCTCCCCTGTTGCGGTTGACGCTTTTNGGTGCCCGAATATCATAAAAGCTAACTTCCTCTTGTTCCTCTCCAAGACTTCCGAGTTTCGTGCTCGGGACAAGTAGATCCAAGCTCTTATCACAGAACGACAGTGTGGAGTCTTTGAACCATGTGACATGAGCTACTCGATCCTTGATGTTGACTCGATCAGCAACTCCAACACGTTGCGGAGTTGTAGCCCAAGAGGTTAACGCTTCTGGCGGAGGGTCTCTCGTCTCGTTTGTACACACGATTTCGCCAGCGAATACTGCGTCTTCATCGTCGATCGACGGATCTGGGATAATTGAAGTTGTGCGAACCGTCTCCGTAGTCAGGTCGTCGCTCCAGAGAACGTCAGCTTCTGTATTAGTACTGGTGATAGTGAAGACATTCAGGTCGTATCCAAGACTTTGTGTTCGATCGAGCTTCTCAAGCTTTCCATGCGAGTTCGATCCATCGTACTTAGCACAGGCTGCGGGCAGGTCCTTGAATCTTACACGCAGTCCACCCTGAAGCTCAGGATCCGAGCGCGATCTGGTTGTGCTGGGTTCCTTGGGCATATTAGAGATGTCGTACAGGCGAACGTCGTGGCTCTCTAGTTCGTCGGGTCCAAGAATACCTTCAGGAGCACTACTCCAGATTGGGAAGTCACTGGCCCTCTCCATCCGAGGGNNATGTAACCAGTCGACTTGACACTCCTTGGTGCGAACGTCGACTACAACGCCTATTGGTGGCGTGTTTGGGGAATACATTCCATAGATCCATCTGCCCGTCCTAAGCACGCCCTTCTTCGTCCGGACCAGCGATCCTACAGCAAACCTCTCCTCAGGATCACCACTCATGGGTTCGAGGTTGCCTTCGTCTGTAATACTCACAACGCCGTTGTCGGTCAATCGCACAGTGACTTCGTCAAAGCAGTCCTTTATGCGGCCAATCCAGTTTTGGTAGATGATAATGTCACCTTCGTTGAAGGTCTGCACTAGCTTCAGTTCGGAAGCGGGTATGTCGTAGAGCAGTTTACCATCATTGACCAATTCGAGCGAGGGTTCTTCTTCCATAGGCAACGGCAACCAAGCACATTTCATGGTCTTGCGACTCTTGGTTTCTCTGACATCGCACATCGAGAGAAGTGTACATCGCGTCCTTGTGCTGACAACAGTGCCTGATCGGTTTCCCTTGCGCACGAGATCTCCAGACATAAATGAACGATCTAGCAGAACGAGATCGCTGCATGGCACGAGCTCAGCTTTACTCTCGGTCTGCCATTGCATTAGTACGAAGCCCTGCGGAGGAACGCCTTCTCGCAGAAATTCTTTATACAGTTGACGTGGGACGGCGTTGTGGCGAAATATCTTTCCATAGGTGTTCACCGGATATGGTGCGTGACTCTCCACTTCGGCGTGCGTTCTGTCAACATAGCCCACAGCTAACTGGTTGCTGCTGTTTGACGTGCACACATCATCGACGTGAAGTTGGGGGACTGATTCTGTGGATGCCATGTTGCGGTTCAACGCGTCATGAGCGAACTGATGTGCTGTCTGATGACGAAGTTCGCTGTGCTTCCTATCAGTGAATTAAGAAGAAAATTCGCTCAAGCGGTAGTGGTTTTGTTGTTCTGTTTATTTGACACAATGCTGCTTTTCCACGCAAGATTCAAGAGTGAAGCAAAGCTTTGACCAAGTGCAATGCGGCAGGTGCGACCCTGGCTTTTGATGCATGCCTTCTTTGTTGCCATTTTCTTGACGCAATGGACTATCTAATCTCTACATATAGTATGTCCCGTGAAATCGGACTCATCATGTTGTAATCTGCAAGGCCTTTGTAAGTTCAGGCGAGTGGTAGCTTCCACGACAGGAATTTGGTAAAATCAAATACATGACGATTGCGGACCACTAAAAACCTTCGACAATTCATGCAGACTGCGCCTGCACCAACGTAAGCTTGACAAACGGAGTACGAGCAAAGAAACAATTCAAGCGAGTGGAAGTATAATTTGATTGTCATAGCCGTGACCATGGAAAGCTGGTGCTAGAAGAGCAGCCCTCATGTAGGTACACAGCCACCATTGACCAAGCCTGTATAGCTGAATCGCTGACGAAGCTTTCTGATTCAGGTCTCTTCACATCTTTGTCATTTGTTCGCGCAGAGTTTCCCAGGCATCCTCCCAGGCTTTGTTAGACGAGACAGATGAACCAGTGTCACACTTGACTCGATCAAGCTCTGTGGCTGCCTTTCCAAAGACCAATTCACGCTCTTGTCTCATCTTCTCCAGATTGGCCTCATTGTCAAGAACGCCTTGAGTGGTTTGCTCTGGCTCTGAAGTTGGCTTAGGCGGAATAGGCTGCGATGAATAGGCTGCGGCAGAAGCAGGCTCATAAATTGGGGGTGGAGCAACTGAGTAATGGATGTGCAATCTATCGGGTGGATGGAGTGTGTGATCATACTCAACATATTGAAAGTGGGTGGGTGGTGCAGCAGAGGTGGGCATTGAGTCTGCGGGCACAGCCATACCGCCGAAGGCGAGGTCATGTAGTGGCCAGTGGTCTCCGAACATTGGCACTCCTGACGCAGCATGCTGAGCACTCGGCGAGAAATGATTGTAGTCCGTAGATCTGGCATCGTTATGCAATTGAGGATGTTGCGGTTGACGCCATTCATTGAAACGCTTCGGGGTCTTGTAGACGCTCTCATTCGGATGTGACCAATGGTCAGACTGAGGAGGCGGCCCACGCATTGCGTATCGATGGCAGGTTATGATGGAGTCAATCTGTAGTTATATACCTGTCAAATGGCTACAAATGTGCATGAACGTACTTTTCAGCTGGCTTCAAACTGTAAGACCATTGCTGAGTGAATGTCCCTACAAAGAGGACCGTCTCAGAGGTTTCAGATCGGTTCTAGAAGTGAAGTTCAGTCCTGACAGGAATACTCTGCAGAAGCACTTGGGACTATGCACGATGTAGTTTGGACCGTGAGTAGGGCATGGTCGACAAATCCATTATCCAAAATCAGTAGTTTCCATTGTCGATCAGCTCGACGCTGTACAAGAAGATGCCGCTTGATACCCATTGGCTCTTCCGGGTTCGATTTCCGTGCTCAAAGCGGAGTATCGGACTGTTTNNTTCGAGATCGCGTGTCGTAAAGACGAAAATTGACCTCCTTTGACAGAGGCGTCAATTNTCTTTCATTGTGAACACTTCGTACAATACCGCAGCCTTTGCTAGGAGGCCAGCGTAATCTCGCGCCGCGTCATATGTGCAAGAGAATCCTTGTCTTTCGGAAACCATGAGTTTGCGACGNGGTGATTGAGCACTCCGCGTGCCGAGGATATTGAACAGAGGACAGCGTAGAGCCAGACTTAATGGAGGACAGCAGCAGCAAGGTGCGCCATACGACACGACTACTTAACGGAAAATCAACACGCGCATTCTTGGATGAAAATTCCGAGTTGCCGAGCCTTCAACAATCGGTCGACAATCTTGAATCGGTCGATGGCACGCAACAGGACACCGGCCGGCGCTCCGGCACTTTCGAGGAGCAGANATACGGCCGGACAGTTCAATACGGGTACCCACGGATGCTACAGTCGCAGGCAGGACAGGAATCAGTGGCCAGTCGTGAAAGTGGATCGAGCAGGAGCGCCATCAACGATGAAAGTCCTCTAGTTGGGGCAGACCAAAGCGAGAAAAAAGACACCGCGATTCGTGGACAACCCTCAGATGGGCGACAATCCGGAGAAACACAGACTTGGATATTTTACCCCAGAAGTGTCACCAAGCAAGGCCTGCCCAACGACAAGGGCTCAAGACAAGGAGCCCTAGTATTTCTGCAGCAGGAAAGAAGCAAGCGAGCGGCGTGTTTCAACTTGTCCGATCGCACCTCGTACAACTCCATCCAGTCAGCTGTTGCGACACGTGAACGCTGCATGCCTGCAAAGTGTTAAAATATTTTAACACAAAACGGTCCCGCACTGCACTCCGATCTTGAATTGTATGGGACGCCTCAAAACGCCACAAGGTGGTGTTGACAGAACGAAGTCTTAAGGAAGACACTGTTGCCCAAGCAAAGCTGTCTCAGCGACCGGGTGTTCAATTTTTTCTTTCGCCGAGTCGGAACATCAGCATATCCTTGTTGTCAGATAAACACGGGCGGACGTTCTCCTACTCCGTGCCAATCCCAACATAGACCAGTCCATCAAGGTCTAGAACGACGCATGCTCCTTTGTGCACGCTAGGCGGCAGACTATTCTTGCCTCGCAAAGCAAACTCCTGTTCTTTCTCACATGCTCATCTTCGCCGAAGATCGTTGATTCTTCCATTTACCGCTCCTTCCACTTGTCTCTTCTTTGATCGCAGCAGCCACAGTTCGCGTCCAAACCACGCGGCGGTTGCTCCTTCTCTCCAGCCACAATCTCTTGCGACGTCCCTTGAGTAATCGATCAAGGTGTCAGAGCTCGGGTTTCAATTTCATGGACAACGCAGCGCGAAATTTGCGCGGCATCGTTGAGGATGTTCAGTCACCAAGTGCCGGCTTGTTGGATTTCCCCTCACCTGCAAGCGACTTAGAAATCTACACTCCCGGTGTTGGCTCGTTATCTTTGGCAGCAAACGTGACCTCTAATCCATGGCCGGGTCCCGATGCGTGTTTGTCTTCTGCAACATCTGCAATTCCTGACACAGCAGAGCTGCAGCCTCCAGTCTCTACGCCAGCTCACGAATTTGAACAGCCTGGCCTTGGCTTCGATGCTCTTGTCGGCGCTCGTGTAGCACCTGCCCCTACTAGTCCTCCACCACTTACTTCCCTCAAGGACAGTAGAGACCTTCGTTTACCATCGTTCGCGCAACTTGGAATAGCTGCCCCGCACTCTGAACCAGTTCGTCCACTACTTGTACGCAATCCTCATCCTTGTCTTGGCGGCGACGACTCAGCAGCTCTACCCCGAGTTGGATCAGAAGCTCTTAGTGAAGGAACCAAACTACGTGTCGATCAACACGACGACGACGATGCTTCGCTCGGACACGTAGACGCATTTCACCTCGAGTCTTCGTCCACAGTACAACCTAGAGCACCTCTCCACAGTCCAGTGCATCACTATGTTACGACGCTTACACCTCCTGACGACACTGGCAGAATAACGTGGGAATCAATCACGCAGTTTGCGACAGGACCTATGACTTCTCCAATGGCTGCAAGCGGCGGTCTAGCTTCTGGTGCTGAGGCTTCAGCGGCATCGGATCCAGACGGGTCAGCAATTCCGAGTATCAACGTACAAGTTTCTACTCCTATGGAGGAATCACCGCGTCCATGGTTGAAGGACGCCATAACAATCATGCGTGAGTGCTCTCTGCTTGCGCTCTCGCGGGACACGTAATCGAGCTAACCTCACCCTGTGCAGTCAAGANATATTCGCTCAGCGTCCAACGCCTATCAAGACCCGATCAAGGTTCTTTCGCACGCACTACCATGCCCATCAACCGAAGGCCACGCCTTCCCTACCATCATCAGTTCTCTACACGACGAAACTCCTACATCACCCACGTGTTGGATCAATGTTTTCCACGCGCTTCCCGTAAGTACTGCAGAAGCGGGTCCGTCCCACGTGCACGCTGGATCTTTGATGCATGCAACACCAAGCAGTCGACGCCAAGTTGTTGCTCAGCGGTGCTTGTTGAGCTGCATCGACGTCTAGCTTCAATCAATTGTGTGCTAACAAGTACTACAGGGCAGATTCAATCTGGCAGATCTTCCTACATCACCTCCCAGCACTCCAGGACCTCCTATTGGTGGGGATGATTACTTCACCAGCAAAGTCTTCGACTCAGCCGTACACATACTCGACTACGCCGACAACCTAAAGTCCCTCCCACAGTCTCCTCGACCTGTAGTGCCGCCTTCTTCAGTAGACGTCTCCATCGTTGAACGATATATCCCACCTACCAACAAGAACGAATTCGCCGACATGTTCACTACCAAGGGTCCCTCATTGTTGGTAGATAGACTGGTCGAGTTGTCACCAGACAACGGCACGCTCATCTTCGTATACCCCACCAAGCGCGGAGCGCAGACTTTCGTCAACGAATACCTAGGACCCATTCTCGACCCGATACTCAGATCGATGGTCGTTGTCAATGGCTTCTCGTCAGACATGGGCCAGCAACTAGGCAAGATGGTCGCTGTCGACGAGTTGCCTGATCATGATATGATGAAGAGGAAGATCATGTCACTCTGCTCTTCGTTGAGCCAATCAAGTCCTGGAATGGAACGCTTCCAGAAGATACCCACGAATTTTGAGCTACTACTGGCAACCACGGAGGAGGTCGTACTGGATCGCAAAGTTTGGTCGCAGGATTGGTGGGCCAAGCAGGAGAAGCCACGTATCAGAGAAACGATCTCGCGGTTCTTCCGCAAAGCCAACAGGGCACAGGAAGACCAGACACCTGTCAGTCTAGTGCATGAAGTATTGGACGGCGTCGCTCGAAAAGCATACCCAGAAGGAAGAGAGAAACAATCTGGCATTGAAGTCAGTGTATTCGTTGTCTCGAGATCGAGGTGCGCAAAGTGAGGGATGGTATGGATAGTGAGGGACTGATGTTCACGTTTTTTACATTTCCACGCGACGATATCCCTGAAGCATTGCGGGCGAACAACAAGCAAAGGAGGACGAATTCATTGCATTTATTCGGCGTATGGGATGAAAAAGGTGGTAATGCTTGAACTTTTTGACCGATAAGCAAAGAAGACTAGATGATGTCTACCCAATGATACACTCGACACACGAGGAAGTCCTTTGCCCGTAAACGCTGCCAGTCTGACTGGCAAGAAGATGATCGCGTGCAACAGTATGTTACACATGTGTTTTGAGGCTCTGTGGTGTTCGATCAGCACACCCAGACCAAGCACGCAATTGTCCATGTTTAGTAAGCATTCTCGGATCAACTTTCCGATTGGGTGCTCCATCATCTTTCGCCTTCACATCTCAAACCGCATCCCCCGCATGAGAGAACAACCGAGGAATACATCGGTGACATGTTTACATTTCCAAGCAAGCTCATGGATGACGTGATGAGATGTGATGCACAATGTTTAGAAATCAAAGACGCAAGCCTTTGCCGCTCGGCCGCTATAAGAGGTCTGGTGAATCAGAAGGCAAGTTCATACATACCACACCAATACCAATCCACAACATATCAAAGTCAAAATGTCTACCACAACTACAACCACCACGACAACAAGTCCCAAACCACAAGAAATAGAAATACCAAGGGGTCCCGTTACATCGAAACTCATCTTCTACGCCCCACCACCAGACAACTCCTCACCCTGGAACTACGTCGAACAACCTCCTAAAGGCTTTCCCCAGCGAAACTACACCGAAAATGCTTCCACAGTCCATCTCAACGACATCCGCGGCCAAGAATCTTGTTTCCAACTAAACGTCCAAGGCTTCCAGCACCGCCAGCAACNNATTACCTCTTCATGCACGGACTTTACCTCCGATGACAAAATCAAACAAATCTACTATCCAGAAGTAGAAGCTTTGATTTTGGNNAAACACGTGCCAGCAGCGAAAAGAGTGTTTTTGTTCGATCATACGATAAGGAGGGCAGATGTAACTGCAAAAAGACAACCAGTGCACCGCGCCCACATTGACCAAACCACAAAATCTGCTTTGCAGCGTGTGTACCACCATCTCCCTGATGAAGCCCCCACTCTTCTCAAAAACAGAGTTCGCATCATCAATATCTGGCGACCTCTCAATGGGCCCGTAGTGTCTTTTCCTCTAGCAGTTGCTGACAGCAGAAGTGTTGATGAAAAAGCTGTGGTGGGGATTGAGCACAGGTATCCCGATCGTGTGGGAGAAACGGCAGGGATTCTAGCTCAAGAAAATCAGAAATGGTGGTATTGGAGTGGAATGACTAATGAGGAGAGATTGTTTTTGCAGTGTTTTGATAGTGAGGGGACGAAGGCTAGGACGCCGCATACTGCGTTTAGCGATCCGAGGACTAGGGAGGGTTGGCCTGCGAGGGAGAGTATTGAGGTTAGGGCTTTGGTGTTTGGATGATGGTTATGATGTTGACGATGATGAGGGATGAGTGGTTTGGCACAAGGCATGAAGTTGATGAAATGACTGTATGTTACTTTTGATCTACATTATCTACTCTACATTACTGTTCTGTATTGCGTATTTACGGCGACACACTGTACAATTATCGTCTCTCCGATCTTTTTACATATCCATATGCTTAATCGCTGCTAGGGGGCTGAGTGTTCTCCAAAATTCCAGCCTGGCCCTTGTAAACAGTACCGTCGTAATCATTTGCATTGGTGGTGTTGGCGATAGTCCAGTTGCCGAAGCAAGCATAGTCGTAGTTGCTCAATGCGTACGAGCTGTTCTGGCTGGCAACGAACTTGTCCAATGCACACATACCATCGATACGTCCCTTGCAAGCACCGCCTCTCAAGGTATCGAGAGGCAGGATACCGTTGTTCAGACGCATGCGAACGAACTTGTGGGTTGCGTTGGATGGGTTGTAGCCGTATTGGGTAGGGTAGTATTGGACACGCTCCTTGTTGACAGGAGCGGGGTCGGCTGAGGAGCAGCCGATCACTTCAGTAATGAGGTGACCACCGAAAGGTGTCATCTTGGACAGATAGAAGTGGCGGTCAGGGTTAGGAGGGTACTGAGTCAGACTGGGAGCTTCGCGGAAGTAGTCCAGAGACATTGCTGTCATGACACTGACGATGATATCGTCGTGGGTAAAGTCGGCATAGAATGGACGGTCGAGAGGGAAGTCTCTGGAGTTGTTGGTGATGCTGCTGTTGACAGAGCTGTTGGAGACGGTGATGTATTGGTGTGTGAGACGGGCGAGGAGCTCCTGCACGTAGCCAATACCTTGGGCTCTGCCAGTTGGGTTGCCGAAACTGTAATCATAGTAGTACTCGATGTCGAGGGCCTGCTCGAAACCATCCCACTCGTCTGCGGTGAAGAAGTCACAGAAGTCAGATGCTCCGAGGAAGCCGGTCTCNTGAAACACGCATTAGATAATGATCATCAGTCACGAATGAATGTACATACCATAAGCGCAAAGCAGTTGCATGCCAAATGTGTCGTTGTACGTCAACTTGAAGCCTGCAGGAGAGTATTGCTGGAGACGAGCGGTTGCGTCCTTAAGATATTTTGGGATCCAGACGAACACATCTTGGTCACCAAGGTCGCCAATTCCAGTAAGATCGTCGTTGAAGCACGAGTCATAGGATGCAAGAGTGTTGTTCTCAGTACCACCTTCGGGAATGACCACAAGGTCGAAGAAGTCACCATCGGTGTAGTTGGTCAGTTTGGGAACAGGGACTGTCTCGTAGGTGGGACCGAAGAAACCCAAGGCCCAGTTGATCTGACTCTCGCGGATACGAGACTGGCTTGTAGTACGAAGGACTGGCTTAGGTCTGGCTGTGCCGTTGGCGTAGTCAGGGTTGTAGCTGACCTGACCAGCAGAAGCGTTGTACAGAATGCGACCATATCTGTTCCAGAAGTCGACACCCAAAGAGAACTCAGTACGAGCACCGATACCGGTGAGATAGCTTTCGTTCATCTGATACTTGTAGGAGTTGAGGAAAGACAAGGGACCGGAGAACGAAGAGCTGTGGTTGGCTCTGTAGTCAACGACCTTCTGAGCGAAACCTTCAGTCAAGATGCCATCATCGATATAGCTGGTAGGGAAACGTTGTGCATGGCGTTGAAGAGTGTGAGCTTGCTCGACTTGACAACCAGCAGGAAGACCAACCCACTGAACGCCAAATGCGTCAGCAGGGTTGTTCTGGTATGTACTAATCTGACCCCAATGCTGAGAGATGAAGTTGATATCAGAGACAAGAGTCTGGTTTGCATTGCTAGAAGTACTGGCTAGTGCAGGAGCAACCGCACTTGCCAGTACAATGAACGAAGAAAGAGGAGTCGAATGCATGTTGGCTGGGAACGAAGGAAGGCAGCTTGGCCAGGACTTGTCAAGACCAGCACGCCATATTATATACATACCCAGGCACATATACTTTGTTATCTTACAAGGTGCCGGGCGAGTCATGTTGTGCATACCGGCCACGCTCTTAAAAAGTTTACGCGGCCTTCCGAATCGGAGCTTAAGCTCAGTCGAGGCTCTCGTATGGCGTTCATCTTGTGGAAGTGCGGGACGAGCTGGGTGAAACCACGGAATTCAGATATATCTCAAGGATATTCAATGCTGATATACAGGCCCTAATGAGTCCAAGGCTTGGAGATGATATCAAGCGACATGAGGGGTACCTGAGGGTCGAGAAAAGCGGAGGAATAAAGAAGCACAGACAAGGATCAATGACGTGTGGCAGAAGTTTGTTGCAACTTGTTTGCGGCGGGCATCATAGTGGTCATCAACGCGACAAAGCTGCATGTTTTTAGCTTTCTTGCTTCAATTCTCTCCAACAGCGTTCATACCGACGAAGAAAAGCTAGTCGAGGTTCGCACTTACTCCGAGTACCACTTCCAAATACCAGCCACCGAGACCGGCTCCACGAACAAATCCATACGCACATCCAATCAGCGCTCTCGCATTATCCACTCTCTCGACCTGACTATTCGCACACTTCCACCATGGCGCATCGCAGAGTAAAAGAGATTGACTTTGACGAGGATGAGTACGATGACTACTACTCGGGCGAAGACGAGTACGGCTATGAAGGCGCCGACACTGGAGCAGCACCAGCAGCAGCAGATAGCCAAGAGGACGAACTAAGCGCCGAGGACAAAGAGCAGATGCGCATAGGTACCCAGAACGTGAGGGCTGCTCTAGGAGACGTCTCCGACTTTGTGACCGACGAGGCCATACAAGAAGCTCTGTGGCATTACTACTACGATGTCGCCAAGTCCGTTACCTACTTGAAGAGTATGTCGAAGCCTCACCCTCCTGCGACCCTAAGCTCATGTTCCCTAGACCAGAATGCTCCCCAGCAAGCACAACCCAAAGAGAAGAAGCAGAAGCCCGTATCCAAGTTTGATCAAGCTGCTACATCAGCTGCTCAGAAGCCAGTCGAGATTAAGGGTACGTCCATCTTTTCTTGTCATTTCCCTTCCCTTTCCTTCTACATAGAGCGCCACCACACAAACATCCGAGTCGGACTACCTTGCTAGAGACGAGACTCGGACGAGGCCATTGCCAATTTCTCTCCCGGTACACAAGCGAGCACGCTCTGACTGGGCTTGGAACAGNTGCCGACCAGCCCACTGCCCCGACCGCATACGAATCCCGCCGACCTCTTCAATGGCATATCTTGGTTCAACGTCCCGGAAGAAAGAGCTGGATGTATAGTGTCTGAGCAGGTCCGTTCACCGCTTCGTTTGCTAGGCGGCACTGGCAAGCCCTCCAAGCTGGCTGCTCTGGCCGCTGCGAGGAAANAGAAGGAAGCCGAACAGAAGGCTGCACAAGAGGGTGGTCAATCTGATAAGCCTGCCGGTGTTGCATCGCTCATGGACCGTCTTGGTACAAGGTCTGCTCAGCCCGCAGGCCAGGAGAACGTCAAACCCGGAGATGCCNCCCAGCAACCCGAGACTCGTACCTTCCCGATTCGCAAGCGCAAAAGTCCTTCTCCACCGCCACCAGTTGAGGATCGCAGACCTGCTGCTCCAGAGCCTACTACAACTGAGACAGCCGAGCCAGTGACAAAGCCCGTCGAACATGTGCGCGCAGGTCCATCAATTTTCGCCAGCACAATGTGTGGTGGCAGCTCTAGAAGGCGTCCTTCACACCAAGAATCAGCTGTTTTCTCTCAAAACATTCTGCCAGCCATTTATGGCCATGACGCGAACCTTGCTAATACCAATGCCTTCTCAGGTCCGAGCCCAGATGACATTGTCATGCAAGCCCAGGCANAAAGGTTCGACGCGGTCGTGAAAAGGTAGAAGAAAATAATCATACTAATTAGTTTGTCAGCCTCGGGCGCAAAGAAGCAGGCTTCCCAACAAAAGGACTCTAAATCTGTCACCAACGGCGTCTCATCTCTTAGTCTGGAGGAGCCACAGCAGACCAGTCAGAAGTAGGTCCAATATGCATGCTCCCCTCTTGACTCTAGCTCACAGTATGGTAGGGTTAAAAGCAAGAACTTGGACGTCCTTGCGGAACACGCAAAAGCAGGACGCAAGAATGCTGCCAGCTTTGTTGTTATCGGACATGTCGACCACGGAAAAAGTACACTCATGGGTCGCTTGCTGTACGACCTCAAGGTTGTAGATCAACGCTCGCTCGACAAGTATCGTAAAGAAGCAACGAGCATTGGCAAGTCTTCCTTCGCACTGGCATGGGTTATGGACTCGACCTCCGAGGAANGAGAACGAGGTGTCACTGTCGACATTGCCACCAACAACTTCGAAACAGAAAAGACAAAGTTTACCATCCTGGATGCTCCTGGACACAGAGACTTCATTCCCAACATGATTGCCGGAGCAAGTCAAGCAGACTTTGCTGTTCTGGTCATCGACGCCGGCACCAACAGCTTCGAAGCCGGTCTCAAGGGCCAAACACGAGAACACGCTCAACTCGTCCGCAGTATGGGTGTCCAGCGCATCATCATAGCCATCAACAAGATGGACAGCATAAACTGGGCCCAAGAGCGCTTCGAAGAGATCCAACAACAGATCTCCGCTTTCCTAACAACCACAGGTTTCCAACAAAAGAACATTGCCTTTATCCCTTGTTCCGGCCTCACTGGCGAGAACGTCGTCACCCCGGCTCCCGAAGCAGCAGCTTGGTATACCAAGTCCGCATCACACCAAACCCTCATCCAAGCCCTTGAAGCCCACGAACCCACAAAAGCAGCTTTGTCATCACCCTTCCGTCTTCNNCCTATCTCAGATATCTTCCGCGGCGGTGTTCAAAACCCTTTGTCCATTTCCGGCCGCATCGAAGCCGGCACTTGTCAAGTAGGCGACTCTTTGATCGCCATGCCCGCCAACGAATCCTGCAGCATCAAAGGCATCGAAGTGGATAACGCAGCTGCAGACTGGGCAGTCGCCGGCCAAATCGTAACTCTGCACTTGACAGAAATCGACCCTGTACACCTGCGCATCGCAGACCTGCTCTGCGATGCCAGAGAAACTCCGTGGCCANACATCAAGTCCTTCACGACAAAGATCTTGGCGTTTGAACATGTGTTGCCCATGACTGTTGATGTGCATCGAGGACGCATGCATGTTCCCGGCCGTATCAGCAGTATGGTTTGTGTGTTGGATAAAAGCAGTGGCAATATCACGAAGAAGAAACCGAGGGTTGTGCAGCCGGGGAGTGTGGCGAGAGTCAAGGTGGAACTCGATACTGCTGTGCCGTTGGAGGTGCCTGGGAGGATTGTGTTGAGATCGGGTGGTAATACTGTTGCTGCTGGGTTATTGGAGGAGGTGCATGCATAGATGAAAAAGAGAGTTGTGCTAAGATGCTAAAACGTATATTTTGAGATGATAAAAGAACTTCATGCCAAATGTCTTCCCACTGTCCTCCCCATGTGCTCAGGACTTGAATACAGTAGCATAGCCGCAGAAATGAACAATACTTTTGCAATGAATGCCGTTTCCACAGAGAAACCCCTGACCGAGGCCATCTCAATGGCCAGAGTCACTTTGAGTTGCAACTATGTATTCGAATAGCGTATCAAAAGCGTTGCACTCACGATGGAGAAGGGGTCAATCGCAAAAATGTGACAGGGTTGCATCTGCTAACTCCTGCTCTCACTCCCTCCCGAGTGACAATGGCTATAGTAAGCTGTCAAAATGCACAGTTGCGACTCTCATATGAGTATGGCCATTGAGATAGCGTCAATAAATTCCTCTCTATGGAGACCATCCTCCCTATAAAGCTATTCTGTGTTTTTACAGCTCGATTGTGACAGTCTTTGGCTGATGGGAGAGACGATTAATGTAATATTAGTGGAAAAGGGCTAATCATAAAGAATCATGGTATCATTTCATGTCGTTGCAACCAGTCTATGGTGATAAGCTATGCCCCACCTGGGGTCTTTTGCGCCTTCCCTTCTTGTTTTGAAATGCCTATCTATACTTTTGTCTGAAGAAAAGAAAAAGCCATTGAAGAACCCCGAAAAGCGCAGAACCACATCCGCTGCTGTCCTTTCCTCCTCTTCTACGTGTATGTTTGTATCAATCAATGCTGCTGCGGCTCCTCAGCGACAGTCTGGTCGAAGTCCGCAGGGATAGTCCATCCATGAGCCATACAAGCGCGCTTGTAAGCCTCGACGGCCTCTCTAGTGCCATACGAGTTGAGTTCTCCATCAGCGGATGTGCCTCTGATCTGCAAGCGCGCAGGCTTTGGATCAATTGAGGCCATGGCCATGCGAAGCTGTAGCAGGACAGACTCGATGGTGGTAGTGCATAGCCAGCCGTCTGAGGTGAGAACGGCATGACAGATGGCTCCTCCTGCAGTGACATGGCCGCCACCACCATTCGCGAAAGGAAGGAAGCGAGGACATACGACTCTGATGAATGGTGGGTTGTTAGGGTAAGAGCCAGGGAAGCGAAGCTCGAGGACAATGCTCTTGACATTGTACTTTTTCATGTCAGCGACCAGAGGAAGTACATGGCCTTCCTCACTGAACATATGGAAGCTATGGAGCTCTACGAGCCACGCATACATGTTGTCGACTTTGCTAGGATCGATGTACCAGCCAAGCTCATGAAGCGGTGTATTCTTCTGGACGTCAAGCAGGGCCTTCAGGTCCTGTGACAATCTCTTGCTCGCCGTGAAGTTGGCATATGAAGGTTCGGGTAGCTTGGGCAGCTGATCATGGTCGAGTGATCCTGGGATGAAGTCGGTCTGTGGCGGGCCTGTTCTAACAGCCAGCTGCTGTTGAATCTGGGGCTCGTTGAAGATCTCACGGTCATCATCATCAGTGGCCACGGTCAAGCTATCATCTAGCTCACTGTCATCGAAGGTGGGCTCGATCTCATCGTCGGTGTCGCCTGTCAAGTCAATAACTTGTGACGGCTTGGTGATCTTATCCAAAAGNCTCTTCACCTTCTTGGTTTTCTTCGGACCAGGTGACTTGGTGTTGGTCAGCTTGCGCTTTCCAGCCTTGATACGCAGTGCTGGGATGACGATCTGTGATTGCTCGCCGGAAGGAATGCGGTTAGGATCCTGCTCTAGCTTGTGCTCTGGAAGTTGGTCGAACTTAGGCATGTCGTCATTAGCGCTAGCACCACACCTGACGAACAGGTAGCGGGTTTGAATCCAGTCCAGCTGACTGATCACGTAGTGAGGATTCTTAGAGACGAATTCGTCAGGCGCATTGACGATTTCATTGAGAGCTATAGCTCCTGCAATTTGCAAGTCTGAGCTTGGCCACGTGTATGATCCTGGTACACCTCCTGACTGCCAGTGCATGCCGGAATAACCAAGCGAGGTGTTGTAATGTGGAGAATGGTAGACACCATTTCCAAAGGCACGGCCATTCAGCGTCTCGTTGAAGTGGAGGCCCTCACGAATGATACTGTGCCAGTTCTGGAGCATACTGCCGTGCCAGGCGTAGAAGGTCGGATACTTGGACTTGAGTCGAGCTGCGGTCTCCTTGACAGCGTTCACGAAACGAGCTTCTTTGTCGGGTGCTCCCATAGCGAAGCGAAATTGTACGTAATTTGACATACCATGTACCGCCTGGTGGGGTTCGACCTCAACGATGCAAGAGCGATTTGAGGCCAAGGTCCAACGCAGGACTGCTAGTGCGGCTGGTGAAATGGTGTCAACCCAATCGGACAGTTTTGGAGTACTCTGTTTCAGGAGGTAGGTCTTCATCTTTGAAACTGACGGAAGCAGAGCCAACAAGCGCTGTACAGCACCTCGTTTCTCTGCATCTTGCAAGTCATCAAAATTGGTGTTGTACTTGTCGATGAAGGCTGTGGACCATTTTGCAGTCTTGGAAGCCAGAGTGACTTGTCCTACCAGGGGACCAATCTTGGCAGAGGGGCCGAGAGTATCCTGAATTCTGCAGTGAAACGAGGGGCTTTCTATCTCATCTGGCAGCTCGATAGCGATCCAGTCCCCCCTGNNTTTGAGAGGGCAGTTTGAGTCGGCGTTGTCGAACAGAATCTCTGATTTGCTAATGTCAAGGCGAGCTTGAAGCCGGCCCTCAGAACTCGAAGAAGAGGATATTGAAGGCTGCGCGACTACTCCGTACTGGTGGCGAACCTGTTCCTGGATAGGCAAGGCGATGGAACGAGGTAAGCTCAGAGCAAGCCCTGTAGGGAAAGTTTTGAGTCTTCCCAGCGAGGCACTGCTGTAACAAAAGCTCAAAAGCAAGTCAACAACTTTGTCTTGGTGCATGATCTCATGCTCGATGGACGGACCAAAACCGAGAGTCATGTATTGGTAAAGACAGAGAGGTCCATCGCAAACGTAAGGTTTGAGTGCTTCGACTACAGTGGAGAGCTTCTTGTGGCAGACGAGACAGAACTCTGTGCAACGAACGAAGTGGCGTAGCGTGAACTGCATAGCGGCGAGAGGGAACGAGTGAGCTTTGCACAAACGATCATCCAAATGGTCTGCAGTGACGACGGAAGGGTAGGCCGGTGCTTCCTCTTTCTCAAAATGTTGAGCGACAGCGCAAACGTCGGCATGGTGGTCGTTCCGCGTCATGATGTACGAGTCTTCGGCGCCTTGCCACGACATGCCGGCATCTCTGAAGCGTACGATGGGAACGAGACGATCGCACAACAGATCATTGAGAGGCTTTGAGATGAAAGTCTCGCGGAACTTTTCTGAGCCTGAGTCGTGTACTGGACTGGAGTCATGTGCAGTCTTATTCTTCGGCGTACTGAAAGCATTGATGACTTGTTCTTGTGTTGGCTTGTAATTCTTGGAGGCACCGACACGCATTGCTAGATAAGCAGGAACAGACTCGGGAGGGATGGCGAAGAGTTCTTCTTTGGTCTTGTAACCTTCCTTGTATTGAAGAAGTAAGATGATGTAGTCGGATGGCTCAATGCGCCAGGCCTGCATTGCCTCTTCCGATATGCCGAGTTTGCGAGCAGAGATAGACACGGAAACGACACAGCTGTAGTTATCGAGAAGACCGCCAAAGTAAGCAATCTTGAAACCGGCATCCTTGGCGCTTCTGAGATCGCTGCGAATGCGAGACTGGAACTGGCTGGTTGGATTTGCGCGGGTCGACTTGGTAGGCATGGCGAAAGCGGGCTGTGAAGTACCATGGTCAAAGTCTTCGCCATAGATATCATCATCGTCGAAGTCATCATCCGAGTCGTGGTCTTGCAACGATTCTGCATCAGATGTGGTACCAGTTGAACCAGAAAGAGCATCAGAGACGTGTGAGAGGAACTGCTTGATAGTCATGCTGCTTGGCTGGCCAAGACTGACTATGATGTCGGCGACATTCTTGGACGCGTCGTCGTCGCAGAAGAGTGTGTAGTAGTGGGCAGTGGGATAGTCAGATTGCTCCGGAACGCTAGTGGTGATGGTAACAGGTGATTCAAGTGTTGGATGGGTAAAGGTGAAGGTAAAGCCTTCTTCATGAACACAGCAGTTGTCGATAAACTCGAGGCCGTGATTGCCTTTGACAGCATCGTCCAGATCGGCCTTGAACTGCTTACGAGGCATGGTTAGAGTGGGTGATGGTTGACAGCATGGGTTGCTGCAGGTGTATGTGGGGTGGAGGAGGAAGATGATCAAGAAGGTTGACGTCTTGAAGATCAGGAGGAAAAGGGTGAGGGTTTCTTGATGGTAAGTTCAAGAAAGCGCACTGTTGAGTATGAATCACAGGCGGCTGTGAGAAGACAGCGCGAGTTGCGGAGCGGAGTGACAGGCAAGGGAGCGAATGGTAGAGAGTGAAAGATGAGAGTCAAATCGAGTTGGTTTCAAGCGCATGTAAGCAGCTTGTCTGGAAGTTACAATCACAGTGAAAGACATTTACTTGGCCATTACTTGTTGTGAAAGAGAATACATGTCTCGTCAGGCAGCGCAGCGTTTGCTGGATGGCTGCCTTGGAAAAGGGGAGCTTAGGCAGGCGCGTAAGTAATGTTTAACTAGCTCCTTGCCTTTTGTCCACTCGGGTCGACAGAAACGCCGTCTACTGTGCTCTTCTCATGGCATTCTTGCTTTGCCCTTGAACACATCTATAGGACGGAGAAAAAGACTTATATCGTCTAATGGCTATAGGAACAAGAACCTGATGATTCAGTCGCTTCTCAATTTGTCTAGCATCCCCCATGTAGCGCGGTATGCACCTCATAAGCCGCCTGTAAGTGCTTGGCATGACAGCCCCTACGTTCGATAGCAAGTTGCCCAGTAGTCCATGCTTCACATGAATGGCAGACGTGCATTGAGCTACCATCTTCGCAACAATCAAACCTCATCAGTATACAATGGCAGTGCAGTCCGAGGTTGCTGTACAGAGCGCTCCTAAGTCGACACACGTTCAGGATGAAGCTCTCCAGCCATTCCTCCAATCTCAATTCGATCCGGCCGACTACCTGAATGCGACTCTGCCCTCGTTGACCTTCTCCAACCCTACCAAGGATCGTGTCTCTCTCGCCGAACTGTCCACACAAACCCAGACGCTTATCTCACAACTTAATGTGCAAACCTCGCGCCTCACCAACACTCTCAATCAGCTCACCGATGATATCCTACGAAGCGGCAGCAGGCTTGCCTACCAAGTCGAGATGCTTCGTGGTGAGACTGCTGGCCTTACGGATACCTTGAACACCTCCCTTCGACCCGAAATCGCCTTATTTGCTTCTCAGGTCTTGCTAGAGCCTACACAACCTAAAGAAGACGACGTTCCTCCCAACCAACCTGCCGTGTCAACTTCGACTCAACCCACCGAACCAGACTACATCTCGAAGCTTCGTACGCTTGTCATGGTGCGACAGCGTCTCGACTCCGTCATCAAAGTTTTCGGCGAGGCCATGGCCTGGCCCATCGCTCCCTCCGATCTCGTTTCGTCCTCGTTCATCTCGGTATCAGCTCCCTCGGCTGGAGGCCCGGAAGAAACACGCAATCGTGAAGAGAAGGCAAAAGAACATGCACAAAAGCTGCGAGACGAGATCGCTCAACTGTTACAAAGTGCTGTCTCAAGCCAAGAAGGCATCACTGCTGCAATCAAAAGGATCGACGAGCTGAGAGACCTCTCGACCATCTGGAAAGGCACCGCTGAGGAGAAGGCTCGAGCCCGTCAGCTTGACAGTCTTGAGAAGATTGTCGAGGATGAGCAANAAGCTCTCGCTCGCAAGGCAGATGCGAAAAAGCGAACAGCATCTCCTGCAGCAGTCGACTATAAGTACAACAATGGTGCTGAGTCCACCCGTACTAGCAACCAGGGCAGCGGTTATGGATTCATGAACAACTTGCGCCGTATCAAAGATGACATCTACCTCGATTGAGAGTCTACTGCTAGATGCTCCGAGGCACAATACGTGAAACCAAACCTCTTTGGCCGGTCTCTTCTGCCGTACTCCCGCATGTTTGAAATAATCGGGCACTCCGAGCAAGTGGTGTGATGACCGGGTAATAAGAGACGCTGCTATCACAAGGAAAACAAGATGAGCTCCTTCGTACTGGGCCCTCTTCGTATTCGATCAGCACTTAACGGCATGGATGAATCCTTATACTCGACCAATCCTTATAGGCGAAAATCCAGGGGTCCATGATCGACGAATGGCTTGCACGCTGGTAAGCAACCGGCTGCCGGGGAAGTCAGGAACAGCTCTGCAGCGTGGATCCTCTTGACTGAGAGCAGCATTATTGGTATGCGACTCGGCTTCTACTACCCTTTCGAATCATCCTAGAATTAGGGCAGGACATTGCAAGATACAGGCATCTGAAGAAACCCTTCGGTTGAATGTTACGTCTCACTTGCACTACCGAGCGAGCAAGTGCTCGGTAATCATGTTCTCTGTTTCCTGTTCCCTGCCCAGGCACAGATCATGCCACTGGGAAACGGGCGAATCCTTCGATAGCAAATGTAACACTCAACACATTGCATCTAACAACGAGTGATCGTACAAAGCCATGATCGAAACTACATTTCTAGAAATAGAGAAACCTGATATAATTTAGTCGCTCAGCTTGAGTCATGATAAAGCTTGTACTAAAGAGCAGTTTCAGAGGTGCATTTTGAAGAGGGCTCGGTACTCGGATGCGTTCGTCCCGCTCGTAGGGTGATGAGCTAGCTTTCTCGGGCTAGCTCAATCTAGCTAGATCGGTGATGGACCATGACGTAGGGCCAAACGTGAGGTCGGTATTGACAAACGTGTAGAGCAGTCATCACTGAAAGCCGCTGGGTTCCGTAAACCTTGGAGAGAAGTGGAGCTGAAGGTGTTGGAAGCTTCAAAACAGAAGAGCTAAGCTGTCTTCCTCTTTTGTCTTTTTCTTCAACTCTCAATTCCTCTTTTCTTCACACACAACTTTCACAATGGCCGAGACAGAGAGCCTCTCGCCCTTTGGCAATGCCAGAGCTACCGTTACCGACCAGCCCCTCAGCAAGGATGAGGTCGACAAGATCAACCGTTACTTCCATGCCAGCATGTACTTGTGCTTGGGTATGCTCTACCTCAGAGAAAACCCCCTGCTCCAGGAACCTCTCAAAGTTGAGCACATCAAGCCTCGTCTTCTTGGACATTGGGGCTCTGATGCTGGCCAATCCTTCACATACATTCACATGAACCGCTTGATTAAGAAGTACGATCTCGATGCCTTCTTCGTTTCTGGTCCTGGTCACGGTGCTCCTGCTGTCATTTCAAACTCCTACCTCGAAGGAGTCTACTCCGAGGTCTACCCCGATAAGTCTCAGGATGCCGATGGCCTGCAGCGTTTCTTCAAGCAGTTCTCTTTCCCAGGTGGCATTGGCAGTCACGCAACTCCAGAGACTCCTGGCAGTATCCACGAGGGTGGTGAACNNTTGGTGAGACTCCTACAACCGCATGAACCGCTTGATCAAACCCTAACCCCCTTGAAAGGATATTCAATTTCTCACGCCTTCGGTGCCGTGTTCGACAACCCCGACTTAATTGCTCTGGTAAGCTCCTTGCCTATATAAATTTCGAAACTCTCGAAAATTTCGACTGTTTTCAACTAACAATGCCTTCCAGNNACCATGGTTGGAGATGGTGAAGCCGAGACTGGTCCTTTGGCAACCAGCTGGCATAGCACCAAGTTCCTCAATCCCATTTGTGATGGTGCAGTTTTGCCTGTCCTCCACTTGAACGGATACAAGATCAACAACCCCACCGTCCTTTCGAGAATCAGCCACGAGGAGCTGAAGGCTTTATTTGTCGGATATGGTTGGGAGCCTTACTTTGTCGAAGGCTCTGACCTTGACACCATGCACCAAGCAATGGCTGCCACCTTGGAAAGAGCTGTCACTGAGATCAAGGCTATCCAGAAGAAGGCCAGAGATTCTGGCAAGGCTGAGCGTCCCAGATGGCCCATGATTGTTCTCAGAACACCCAAGGGCTGGACTGGTCCCCGTACCGTCGACGGTCACTTCCTCGAGGGTTACTGGAGAGCTCATCAGATTCCCCTCACCAACGTCCTCAAGGATAACGACCAGCTCGCTCTGCTCGAGAAGTGGATGCGTAGCTACGAGCCTGAGAAGCTGTTCAAGAACGGCAAGTTCATTGATGAGCTTCGTGAGATCGCTCCTGGTGGCAACCGCCGTATGAGTGCCAACCCCGTCACCAATGGTGGTCTCCTACGCGCCAACCTCAGAATTCCCGACTTCAAGAAGTTCGCACAGACCGTGAAGAAGCCGGCAGCTGAGCAAGCACCCAGCATGAACCTGTTCGCAGACTTCTTGACCCAGATTGTCAAGGCCAACCCTAACAACTTCCGTCTGTTCGGTCCCGATGAGACACAGTCCAACAAGCTCGGCGCCGTTTACGATGTCACTCAGAAGGTCTGGATGGCCGACTACTTCGAAGAAGACAAGGATGGAGGCAACCTTGCTCCTTCCGGCAGAGTCATGGAGATCCTCAGTGAGCACACTGTTGAGGGCTGGTTGGAGGGTTACCTCTTGACTGGTCGCCACGGGCTGCTCAACAGCTACGAACCATTCATTCACATCATTGACTCTATGGTCAACCAACACGCAAAGTGGCTCGAGAAGTGCAACGAGATTTCTTGGAGACAGGAAGTCGCCTCGCTCAACATTCTGCTTACCTCCACTGTATGGCGTCAGGATCACAATGGCTTCACTCACCAGGACCCTGGTTTCCTTGATGTCGTTGCCAACAAGTCGCCTGAAGTTGTCCGCATCTACCTTCCTCCAGACGCCAACTGCTTGCTCAGCACCATGAACCACTGTCTGAAGTCATCTAACTATGTCAATGTTATTGTTGCCGACAAGCAGAACCACCTTCAATACTTGAACATGGAAGACGCCGTCAACCACTGTTCGAAGGGTCTTGGCATTTGGGACTGGGCTTCAAACAGCCAGCACCAAGAACCCGACATTGTCATGGCCAGTTGCGGCGATGTCAGCACACAAGAGGCTCTTGCCGCTACTGCTCTGCTTCGCGAGTACCTTCCTGAAATTAAGGTTCGCTTCGTCAATGTCGTCGATCTTTTCAAGCTTCAACCCAACGGCTACCACCCCCACGGCCTCACGGATGCCCAATACGCAGCCATCTTCACAGACAACAAACCAGTGATCTTTAACTTCCATTCTTACCCAGCCCTGGTTTATCGTATGATCTTCAAGAGGAAGAACAACAACGTCCATGTTCGCGGGTACAATGAANAAGGCAACATCGACACGCCTTTGGAGCTTGCTATTCGCAATGAGACTGACCGGTACAGTCTTGCTATGTTAGCGATAGATAACTTGGNNAAGCATGTGTTGGGCAACAAGGGCTCATCAGCAAGAGAACACTTCCTTAACACAAGAACTAGCAGCCTGAACTACGCATATGAGAACGGTACGGATCCCGAAGAGTACGAGAATTGGACATGGAACTATTAACGAGGACGGGTTGCTGGCGTAACAGGACAGTGGGGTATAGGACAATTCAATTATGCAATTACAAATAATTTCATTCGTGTTTTCTGTGTTCGACGTGAAGTCAACTATACCACGTATGAGTGTCACATCAAATGTATAAATCGAGCAGGTTCCATCTCGGTCGTCTAGATTGCGAACGATGACTTCTTGTTCGTTTCCACTCGAACTTTAACGATGAAGCAAAACATTGATTACAGCTTGACCAAGCAGCTCCCATGTCGGCCATCGTCTGGATTGCGAACGATGACTTCTTGTTCATCCACACTCCCAACTCGGAGGATGAAGCACAGATTTCGACTTACCACCTGGTGCGCAGAGAGAAGGCCACGGGTGCTTTTACTTTACAAACTCTCGCCGGAGAACCATGCACGCCTGCCTTAGATGCTAAGCGCTTCCCTTCACACTTCCTCCTATCGAGACTAAGAAAGTTCCCATCATGCTTGGATGACATGTTGCTCCTATGCTCCTATGCTCCTCTGCTGGAAGTGAGGTCGGTCTCATCACCAACAGTTCACAGTCTCTAGCGAATGGTGCACCTGCCAACACTTACACTGTGAGCAGCATGGAGAGCGATTCGGCTCGTGCTACATTGCCTATGAGCATTCCGGATGGTATGTCTGATACATCCATCATTGAATGGATGAAGGACAAAGCCATGCCTTCCGTTCTAAGAGGTAGTCTCAAGTCAATGGGCTTTGTGCCAACACCCTGTTACTTAGCACTTCCAGGTCAGTTCGTATGGTCGTAGGATATCCGAACCAAATTTGATCAGACAGGCCCAGAATGGACGCATCGATGTCTTATTGTGATATTCTCGCAAGATCAAGTTGGGGCATGGACTAGTGATCATAAAGACATCATTGTATAACCAGAAGGAGGACCGTCCGGTGGCACCGGTGCATTGAGAATGTGCAGTTTGGATTTCGACAGTGTGCTCAGCATCAAGCAAGCGCAGCTTACCGTCAATCAGGTAGTCTCGGAAACCTAAATATGTCTTGCGATGCCTGTCTTTCCGCTAAAAGAATGCAGTTGCAGTATACCCATCAGTTGCACAAGATGACAGGACGTCAGAAACCCGAGGGCCAGCTGACTGATGAGTCGGTGGTCTTTGAAAAGTTGTGTGACGAACAGAAATATAGATTGAACTTGAATACCCACGTGGTTCGGCGAAGCTTCAAGATTTTCGAGACAAGTCGAGGCAAGTCACTCGAGCCGTTTCATTGCCATCAACACAAACCTATTACAACGGCGGACTCGGAGTATGGAGAGTAATTGGAGCTGATTCTTTGTATCTACTGATTATCCTCACACCGAGTCTTCGAGACGCTCACTCACGTAGGGGCATTCCGTAGAGGATGTTTTGATCCTCCAGTTATTCGCAAATAGTGATGCATACTCGTGCCGTCATCTCGGACACTACTCTAGACTCCACTGCGGGCATATCAATCTTTACTGGTCATACCGTTCTCGAAAGCAGCAGTACTGTATACCAGGCTATATCGCTGTTGTGATGGCCGCCTACTTAGTACTGCAGTCTTCGTACCGATGGATCTTACCGATGAACGTATGGTTGGGATGTGATGCTGCGAACGAACACACGTTATTGGCATGATTATCTTGAAGAATCAGAAAAGTATTGACTGAAATCCTCGAAGCAATCAGCTCAGTGCATCCGCCGTACTCTTGAGCCACAAGTATCTGCGATCGAGCAGCGAAAATCATTGCTAGCTGCAAATCTCCGGTATGATATTTGCAACCTTGGAACATCTGGTGGAGAATAGGTGCGTATTCCCTCTTCTGAAATCGTGAGATCTCTCCTCCTTGAGCTTCTCTAAATTTCACGATCTGGATACTCTAGCTCCAAGTACTCGACGTTTCGTACTGACCCTGTTATCCACGCTTTCAAGGAGGTCTCTTGCAGTCATCAAGCTCGGCCTTCAGCTAGGAGGTTTGCAAAAGTGTGTTCTACAACCATGCCGCTAATTTGCAGTCACAGAGATAGATGATTCCTCTTCCAGAATTCTTGATCCCGTCGTTGACAATGCTTTTTTTTCTCTTTGATAGACCTCCACGTCCAGCCATATCGTTCCGAGCTGCCTTCTGGACTCCTGTTTCTGCTCGCTCGATAGGCCTAATTCTACTGCACGGATCAGATCTGCCTCGGGTGAATTGATCACCTAGCGTGATGTCGCATTTCTGTTTTGACAAGTAGCCACCTGCCCGAACATCTACAGGAATGATGCGTGATTGTGATATGGTTCTTGTTGGGCGGGAGTCCGTCTTTGAACCAGAGTCTTGAGACCAGGCTTATGAGCCAGAAGTCAGCAATCACGGCTGTCGGCCAAGCGATAATACCTTTAATCGAGTCCGATGCCTTCCCTTCGAGGTTTCCACCACGCAGCCAAAACATGTGATCGGCGAATCCACGGAAGGCAGCAAAGCTGCTTCATCCTTCATGTGACAATGCCCAAACCTATACCAAACTGAATAGTCAGACGCATAGTGCAATCAGAATGGTCAGAGTGACTCTGAATCTGTTGTTGACCAAGTTTGTCATGGGTCTGGTGCTCGTCATGACCGTGTGTGCGCGTAAGTAGGCAGGAAGCTTCTGGTGTAGCCATGTAGGGAAGCAGTTCCTTCCACGTTGGAAGGGAAGGAGCAACCATGAGAACAGGCACCCACAATCTCGCTGCGCGTTCCCCCCTCTGCTCTCCCTCCATCCATCATACCACAAAGAGAACATCAAGCAAGACGAAGCCTATCATCGGGTACCCTCAAGTCCCAGTGCCAGCAAGATCCTATCGAGCAAAATACCATCAGCAAGCCTGAATCCTTCGTTCCTCGCTCTCTTCCTCTGTTCTCTCTCTATCTGCAATGTAAGGATGATTTGTTCTTTCATCAATGAGCATCCGAGAGGTCCATACTTATCGATGATGCAGCACAATGGTCTCCACCAGAGCTCAAGTCAAGAACGATGCCCCAACCAAGCCATCAAACAAGGCTTTGGGCAGAGACCAGCGGACGTCCCCGTCCAAACCCAAAAGGCCGCAAAGGCTTCAAAGGTAATCATGCTCCATTCCGCTCAATGGGAATTGATGCTGATATACGACTATAGATCAGACAAGCCTCCCAGGCTGATGACGATGACGATGTCTACGTCGACGATGCTGAGGTCACCAACAACGACCCCGACTACATCGACGAAGCCGAGGTCGAGTTCGATGACTGGGAACAAGACTACGACGATTCAGACGTCGTCCAGACCATCGAAGAGGAGTTGGAAGAAGCTCTCAATCAGACCTTCGACGAGCCATCCTCCTCTGACGAAGACCCCGAGCCCGTCAAACGCACAACAAGAAGGACGAGCCAGGCCAAGACCAAGAGCAAGGCCAAGAGCAACACTTCAGCAGGCAAGACTCGAAGTAAGCATGGTCCCTCGACTGTCGAAGAGGCGGAGCGTTACCAGTGGCGTCATGTTCGTGTGGTGTATCTCAGCGGTGCATCATTGAGCTCTTCCAGGCTCAGGCCAGTCTCTGACAACGTCGCAAACGTTCGACGTCGTTTCTGGCATACCATCGGCACCCGCAAAACCCAGGCCATGGCAATAGACTGGAAGAATTCGAAGGGATGCCACTTCACCAAAGGCATGTTGGCAGTCTGGCAACGTTTGCAACCAGAAGTCTTCCTCAACTGGGTGCTGGCAAACATGGATCTTGCCGTTGTCGAAGCCTGTGGTCAGCTGATCCACACTGGTAACGAACTCCTGTCCATCCCTCCTGTGTCGAATGCCGAGCTCTGCCTCTGGGGCATCTACCTTTTATCATTGTCAATGCCGACGGCATAGTCGTCTTTGTTTACGTCGGCTCTGCGACCGGGTTGCTTGGAGTCTTCCAACGCATGCACGAATATGACGGCTTCCTCGCAACAGCTGCGCGCAGGGGTTTCGCCAAAGCAACCAACGGCCATCAAGTTGTCATGGCTTGTCAGTCTGGCCATACAGTGCACATCCGTCGTGTCTTCGGTGTCGACAGAGCTGCTTGCTCTGCACCAAGAATGTTGTTGGTTGAAGGTCTCTTCACGGATGTCTTCAATACTCTCGATGTCACCGCTCCGACGGGAGGCAAATATCGCACAAAGGCATCAATCGATGCTTATCCAGAAGCTGTGCCCGAGGATATGCGAGCGGTTTTGTACAAGCCACTCAACAGGGCTCACCAGTTCCAGCAGGGTGCCAGACATGTAACTCCACCGTGTGTCATGATCGGCAAGGGTTGCACTCAAGAATCCAAGCGCACCATGGTCATGCTGACCGACAAGAATGGCAAGCTGCGTTACGGCTGCCTAAAGTGTTACATCCAATGGTGGAGCTGGACCAAGCGTCATCCTTACTTCTCGGAGGAAGACCAACTGGCATCGTGGGAGGAGCACAAGATGATTCAGGAGAAGACGAACTTCTACAGGCTCATTCCCGACGGCACGTCCTGCACGGTCTGCGACGACCCAGCTAACGCCCGCATCCGTCTCGGCGAGGAGGGTGAACTTGGGTCCGAGTACTCATGCGCTGCCCATTACCAGCAATGGAATAAAGGAGGCTGGGCCGACAAAGTGCCCGCCGATCAGAGAGACGACCTGGACAGCTGGATGGATGTCTTTGATGCATTCCTCGCCCACAATGTCGCTCTCGCAGAGAACAAGCGTGTCAGGAAAGCGAGTACAGAGCTCGACTGCAAGTTCTGCAAGGCAACCTTTGGCATCACCGACTTGCAAGATGTACCTGAACGCATGAGAAAGACATTCAATGTGCCTTTCGACGACTCCGTGCCGTCCATGTGCAAAAATGCAACTCTCTATGGCAGGAGTCAGGCAGGAGAGGCAAGAAGACGTACGACACATTCACGGACTTTGAAGCAAAATGCGAAGAGAGCAGGATCAACCTGACCAGGGAGAAGTTGGCTCGCGAG